GCACTATACAGTTTGCATTTTCAGCGAAGAGCGCCATCGACGTTGTCCGGGACTCGAACTTCAAACGGTTTCCAGGAGTGGTTACTCTAAACCATTGGATCAATCGGTAGTGGAGCCGGGCTGGGATCAGGGATATAGGGAAGAATGGCTTACAACCTATTACCTCCTTGCGGTAGTTACTGTAGTTCTCCAGGCTGGCACTAGGCTATCTACCTACCTACTAGGTCGGTAGCACTAAAGTAGGGAATGTCGGTCACAGGCAGAAAATTGTCCGAAAGCTCCCAGTAGTCAGTACTTGAGTCCCGTCTCCATTCCCCACATCATGTATTTCTGGCCGTGCCCTTCATGGCCGTGCCCATCACCGCCACAAGGATGGTGAAATCTGTGGTTCCCTTAACTGGCCATCATACCAAGTAGGACAAACAATAGTAGCGTCGTAATCGAACTCGTGGAGTACAGGTTGAAGTTATGTTCGAAGTAATAGGATCTTTTCAGAATAAATGAGTCCAAGGTCTTCCTCCAAAATGGCTGCCCTGGCTGATATTTGCAGATATATCCTCGCTCGAAACAGTGACTACTGTGCACCAGAGGCTTTGGCCGAATGTCGTGGCTTCAATCGCCATAGCTGATCTGCAAGTATCCCACTCGTTTGATATTGTTCTGGTCAACAATCTCTCTCGCAACCCAGACCAGAACCCTCCATTATAGGTCGGACCAGTCCCGAGTGTCCAAGTATACAGTGGCACCTGGGGATATCGAAAGCCACAATGGTGAAGCACAAACTTAACTGGAACTGAGGATCTGAACTACTCCAAAGTATGAGTGTGTGTATTTTTTTTGGGAGGGCAAATCATTAGCCATTTCCAAGTAGTCCAGGTTCATCATTCTCGTGGCAAAACTGGACAGTGGCCCGTGGCTATGGAGTATGCAAGTCGGTACCATCACAAAAATCTCCCATAGGGCATTCAACGCTGCCCAATAGAAAGTTTGGTACGTTAAGATAGCAGATTTCCTTCGACCTGTTAGGTACATAAGGTACATAGCCTGAATGAGGTGGTTTTACCATGCTAGGAGATGGCCATCGTTGCTACTTAGTAGTTATTCGGTTAAAAGATCCAACAGCCATGGCTTTTCGCGCCACAGTCTTGTGTTAAGGACGTGTGGCCTCGAGAAAAGCACACTACAAATTTCAAGCCGGGTGGAAGTTTAGTAGAACCCATGTAGGTAGGCCGTAGCGAATATGGAGACACCTGTAAGACAGGTTTGAGTGATTTTGAATTCAGTTCATGACATCTACGACCATTGTCCCTCCGTCTCTTTGACTGAATTACCGCCTCTCTGACAAACTTCTTCCCTCAACCCGACCTTCGATGTTCAAGCTGTCAAGGGCACGTCAACCATGTCCGCCGATAGATCTGGCTCCTGTGGCCGAGTGGAAACCACCCGAAAGTCTGACATTGGCTCGGACACCTTGACCCCCCACGGGAAATCGTGGTTTCATGTTTTAAAGGGTTTGGAGAGAGCAATCCACATGTTACTCCTCTGGTTCTTGAATCTGCAGCAAACTGTGGTTCATCGCGTTAACGGGTGGAGGGGGGCTGGCGGTAAATGAATACGGGTCCAGAGAATCCTCTGTCTGCTTTTTTCTTTGAATGGCATGACTGCCAATACTAGTATCAATTTCACCCTTAAAGGTTGATGAATCGTCGCAACGTCATCAATGCAATCCACCTGGAGCGTTTTCAGGAAAGATCTGCCTATACTATTCTGGGAAGCGATTGAACGGGTACCGTTAATTGTTACCCTTGCCACCGTACCTATAGTACAGCACCACTGATCGGAATCAGCCCATGCAACCCGGTGAGGGGGACCCGAAGACTGTTAGTGCGGGAAGAAAGAGTAATATTAACTCTCTACCCTAGTGGTTTTGACTGATATTGCTGCAGTGGGCTCAATCACATCCTGCCCGGCCTAACCAACTTCTGGTCCCGATGTCCTTTTTTGTCGCCCATGGTCGGTCTCTGAAAGAAGAGAGAGTAACTAGCGGAAATCACTAAGACTGCTAGACTTACTCCCCTGTTGCTCCTTTTCTACGCATCTCCTTTCAATGAAAGGAAAAGAGCAATCAAGTCGTACAGGTGAAATGATTGTGACAGGCAAGATCCGAGGGTAGTGGGAAATGTGCGGACTGCGTAGAGGCTTGCAGGTGGTAATTAATCCCGCTCCACATCGGACAAGCTGAAACAGAAACCCAGGTTGCGTGGAGTGGGGAGAAAAATGGCAGGGAAATTAAGATCACACTTGCAACACGGTCAATCCCGCGTCCAAGCAGCAGAACCACTGTAATTAAAGTGGGAAACTCTGCTAATTACAAGTACGGAGTAGGGTGTCAACAGTTCATAAAAGAAACGAGTCATGGCTCAGAGGCGATGATGGCCTAGACTTAACAGTTTCGGCTGTGCCCGTCGACTGTTCGCGCCGCTTCTGTTGTTTATGACTGATGAGGCCAGCGCCCAATAACTAATGGAGTGAGCCAATCCTGCATGAATGTCATTAGTCTTAGTGTTTCAGATATCCCACAACCCTGTTCACTGCATTAAGTGTGAGTCTGCGACAACATATAAGAAGGCTGGGCGGTTCGAATTGAGGGGTGCCAGTTCTATTCCCTAACATACAAATGTGTGAAAGAGGGGGTGGATCATTCCTTGAGAAACTTGTGTGAACGACACTTTTAACGGCCTGCTGCTGTCGTTGCTGCGAACGCTGGCAAAGATTCCCACCACCATTTTTTAACTATGTACTTACAGTACGTCCTACTTACTGTATGCATGTGCTGTATCTGAACTGCACTATAACTATTGATCACCCTTGACCTGTACAATCAGCAATCTCCGAATACAGCCACCAAAAGATTCTCGATTTCCCTCAACGCCAAAACCTCCTGTGTTCAAGGCATTGAGGCGGTCAACCGGGCCCGTCACGACTGACTCAACCCTAGACATGTTCATGTATCATGTATGAGATAGAAACACTGACACGGAGCCCCATCACTGGAGGTCCTTTGAACCCCACCCACCTCTGGAGGCCAGCGTCATGCTTTGTTGAATCGGAAAACGAAATCTCTTTCACAGGCTGTACACGGATAACTAGTCTCTCTAGATAGTAAAGAAAGGCACCTGCAGATAGTTATGCTTTGTTGCCACATATAGCAACCGGACCATCGAGCCGTTTCATATATGGGCCATGACAATGGATGAAAAGGAGTAAGCATCTCGGTCTGCTATACGCAAAGGAATGCGACTCGATCGGTTCTAGAGACTGTTCCTCATGGCAATTATTGATCACATCCATCCCATACCCCACGAGCTCTGAGGTGTATGTACAATACATTCTTCGTGCTGCCAACAGCACCTTCCTTCTCGCATATTCAGAACAGATTATATGGCCCCGAGAGTCGAGAATCTAGCCCCCCTCAGATTTCTTATCAGAGCACATCGGCGGAATCCTTAGCTTAGCCAAGAACTGATCTCAACTCGACTCAGGACACAAGCCACAGGTACTCAAGGTTGATATGATACACAATGGCCTATGGTAGTCTAAGTCGTGAAATCAACATGTGAGCAAGCCTATATTTAGCGTCTTACTGTTTTAGTGTGCAGAGATTGCTTTAAATAAGGCAGACATTGGCTTTGACAGTGGTATCAAACAAAGCCCAAAGCAACCAGAGTTTGATATCAATAAACAGTAACAAAGAGCAAGATGCTCCCACCGAGTACAATGAATAGTTAGCAACCACTCTACAGCTTCGATCAACCTCTTTTTGTGACAAACTATCAAGCAACGCAATATATACCAGGTACAAAGCCATTCTGTCAACACTAAAAGAGGTGTATACACTTGATCAAAGATCATTATATACCTCTTGTACATGTCAGATGGGGTGATTCCAGGTATATGATTGTCGAATATATCACTTAACGCGAAGATTTTCATTTGACGACCGTTAACTACTTAGCTCTATTCGACTCCAGCATGTATAGATTCGCTCGCTATTCGTAAACCAGGCTTTGCACAAGAAGTTTACGCAGTGAACCGAGAGAACAATCGCTTTACAAAATGAGTGGCTTAGCTAATATATCCAACAATATGGTGCGTCATGGGTGATTCGGATGCTTTTATAACTCAAGGTGGGCTCATTCTTCGACTAGGAAATCCAGTTGAGACCGGGCTGGCCCACTGAAACATATAGAGATGCCAAAGGCTTCAGAAACCCAGGAAATCTATGCTACCGAAATGCCGCACTCATAGTGCTTTTGCATACGCCGGTAATCTGGGACTGGCTCAAACAATCTTGTCAGGAATATCCCGCTCACAAGACCTGTAATTTTCCAGAAGCTTGTCTGGCATGTCGATTGTGCCATCTATATGAAGCATATTGGCTCAGAACCCCACGCGACCTTGAATCCTGCCTTGAACTAGTTTGGCAACACATTCAAGAAACAGCTTGGAAAGGCCGTAACATTCGAGAGCAGCATGATTTGCCCGAGTTTCTTGATGCCTTGCTGAGGAAGTTGTATACCGATAGCTCCAAGCACTCGCAATCGTAAGTTCTCATCAACACGAAGAATATCAGAAGCTAATATTGTTGAAGCGCCTTTGAAAGCATGTTACAACCTCTTATCAGTCAAAACAGTACATGCACTCAGTGTTGTCAAACGAAGAGCTCAGCGGTCGATAATCTGTGGCTTGCTGCGAGCTTTCCAGAAGACCATTCCCCAGGTTCTCATGGAGTACTCAAGGCTATAGAAAACTGCTTACGTCCTACATTTCGGGAAGAGAGCTGTGACGGGTGTGATGGCTCCTTAACCAGGCACGGGGTTGATCACCAGTTCATTCACTTACCACAGGTGATTCTCGTTCACGTAGATCGATTTCTGAACGATAAGCACAAAACTCGGGATTATGTTCGTATCGAGAAGACCTTGACTTTGTTGTCAGCAATGGACATGGCACACTATCAGCTCTACGCCTTCGTCAGCCATTTGGGTAGCAATATCGATTCCGGACATTATATTTGCTTCGCAGAGAGCCCGCATGGTCAATGGGCTAGTTTCAATGATGATGCGGTGTCGGCAAAGACAGTTTCAGACCTCAAGTCTTCAGATGAAATCCGCAAGGATGTTTACTTACTGGCCTATCGCCGGACAGAGCCACTGCCTGAACAATGGGCATCGCCAGCAGCTACAAGACATGTAGACAAAGACTCACCCGCTACGCGGCCTTCCAGTGGCGTCACGTTGGACGAAACGATCAAATTCGAGGGAAGAACCGTCCAATGGACCTTCAAGCAACAACTGACCCCTCCTGCTGAGTGTGAATCCCTGGTACAGTTGAGGTCGGCTAAAGCCAGAGTTCAGCAGGCACAGGTGAAGATTAAGCTCACGTCTACAACAGGCGAAGTCCTTGAAGGCCAAGGGACAATCCCCCTGCGGCCAGACATCATTCCCGCGCAGCCGGTAAGTAAGACAAACAGGACAGCCAAACCTCGGGGTGTCATTAAGAAAAAATTGCCCAAGCCTAAGGTCTCCCTAGGCTCTCCTCCTTTCACGCGATCTGCAGCGAAGCGTAATCAGCAAAAACGCGGAGTGGCTGGTTGATATTCTCTGCCTTTTGTTAGCGTTCTATATATCTGGTGCCGTATAAAGATTACGACCCATATGTTTCTTATGCTCAATGCTGGCATTGATTTGTCTTTCTTTGCGGTCTTTTGTGTTGGTGTCTATGAAACGCTCTTGTCAATCCTAAAATGCGTCCAGGAAGAGAGGCTGTGGGATCTTAGTCGACAGGCGAATGATCTGCCCGTCCGTCCGTCCGTCACGAGTTCAAATCTCTTTTTTGTTCCTCACGAAAACGCCCCATACTAAAGAGAGGAACTCTTCAAATCCCCAGCTTCAATGAATGTCTCTTCTATTCATCTGCAGCAGAGCGAACCCTTGCCTCCCGCTCAGTTTGTCGATAGTGTTGTCTCTAGCCTTTCAACCCAGAACTCCAGTCGTTGGGGCAACGATCAACAACAAGATACAGCTCCTGGGGAAGGGCCACCCTACGGAGTCTCTGCGCTGCCTGCAAACCAAGCAGCGAGTGTAAAGCCGCTGATACTAGTTCTTCACTGTATGTTCCCTAATGAGCTCCTACTCGCCCTGGACATCCTCGACCGAGGTTTGGTGAAACGATTATTATCTCACGACAACCCCGCGTCCGCCGGGGAATTTACCTCCGAGGAACCGGAGGACATATTTCTGGTGCGTTCGGCCTCGATGTTGGCCTCGCAATCTTCAACCCGGTATCTCCCTTCTCAAGCAGACCCCGGAACAAGAGGGTACGAAGTTCGTCTGCAAGCCTGGGGCTGCACATGTCCTACGTTTACCTTGGTCGCATTTCGTGGGCCGAGAGTGGCATCTTCATCCATGCCTGACATTAGCTTCACATCTACTGCTGATGTTCCTGCTCTCCAATCATCACCAGGCCGGGACTCTGCAGTGCCCCATAGCCCTTACCCATTCGGGGGAACGCTGACACGCGGATCGGCCCAGTCTTCACCCCCTGTTTGCAAGCATCTTCTTGCAAGTTGGCTGGCTATTCGCTGCCCAGACCTATTGGGTAAAGGGAATGAGAGATTTGTCTGTGTCAGTGCCGAAGAGTTGGCGGGTTGGTGTGCGGGTTGGGGCGGATAAACTCATGTTGTACCCGACCGCAGTTGGCATGGCAGCATTGCTCAACATTTCAGAAGCATTGACCATGTGACTGCTTCACTACAAAAACAACGCATATGACTTTGGCAGTCTACGGAGCAAATAGATATCCAGCATGATTGATGCCCCTCCATAGACAACCCTATGTTATCATGATCAGCCGTGTTCAAGGCTACCGGGACGACATCTCCATAGAGTAAAATGTATTGGTCTTAGGTGCTTGATCGTATCGCGTTGCCTCCAGGCTCGTCTATTCTCCTCTTGAACTCTTTTTCTTCGATGTCTCCTTGGCTCCCTCGAGATCCTCCTTCTGCTCTCCATTGGCGGCGCTATTACCCTTCTTAGCCGTATCCTTATCGCCCTTGGCCGCACTGGCCTCCAGCTCCCTCTTCAGCTCGTTCTCTTCTTGTTGTTGCCGGTTCTGAATCTTATTCTCGATCAGGTCGTGGAAGGCGGTGATGGCGCGAATCAAGCTACTTAGGTAGATCGCCATCAATTGGTCGTTCGTCTTGATGCTCATGGCCCGTGCCAACTCGCTGTTGTCCGTCTGTTGCTCTGGGGCGCCACCACTGATGCGCGGTGTTGCAGCAGGGGTCGATAAATTAGTAAGAAGGTTAAACACGTCTTGAAGATTGCCCAAAATGGCGTGATTGACAGGCAATTCCTGGTCGAGCACTTTTTGCAGGTATTGGCCAATATCACGCAAGCGCAGATGCAGGCCCTGCAGCGATTGTAGCTGGGAAGTTATCCGGGTAGAGAGTGTCCCAACAGCGACATCCCTGATGTCACGGAGCAGGTGCTCCACTCCTATTTCCTCGGCCTCCTCTGCTTCGATTATGGATGGGGTGTGGACAAAGGTTCTGGAAGTCGTGGTACCATCCTGTATATCATCATTCCAATTCATTAGCTCGTGATGAAGGAGGAAACAAAGCCCGAGCGCCGGGTCACCGAGGAACTTACGTCTTTGATCTCATCAACGGCAAAGTAAGCGTCGGTCGGCACGCCCACTTCCTTTGGTTGAACATCCACGATTACCAGCAAGGGATTGGGTGTGTACCGTTTGAAGAGTTCGTTAATCTCCAAATCCGAGGCGCGCAGCTTCGGGCCCGAGTGGTACCATCCGACCAGCTTCTCCCGCGCGTTGATCTTCTTGAACATGTCTCTCATCGACTCGACAAAGTTGTGGTCAAGAAACCACACGGACGGATCCTTCTCATCCTCCTCGAAAGGGACTAGTTCAGTCATAGGTCAGTTTGACTCCGGTCGAGCTGTGGGAAAGTCTGGCAGCCAAGAATGGATTTATCGGCAGAGCAACGCACCAGCAAAACTGTTTGACACGCGGACAGTCTGACCCGAGTTCTCCCCTAGCAGCACACCGACCACTCGTTTCCGAGTGCCTTTGGCTGAGCGACCATAGTGATCTGCGACGGAAAGAAGAACCAAAGGGGCAACCGTGACGGTTCGCTGGACGAGGGAAAGAGTGTCCGCCGTGGTGGCAGGCATGGCGGAGAAAGAAGGACGGATAGAGGCGATTTATTTGGAGACTGGGAATGGGTGAGATGAGGGATTATAGTGAGGATAAAGCGTGTGATAGAGAGTCAGAGGAGACAGAGACAGAGAGAGAGAGAGAGAGAGAGAGAGAGAGAGAGAGAGAGAGATGACGATGGAACAGCTGTGGCAGTGGCAGTTCGGGAGAGCTCCCGGGTAGGTAGTCATTGTGTGGCTGATGAAGTTGATTAATGCACCAGCCACTCCCATGCTCTGCTTAACTCTATGCCTCAGGCTCCAAGGCACACTGGGCGGTCACTTTGTCCATATGTCCGAGCTGCAATCTACACCAACTAAAACTCGTCGGACATGATGGATCAATAGTGTAGATGTGCGAGAAGCCTGTCCAAGTTCACCCCTTGCCTTTCCAGCTCGATGACAATTGCATAGTGCATTGCGACCTCTCTACGACTAGTTGATCATTGCTGCGCGGGCGCCGCAACCTCGGGTGGGCGCGCCGCGACTCCACCCCCCGGCACTCCGGTCGGCGGCCTCTTTTCAACCCCCCAACGAAGGCACTTTCCATCCGCTTCCCTTTCCCCGTTGCTTTTGCGCGCCCTCATCCTTCCCAAGTTCTCTTCCCTTTCTTCCCTTCTCTCGCTCCGCTCCGCTCCCCTTCCCTCTGAAAGTGTCATTCTCACAACTTCTCCTCTCCATCTTTGTCAATCGCAATGGCTCCCATTACGGAAGAGATCATCCATGGCCTCAAGGACACCATCGGAAAGCTTGAGGCTCGCATTGAGGACTTGGAGGGCCGCCTCACCAGCGAGGTCAAGCCCAAGTCTGCTGCTGAGCAGATGCGCATCATTTTGATGGGGCCTCCCGGTGCCGGTATGTATAACAATACCTATAATATTGCTTGTCCTGGATGCGGATCTCTGACCGATTGCTGTAACCAGGCAAGGGTACCCAGGCCCCTCGGCTTAAGGAGAAGTACTGCGTCTGCCATTTGGTGAGTTTATGCCTTCGCGGACAACCACAGATACCTTCTCTGTAAATTCTGACCGGTCGTGTGTGCGAATAGGCTACCGGTGACATGCTGCGGTCCCAGGTTGCCAAGAAGACTGATTTGGGAAGAGAGGCCAAGAAGATCATGGATCAGGGAGGTTTGGTCAGTGATGAGATCATGGTCAACATGATCAAGAGTGAGCTCGAGAACAACACCGAGTGCAAGAACGGGTCTGTACACCGAGTTTCTCCGTCCCTGGTGCGTTAGCTGACAATGTATGGTTTCCAGTTTTATTCTGGATGGTTTCCCCCGCACTGTTGCCCAGGCCGAGCGTCTGGACGACATGTTGGCCGAGCGCAAGCAGAAGCTTCAACGTGCTGTTGAGCTGCAGATCGACGATGCTCTGTTGGTCGCTCGTATCACCGGGCGCCTGGTCCACCCCGCTTCCGGACGATCTTACCACAAGATTTTCAACCCTCCGAAGGAGGAGATGAAGGATGACATCACCGGCGAGCCTCTGATCCAGCGCTCCGACGATAACGCTGACACTCTCAAGAAGCGTCTTGGCACCTACCACGCCCAGACCGCCCCTGTTGTCGATTACTACAAGAAGACCGGTATCTGGCGTGGTATTGATGCCAGCCAAGAGCCTGGTCAGGTGTGGAAGTCCCTCTTGGGCGTTTTCAGGAACTGAGCTGTCATTTGCTGCATGTCTCGCCACGGAGGGATCGGGTTGGCGAACCCCTTCTGATACCCATGAGTCCGACTTTTCTTTGCCTTTGCCAGATGGAATGAAAGACAAGAGATGTGGTCTGATATGGGGGAGTCTTGCCCTGAGTCTTCTGGCCGGTAACGGACCAACTACGGAGAGAAGGCTGCGGCAATCGAACGAGGTACATGACATTGGGAAAATGTGATGTGTCTTTCGCGTCATATATAGATGAATAACTTCGGGTGAGGATTTGTTATGTACAGTACTACTTATTTGAATGGCAGCGCACTCTAAAGGCCCTATAGAATTCGCGAACATCTCCATCATGCCCTGACCGTAGTTCTACAGCTCTGTAGGATAGACAGTGGACTCGATCTTGTCCGGATAAGTCAGCCCGCCCTGGCGTCGAACCTCATCCATCACTTCCATGATGACGATACTCTCCTCCCACGGCAGAGTATCACTTTCCAGTTTCCCATCCCGTAAGCAGCGCGCAACCTCATCTGCTTCCCAGAACATGCCCTTTCCGTTTCCAGGGAACGGGCACTCAACCTCCCGGAACTCGCCTTCCCCTTTCTTGGGAATGATACGGTATCGTTCCGGACGAAATGCCGGTCCGTCTACCTGGATCTCACCCTTGGTGCCTTGAATGCGAATGGCTGGGCGGGCAGTGTTAGCCTCGTCGGGGTCGGTAGCGACACGCAGATTAGTCATGGCCACGGCGTGGGACTGGCCCGGGTGAGGTAGATTGGACGGTGTACTGGTGGGAAAGCTGAGGAGGATAGTTGTCGCTTCGTCGGCCCCAGTCAGGTGGTAGAGCGCCATGTGAGCCGAGACGGCCGAAGGTGGTTTGCGCTGATCGCGTGGCAGGGTGTGATATAAGGTCTGGAAGACCCAGGTCAAAGAATAAATTCCCACTGCAGCATTGTAAGTCTGATTGGATCACTTCAGATTACTCCAAGCGGCTCAGGTAAGCACGAAAGGGCTGGCTTACAATCCAACAGACATCCACCGGCCAAATCCTTATTGACCATACGATGTTCCGTGCCCCATCGCTCTTCAACGGGATCGCCAAAGCTGTTGTCGGCGATCACCCGGAGAACCTCGCCGATGGCACCCTGCTTGATCAATTCTCGAACCTGCACACTGAGCGGGAAGTACCGCGTCCAAACGGCCTCCATAAGAAACAAGTTCTTCTTCTGGGCTGTCTCGCACAGGATCTTCGCCTGGGACGCATTGACCGTGAAGGCCTTTTCACACAGAACGTTCCTCCCAGCCTCCAGGGCCAGCATGACGTTCTGAAAGTGGTGGGAGTGGGGAGTCGCGACATAGACTACGTCCACGTTGGCATCCGCCACCAGCTGCTCATAGGAGCTGTAGGCTGCGCAGGGGGCGGGGATGCCCGTGTCGGAGATGAACTTCTCAGATCGAGCCTGAGATGAAGACGATGCTACTGCCACAATGCAGTGGGAGACGTCAGATGCGCCACGCTCATTGGGATCCCTGAGAAGGTCCCGCACAAAGACTATTTCGCTGCTTAGCTCATGGGGGATCCTGCAGAAGATGCGTTATGCCAGATAGGCGCGGGCAACATACCGTCGGCTATCCACCCGGTGGCTAAGCAGAACGTCGAATACATTGAATACATGTCAGTCGGATGCCCTTGCAGCGAATTGATCAGGAGAACGAAAGGGAATGGCTGGCTTCCTTACCCATAATACCCCACCGAAGATTGTAAGGAGCCATGATGAGAGAAGGTTTAACGGACGAGTTAAGATAACAAGAGCTAAAGATGGAGAGGCAAGGAATTTCGAGCAAAGGATGAAGGCTGCAGGGAGTGGGTGAGTATGTGAGTGTGATGAGCAAGTTCCTTACTACGGACATCAAACAGTATTTATTTTAAACACGGAGTTGCGCCGAGCGGGGCATCTTCCCCCGCCGACGTCACTTACAAGCAAGCTTGCTATAGCACCCTTCAGCATCTCCACATTTCTTCCTCAAATCATAATACTACTTTATATACAAGACCTGCAAGTCTTAAATTCACGCAACTGCGGTTGTGTGTGTCCTATGGTCCATCAATTTTGCCGGCCTCAGGAGAAATGAAGAGGGTTGAGAGTTGGAGGGGGGGAAAGCCGCCCATGGGATGCCTTTCTTCCGGTCCCAATGCAAAACAAAAGCAACCAGCTGATGAATGTCAATGCAACTTCGCTCCAAAGCAAATGATGAAACGGAAATAGGTACGGCAATGAAAAGTCTATATCACAGACGCCTTCGTTCAGACGGGCTCTGTCTTGATCCGTACGTTCTGGCCCGGGGAGTTGGTCCCCTGTTTATCATGTTAGAAGAAAACAGCCTGTTTCTGGAGAAATTATTGCGTGCTCACCTCTGCCTTGCGTTTACCTAACACAGAGTCTGGAGTTCCGGTTCGGGCCAGTGGCGCCCCTCTGTTAGCTGGATTTGGTCCTTCCTTGGTCACTTCGGCATAGCAGCTGGCATGATAGACGCGACTCCCAACCTTAGTCGCATCTTGCCAAATCCAATCCTGCACTTCCTCTGACCAGGTGGACTCAAATTTCTCCTGGCAGATAGGACAAGGAGTATTCCGCAAAGCAGCGTCATTGGGCGCGCGGATCCACGGCTTCGACGGCCCTTTCTTGGCTACGTTGCTGTCATGTCCGCCAGCTGTGTCACCGGATGCTTCTGTCTCTGCCAGATCTTGGTCGTCTCCTGCTTCTCGGGATTTGATCCAATCCTAACAATCCTTTTAGCCTATGGGACCCCCCCCTCCCACCCCGTGAACGGTGGCTCGAAGAATGATGCTTCTCACTTACCCGTTCGTCAACATACCAACTGCGGTTTTGGGCCCGTTTGGCAGCATCACACATTCGTTGGTTGGTCCGGAAGTGCCAATCCAGGTGACGGGCTTTCCGTTCCTTTCCCTCTTCCGTCGCGAAAAATCGACGGCCACAAGTCCCACAACGATTGGAGCGCATTTCATAAAGGGTGGCAATCAGCGTGTGCCGTGGGCTGGGATATCACAAGTCAGCAGGTCATAAGAACACATTCACCACACATGTAGCTTACATTTTAATGGACGCCGTATTCAATTGCACATTCAACTGCCCTTCAGTGATACCTTGAGCCTGCGGTGTGGGTATAGGGGGCGTATACCGTACTTGGCCAGGCACGATGAGAGGGAAGGCGCTGGCAATATTAGAAGGAGGAACAGTGGACGCAGTCGGAGGTGCTGATGCCGGTGGCAACAGCCCCTGCGCTCGCAAAGCAGCAATGAGAGGGTTCTCCGGCGCCGCAGGAACAGCAGGATGGGGCGTGTTGCTCATCACCGGTATCTGCGGCAAAATCCCAGCTAGCTGAGGCGGTGGAGTGGGCTGCTGACGTGCAGCGGTGGCTTTGATAAGCCCGGCCAGCATGCCCGGGTTAAGCAACTGCTGAAGAGGCTGCGAATGCGTATGAGTCGGCGGTGTAGCAGCTACTGGAGGAGTCGACACAGCCGGCACCGTTTGGGCTGGAGGAACAGGGATGACGGGCTTTGGAGCTAATGCCGATACCTGATCACGAACCAGTTTCAATTGCTCTTGGGTGAGCTCGTGGCGTTGTAAGATACCCTGCAGGTCGAGAAGAGCTTTCAATCGCTGCTGCACAGATGGGTCCAGATGATTGTTGGCGAAATCAACGCGGGCCGTGGCAATTAAGGCTTCTATGTCCCGGTTCAGCGCCGACAAATCAATCTCTAAGCGTTGTTGGACTTGGATTGTGGGCGTAGCGCGCGCAACATGCGTGTCCCCCTGCCAGGTCAGTTCATAAAATCGAGGTCGTTGAATCAATCGGTCGACAACAAAACTCACCGAGGGTGGATATGCATGACCTGCCCCATTCCGCTGTGAATGGACCGGCACGGTCTGACTTGAGGCTGGCGGGTACCGGGCCATAGTCTGTGCTGGTGGTTGGGTGTTAGACCAGCCAAGGGGAGTTCCATTTCGACCGCGCGTCAGAATCTCGTGCTGGCTTCGGGCTTGCTGTTGTTGAAGGGCTGCAGTCCTCGCCTTGATCAAGGCACTTTCGATACTGCGCGTGATCTCTGGAGGGAAGACGGGCCTGGTATCTAAAGAGCCTGGGACGGGCTCTTTCCATGTCTTGAGCATCTCATCGAGCTTGCGGCGAGTTTGCGAATCCACCAAGGTGTAGGCATTCATGAACGTCTGGTACATATTGCGACCCAGGAACAAGGTGTAGGGCGTCCCTACGTTCTTGACGATCGAGTCGACTACATACAAGGCAGGCAATTTCTGAGCCGGCGGTGTCTACAGAGCAGATTAGAACTCATCCATTCAGGAACCGGAACTACAGACGGCCATGCGCTTCGACAGCCCAACAGCAGCAACTCGGTGTTGTGAGAGTGGTGAGAGTTTTGTCACCTACTGTTCGAATGTGATTCTCCAGCACGCGGGAGATGGCCATTGCATGTTCTGTATTCTCTTTGGCAATGACTGTGAGATTGCTGATTTGAAACCTGTCATTGGTGGTTAGATCTTCCAAGGAGTTCTTGTAATCCTCGGCCACTTCATCGGAGGCCAGCCCAGAAGACATGATGAGGGTGATACACGGTAACAAAAGAAGCCGGGATGGGCAGCGCAATGGAAAATGGGAGAGGGACTAAAGAGAATAGTAGATGTTGCTGCGAGATGCAGGGATATTATGGTTCTTGAGTCTTTCTCTTCTTTCTTCCTGTTTTTTTCCCCCCAACTTCTGAAGCTTTCCCTTGTTCTTCAATCTTTTTTTTTCCAACTTTTGTGCTTCTCTCTGTCTCTCTTTCGAATGAGACTTCCAAATATGACTTCTTTTCTTTGTTGGTTCTTTGTTTTTTTCCACTGAGATTGTTTCGAATCTTCTTCTGAATACCAGATTAGAAATTCTTATTTGCCCTCCTTTGTTTCTCTCCGAGAACAATGATCTCCTGAAAGAGCAAGAGATGGAAAGAGACGGCGGAACTTGTCAAATGCTTGCTAGCTATCTGGGTCAGACTTGGAGAAAACAAGACGGGGATGCAGGCGCAATTCCTCCACCCGAACCAGCCGTCACGAAAAAGAACCTGCGCTACCAATCCACCCGTTTCCTCGGTGTGAAGCTACTTCATGCGATCGATCCAGCGCCGATTAATACGCCCTGAAGACGATACCTAGCCAAAGGAGCTCCCACGAAAGCAAATTGTTGAGCGACAATCTCGTATCGTTCTCGCTAGAGAAATGGCTTCCAGAAGGTGAGGTGAATCACGACAAGGAGAATGATTGAAGTGGGCACGGGATGACCGAAGCGTGACCCGTCAGTTGAAGAACCGAAATAAACAAGTGAAATTTTGGAAAGGTCGAGGGAGTAGAGGCTGGAAGAAGAGATGATTCGGGAGGGGAAAGCAGGGAGGGTAAAGGGAAGGGAGGGGAGGGGAGGGGTAAAAGGAAGAGAAAGAAGAGAAGTGAGCTAAGAATGAATGGATGGATGGATGGATAACTTTGAAAGGAATGAGAAGGGAAAGGAGAGTGCAGCCAACTCGGAGCAGATCGGCTGAGTCAGCTGCCGACAATACAGCATACATACAGTTTTGTATGAAGTCATACCATGTCACGAGAATAGCTGTATGGTATAACACAGTATCGTACGGACTGTTTGAAACTTCTGGGGGGGCCAATCCCCCTTGATGACGCATGCATGAATGGGAGTGATGGTGCATTTGCAATCCATCTTAACTAACTACTGTTAACTACTTGTATAATCTTCCATACACCAGTCCGGTTTCGATCTCATCAGCCAACAAGCCCTTTTTTATCAAGAAGAAGCAATTTACATCTACCGCGGCTAACTCATTCATATATTCTGTGTCGTCTGCTCAATAACTTTCCTGCGAAGATGCAGCTAATCTCTGCGACTGTCCTCGGTCTTGTTCCGTTGGCTCTGGCCAACTCGATTCTGGTCACTTTCCCTGCGGGAACCCCAGATTCGGTGCTCAAGCAAGCCAAGGACTGCGTTCTAGATGCTGTATGCTGTTGATTGTTTGCCATATAATCGCTGGAGCGCGGCTTTGCTAATCGTCTGTTTTCCACAGGGTGGTCGGATCACGCATGAGTTTAGTAAGGACTTTCCCACCGCACCTTTCTCTTAATACCTATTTCGACTTCGGAACTAACCCTACTCTTCCTATAGCTTTGATCAGGTAATTGATCTGCCCCTACCACCCCTTATCGTTGCTTGATTTGACCTTCTTCAATTCCAGAGGGTTCTCGGCCGACGCTCCCGAAGCAGCTATTCAGCAGATCTCGACCCAGTCCGCGGCTTATAATCCCCATATCGAACAAGATCAGATCGTCTCAATTCAGTGACATGGATCCGTGCTGCTCAGTCTGCGAGAGAGATGGATCTGTTTATTGACCTTTTTGGCTTACCTCCTGCTGGTCCCAGGAGCTCGCTGGCCTGGCGTCGGTGGTCAATGGGAGTTTCTTGATTTAATAAATGTTATGATAATGATAGTAGTCTTGGTCGTTTTGAAGTCGGAATATAGTTTAAATGTGTTTCCAGGGGTTCGACGCCGAGTAAGCTGAGGTATATCGTCGGTATCCTGGGACATCCTCGGAAACAATATGGCTAGTAAAGTGGACGGATAAGTTCCCCTGAATGTTTCGAGCAATGGAATTGTGATCCGATGGAGGACGTGAGACCAAATCATAAAGTTCAGAACTCAGAAGCGGTATTGGCGAATCCATACAGCCATATCTCTCATCCGTACAACAACTGGTAGCGAATGGGTCCTCTGGATGGCCCTGAGCGGGACTGGATTAATTAATTATAGCTCAAGCTTGTCGATGCGCGTGGCGTGGATCCCGCGCCTCCAATCTCGAACACCCCGGGGTTCCCTCTCCTCAGAAAAAGATCGCTCGACGATCTTAGTCCTACGTAACCTTCGTCGTTCCGAATCTCTGTTGTCCCGAGCTGAGGAGGTGTCTCTTTTGTTATTCTCCTCTTCACACCTCCTGCTTCCACTGGGTCTCTGAAACATCGCAACAATTCAGGCCCCCAACTGCGTGGTCGCTGTGCTACCCTCCGCGCCCTAGACACCCCTCGAAACCGCTCGACAAGCAACCATGGCCGCGGAGCATACAATCACGCAGGCTCTATTAGAGTGGATCAACAGCTTCGCTCTAGGAAAGACGATTCGCACAACAGAGGAGCTTTCCGATGGAACCATTATCTGGGAGATCCTACAGGATATCGACCCGCAGTACTTCCTCGATGAGATTCCTCAACGAGCTCCGTCCGACCACTGGCTATCCAAATGGCAGAATCTAAAACATATCCACAAATTGCTCGTCAATTATATCCGTCAGCAGCCTGACGGCATGCCATCGGGCCTAGATCCGAACCCCAACCTCGAACTTGTCGCCGAGAAGAATTCCGAGAAAGAAGCTAACAAGCTCCTGAAATTGCTCTTGATCGGAGCCATCCGTTCTCCCAACGCGCCGACCTATGTCGAAACCCTGCAGACTCTAAGCACCCCGACCCAAGAGACCCTCAAAAACATTTTCGAGGAGGCACAAAACGGACAACATGAAGCCACTGACGGCGAGGATGACATCAAGGAGGAGCGAGAGCTACCCGTCGACCCGGAACTACAATTTGAGGAACGAGTCGGAAAGGTACTGGCGGAGAATAACCGCATGGCTCGGGAGAAAAAGGATATGCAGAAGCAGATTGACGATATGCATGACCGCTTGGCCCGCCTCCAGGAGAACAACGACACCTTGCAGAGCCGCTTGGCGTCCACTGAGGATCGGCTCGTCAACTTGCGGTCCGGTAAGGGTGATCTTGGACTCAATGCGAAGGCTCTCGAATCCAAGTCCCGTCAACAAGAAGATATAATCGCAACTCAGGAAGCCAGGCTAGCTACAGCTCAAGATGAGATTGACAGTCTGCGAATGACTGTCGAATCGTTACGGGTCAAGAACCAACGTTTCCAAAAACTGCAAGATGACTATGATGAGCTGAAGACTGAACGAGACCAGCTGGCCCGGAAAGCGAATGCAGCCGAGAAGTATCGCCAAAAGTTACAAGCGAGCCAAGACTTCGAGAAGGAAAATCAGTCCTTGAGGAATCAAATCAAAGATCTCCAGCAACAACTCAAGGAGACAGATTCGCAGCAGAAGTGGAACTCTGAACGCGAAGTAGAGCTTGAGGAGTACAGGAGAGTCTTGCCTCGCATAGAGCAGGAGTGCAGTGAGATTCAGAACCTTAAGAAGCAGCTGGAGTTCAATAACCATGCACTCACTGAGCGTCTCAGCAACGCCGAAGAGCAACGCGAGCGCGATGATGCCTTGATCAGCGAACTGAGAGAGCGAATTCGGGAGTTGGAAGGGTCCCCCGGCAGTCCATCTCTGACGCCGGGAGCAGAGACACTAAAGCTAGAGGGGACCTTGCAGAAAGATTTTGAGGCTATCGGTGTGAAGGAATCTCAACTGTTAGATAGCCATTCATCTCTTTGCTGGAAGACCAATGCTGACGGGAGCTGACAGGAAATCTGAAAACGAGGACCTCAAGAAGGAAGAGGAATCGCTAAGGGGTCCCTCAGCATCGGTATGTTGCCTCCAAGCTATCAAATCACCCAGGTTAATATTGACAGGCAAATTATAGATTCTCGAAGGCTTCTCTGATACATACAGTGAAACCCTCCAGCAAGCTCGCGCCAACTCAACGCAGAGGTATGTTTGCCAGTGATCGTTCGGCGCGGCACTAATGTGGATTGATTGTAGTGATGAGTACTGGAAGTTGTACGATCAGTTCACATCAGCACTCAAGAGGCTGGCAGAAGCTCAGGACTCTCTTGACGTGACCAAACGCTCTTTGGGCGATGCCATGGCAGAAGGTGGGTTTGGCTTACTGAGACCTTCATAAGTACCGGATTGTCGTGCTGATAACCTTGCAGTTGAACTCGCCAGCGACGAAAAAATTGATCTCATAGCGGAAATTAAGTCACACAACGCAACGGAGTTGAGCAGACTTCGCGACGAGTGGGATGAAGTCATGCGCAAGCTCAACAACCTCCAAGCTGAACTTGATTCGACTCATACTTTGGTGCAGGTAACCTGCGCTGAGCGCGACGACCTTCGAAACCTTCTTGAGAAGAAGCAAGCAGAGTTCCGCGCAGAGGATCAGGAAGCAGCGGAGGAGATGAAGAAATTGCTTGCAGAACTCCTAGCGCAGGAAGAGGGAGATGACTCAGAAGCTGCACAAAAGTCCGCCGTGGAATTGACACGGCAAGTTGCTGCGCAGATCGAGAAGAATCTAGAAAGACTAGCCAAGCGCGCAGAGGTTAGTTATACCTTGTTCCCACGCCTGTCGGCTTGCATAAGTCGAGCCAGTGTGATGCTTGCGTTCTTTGGAGCTTCTACTGGCCACGAAAAGCGTCTCAATCATTCTATGGCTCGATCGAATGACAATACGTCTCTTGTACTAGCCATTATCCAAGTCTGTATCGCATGAGCCGCGTTCTCGTCACACGATTTCAGTCTTGACATTCGATTGCTGCCTTTTGATCTTTGCGCACTGGAACCTTTGAATCGATTTGAGGGACTAACCAAGATTTCTGTAGTACATTCACCAACAAAATGAGCATATCAAATTCCTCCAGGAGCGCATAAGGCAGCTCGAGGATGATACAGACACTGGAATAAGCAAAGAACGTGAGGTAAGAGTCTATTCACCATTCGTGAGCTCATATTTTCGTTCATCACTTCAGAGGTGCCAACTAACCAATTATTGCTTTCGCACAGCTTGAGCTTCAGAAGACAATTGATGCCCAAGCTCGGGAGCTTTTCCTCATGAGCTCGTCGTGGTATGATTTACAGAGCCGACTGCAAAACAACAATGTCACTATGTCTAGATATCGCCACGGAACTTTGGCTGATGCACAAAAGGGTTGGTTGGCCAAACAAAGAAGCGTGGTCGCTGGTCGATAGAGCTGAGCTTTCTGTATGTATGTCATGACACCACCCTTTTCTCATCTTCCCGATTGCTTGCTTCCACGTCTATTTCCTTATCCCATTTACCTCAAGCCTCCAATGTATTTGTAATTTCTTGGGAGGTGTCGCATATTATACCTCCTCTACATAAAGAGCTTCCTTTTACGCACATGGTTATACAAGACCATTGTGAATAGACTTTGTTGTGGATGTGCGAGATCGCGATTATTACGACCTTGTGCAGATCATCTGCTCTGTATGATAACACTGCATGCTCCGTATGTTCTTGTCTCCTGTTCAGATTCTGTTTTGGCCAGCCCGGCCGATTGACTGGGTGTATTTTTTGGGCGGCTCCTAAATTGGGGAAGGGTAGCTATACGAAGTGTCACATAATATGGAATTTGACCGCGAGTCAATGCTTAGGTAATAGTCCTGGGTGCTTGTGAACTACCATGTGCTCAACAGAAACTAGAAGACAGCACAGATTAGTAGTCAAAGCCATATGCGGGCATTCCATATATACATTTCATTGTACACCATGATCCAAATGGTGCCATCTGATGATCAAACTAGCCTGTCACAAACAGTCTAGGAGACCAGACGCCGAAGATGCATTATCATAGCAATAAGAGAAGCTTGGCATGGCCAAGGAACAAGAAGAATCGACACGTATTTTTTTTGTGAACTCGAGTGCTGAGGTGAGTGAAAGGGATATGTGCAGTGCGGTTAAGGATGGCGAATCCCTGAACAAGACAAACAGGTTCCACAAATCATGCTGGTTGGATGGGAAAGGGTATTAGTATAAAGTAAGAGACGCAACCCAGCACATTACAACAAGAGGAGTAATACATGCTGGGCCAAAATAACGTTCCGTAGCACAGACGGATATACCACAGATCTATCCTGGAGCATAGAAGAATACTTAGACTAAGTATCCCGAGAAGCGTGCCTGCGCCCGTCGACTAGGTTATCCACACATATGCGAAGAGCAGGAAGACAGCCAGGAAGAAAGCCAACCAGACTCGCCAACCCACACCGGTGCGCTCCGCCATCCGCAGCATCCGGGTCATGTTACCACGGAGACGCACTCTGGTGTTTTCGAAGGTGTTGTTGAGGTCGGAAATCGCCGAGGTATCGCGAATTTCGTCGCCGATGGCGACGGTGAGCTGGAAGCGAACAATTGATTAACATAACATAACTCGAGAAGGCTGTCCGAAGGCTTACATCTTTGAGCATCTTGACTTTGGCGCTGATTCCTTCCACCTCTGCATCATTTTGTGACTCAAGGTGGTCGAGAACGGCATCGGAGTAATGACCTCTACGTGCCTGTAGTGTAAGCTGATTGCACAGTCGACAGGTTGTCCGGTGCCCATCCTTTCCTCGCATTATGGACCACTCACTTCTTGTTTGGAGTCGCTGTCCTAAATCCTCCTGAAGGGCCGCCATTCCCCAAGCCCTCGCCAGCCGGTGGGGTATAGCCTCCGTATCCGTATCCCCCTATGCGGCCAGGAGATCGGCTGGCTGGACGCGAATCGCCGCCATAAGAGTCGAAAAGGGAAGACGAGCTGCGAGGGTCGCGCTGATGGAGATTTGAACGTGGAAATCTAGTTACACATAGTCAGGGTCGATTATTGCCGCATGGTTGAAGATAGTTGGCATGGTCATACCGTGAGGCCATAACGTGTCGTGTCGCTTGTAGTGATGTGTGGATGGTGATCCCCCGGGAAATCAATCAGATGTATTCTTCGAACGGTTCATACGACCTGGCTGGTTCGCATAACAAGAGCCGATGCCAGATGCTCACAGCCAGCACCAGCCTGTTTAATTAGCTGAGAAGCTGACAAGACTGTTATTATGCTACAGTGGACTGCGAGCTGCTTGCGGCGATTGATGCGGCGAAACACGCCGGCTGCTAACCGGGCCTCTTTGCCCGGCCGGATACTTCTCCGGCACGTGCTCTCTACATCGTCATGTTATGTGCCATGGATACGGACGTTCCTGCGCGGAGGCGATCAAATAATTCAAGATTGCAGATATCTATTCATAGCATCAGACTTTAGATCAGTTAAGATGGCCTCCACCACATAAATTTCACACAGTTCTCCACGTACTAGGTCATCGGAAGCGGCTCGATATAAATGTCGGTAGAGCAGATTAATTTCAATTGCTCGCTACATTTACTTCAAAATAGTTATAGTCCAGGCATCAGAGCGGTCTAAAATTTGTTCTGAGAGATTATTCAGACAGCTCTACCACTAAGAACTAAGTTTAACAAGACTAGTTAAAGTCAATTTTGCTAATTTCCTACAATGGGGGTAGTCGGGTACTTCGAGCCAAGATGTTGACTGAATGAATTTGACTTCAAAACATGCACCAGATAAACTACGAGTACGTATGTGATGGAAATATTAAGAATTTATTGTATTCGTCGAAAGGAGACTTTTTCCTCCCAGGTTCTGCAAAAAAAAAAAAATCATGCAGCGAAGACTAAACTTGCATCTATGCAATCATGCACAACGAAGAAGATCCCATAAGTTCGTTAGAGAAAACAGAGAACAGGAAGATTAAAATGTGCGAACAGAAAGGGAATAAACCAATGAGTAGCCAGGGGTAGTAACAACTAGAAGCAAAACTGAAAGTTAAGACATTTAGTCGAGCTCCTCAGGGCCCTCCTCGACGTCGTCAGCAGTGCGGGTGGCGCCGGGGGCGGCACCGCCAGGGGCGCCACCAGCAGCACCGTAGGCAGCGGAGATGATGGGGTTAGCAACACCCTCAAGCTCCTTCTGCTGGGACTCGTACTCCTCCTTGGTGGCGGTCTGGTTGGAGTCGAGCCAGCTGATGGTCTCATCAATCTTGGCGGTAACCTTCTCCTTGTCGGCGTCGTTGATGGTGAGCTTACCCTCGCTGAGAGTGTTCTTGAGGGAGTAGGCGTAGGACTCGAGACCGTTCTTGGCCTGGATACGGGAAGCCTCGGCCTCATCCTCGGCCTTGAACTTCTCGGCATCGGCAAGCATGCGCTCAATCTCCTCCTTGGAGAGACGACCCTTGTCGTTGGTGATGGTGATCTTGTTGGTCTTACCGGTACCCTTCTCGATAGCGGAGACGTTCATGATACCGTTGGCATCGAGATCGAAAGTGACCTCAATCTGGGGAACACCACGGGGAGCAGGGGGGATGCCAGTAAGCTCGAATTTGCCGAGCAGGTTGTTGTCCTTGGTGCGAGCACGCTCACCCTCGTAAACCTGGATCAGGACACCGGGCTGGTTGTCGGAGTAGGTGGAGAAGGTTTCAGACTTCTTGGTGGGGATGGTAGTGTTGCGCTTGATAAGAGCAGTCATGACACCACCGGCAGTCTCGATACCGAGAGAGAGAGGGGCAACATCGAGCAGGAGGATCTCGTTGGTGGACTTGGAGGAAGTGTCACCAGACAGAATAGCAGCCTGGACAGCAGCACCGTAGGCAACAGCCTCATCGGGGTTGATGGACTTGTTAGCCTCCTTGTTGAAGAAGTCGGAGACGAGACGCTGGATCTTGGGGATACGGGTGGAACCACCGACAAGGACAATCTCGTGGACGGAGGCCTTGTCGATCTTGGCGTCACGGAGGACACGCTCAACAGGCTCCATAGTGGAGCGGAAGAGGTCCTGGCAGAGCTCCTCGAAGCGAGCGCGGGTGATCGAGGTGTAGAAGTCGATACCCTCAAACAGAGAGTCGATCTCGATGGAAGTCTGGGCAGCGGAAGAAAGGGTGCGCTTGGCACGCTCGCAAGCGGTGCGGAGACGACGGAGAGCACGAGCATTGGAGGTCAAATCCTTCTTGAACTTTCTCTTGAACTCGGTCGAAAAGTGGTTAACGAGGCGGTTGTCGAAGTCCTCACCACCCAAGTGAGTGTCACCAGCGGTGGCCTTGACCTCAAAGATACCCTCTTCGATGGTCAGGAGAGAGACATCGAAGGTACCACCACCCAAGTCGAAAATGAGGACGTTGCGCTCACCCTCGGTCTTCTTGTCGAGACCGTAGGCGATGGCAGCAGCAGTGGGCTCGTTGATGATACGGAGAACGTTCAAGCCGGCGATGAGACCAGCATCCTTGGTGGCCTGACGCTGGGAGTCGTTGAAGTAGGCGGGGACAGTGATGACAGCGTTGTTGACGGTACCACCAAGGTAGGACTCGGCAGTCTCACGCATCTTAGTGAGGATCATGGAGGAGATCTCCTCGGGGGTGAACTGCTTGGTCTCGCCCTTGAACTCAACCTCGACGATGGGCTTGCCGGCCTTGTCGTCGACGACCTTGAAGGGCCAGTGCTTCATGTCAGACTGGACCTCAGCATCGGCAAAACGACGACCGATCAGACGCTTAGCATCGAAGACGGTGTTGTGAGGGTTCATGGCAACCTGGTTCTTGGCGGCATCACCGATCAAACGCTCGGTGTCGGTGAAAGCCACGAAGGAGGGGGTGGTGCGGTTACCCTGGTCGTTGGCGATGATCTCGATACGGTCATCACGGAAGACACCCACACAGGAGTAGGTGGTTCCCAAATCGATACCGACAGCGGGGGCCATGATGTGATGTGTGTGATGGGAGGTTCGTTATAAAAAAGAGATTCGTGAACAAGTAATGTACAAGAAAGTCTCGATGAAGGGTATAAGAGACTTGAGAGCGCGAGAGAGAAATAGGGGAATAGTAGAAGTAGTAGGAGAAGTAGTAGTAGGAAGTAGTGGATGTGTAGAAAAATGGATGAATGTAAGAGCAAGAAATTGTGCGAGAACCAACGTTGATATAGTGGCGGGCGGTGAAATGGCAGCTCCAGCGAAGTTTCTAGCAAGCGGCGGGTTCGATGGGTATCCATCGGGTTCGACGCTCTTCCACCCGCTCCCGTCGCCAGCTTCGAGGAACCGCCCGCGGTTCTGGGCCATTCGATAAGGAACAAAGAAGGCTCTGGCAGTCTATGGGGTACTTAGTGAAGATGTGGGATGATCCTCGTTGCTGCTAGATTAGACTACAAGCTACTCGCTACTCGCTACTTTAGTTGGTCCCCTGACAGCACAGCAGGGGCCATTGATGGACTGATATGGACTGACGTTGATGGAAAAGGACAGAGGGTTCGATGGAGGGGCAATTCAAGCTTGAGAGAGGGGGGGCCGTGGGCAGCGGGCGGTTGGCGGGGTACCCAACCTGACGTAATAGCTAGCTTTAGGTGGGAAGATTTTTTTTTCTTTTTGTTTGGCTTTTCAACTGTTGTTAGTTAACTTGTCTGACTCATGACTATGGATTGGAAATGACTCTGCTTTCAAAGCTATCTGATGCATAGATAGGCGTAGTCAGTCTACTTGTTTCAAACCTGTCCCAGGTCGCCCTTCTGGCTACTTGCACGCATGCTGTAAACCAAAATTTTCGGTGCTTCTCTGTCCAGCTCCCGCAAACTTGCAAACATCACCACACCAAGTCGCGGATCAGTGCGGGACATACAAACCCCCTCAGAGTGTTAGTAGCTGGTAGTAAGGGTCTGTCTTCTCCCTAGTATCTGATCAGACAATCTTACCCATGGAATCAAACCGAATTAAGTCCGTCATCATGACGGCGGACTCTCTTATTTTCCTGGTCGAGTAGTACCTTCACGGTCTGCTTGCATGAATACAGGGCTGATCGGATCACGTGTTGGACTGCTGCTTACAGAGACAACATTCAATATAACTGACTATTTACCTTTTGAAGGTTTGTGCACTGGACTCTCCTGGGTTCCAAGATCGCGCACAGCTTTTGAGTGGCATCTTTGTCTTCTTGCTGCTTTAACGTGGGAGCAATAATGGTTATCTTTAGGGATAGAGTCTTAAAGTGTGGTACGGTTGAGATCCTGGAGTAGCCTGTGAATGTAGCTGAGTGGGAGGTTGTTTAGCCAAGTCACTTGTGAATAACCCTTCCCACTCCTCCCTCTCTGTCTGCTTTTCTATGTATCTATCTAGTTGTCGAAGAGACCAGTGTCTGATCAGGCCGCCTTGGTCCGGTATGGTCATACGTTCTGATTCCGAGTCATCCTTATCTTGATATCCAGCAACTTGATCCCGGAGAACTTACAGCTTCCCCCAAAAGACCTTATTCTGGTTAAATCTGACTATGCTGGTGGGGAGAGACTGGTACGGCTGAGCCGGGTGACCACCCTCTCTGTAGAGATACATCAAGGCCACGGATACCGCCTGACTATTGTTATTAGGGTGCTTTTATATCTTCCTATTCCAATATCTGCGCTAATTGTGGTATGTCTAGAGTGAAAAAAATAGTGTCAAGATCCTCCTTATTCCTTATTGTTGGAGCCTACCTTACAGTATGGAAAGTATGGCTAGATTTATTGGCACTCACCTTACCTCTCAAACTAGCCAATGAAGGGCCAGGCCTTAGACTGAGATGTCTTAGCCTTCTGGGAGGAGCATTTGAAGGTTCAACTCCCAGCCCACAATACGATTTATGAATGAACACGGCGCAGGATCAAACACGTACATGTAGGAAACACTAATAAAAACAGTCCAATCAACTGTCTTCGGAAAGAATTCAGCTTAAGATTCTTGTTGCAATAGTTCTTCGCTCGACCATTAGCTGCCTTAAGGCATCATGCTTCAATTAAGTGTATCGAGGAATTCAAACACTCCATTACAAAACACCCGGTCACGGATCCTTGATCTGAGTACGGATTGCAGTTCAAGCTGTCGATTCGCGAGGCGCTATCTGTAGGATCAGGATGCACATTGTGGATAGCAGGAACCTTGCGTGGGAAGTCGCAGAAACGTCCGTAGAATATTCTTTTATCACAAGTCAGGAAAAAGCCAGCCTTGATTAAATAGCAAAAACAAACCCGACCTTAACGAACCCTATGAAGACCGCCAATATCCTGCCTGCGCCTGTCAGCCAATTGCCCATTCGCACTCGCCGCCCCTATGTTGATTGTGTTGTGCTAGTTTTGTCCGAGCCATTAAGAGATCGTGTATTTCAGCCGCGCATGACGGTATCCTCATCCTCGTCCGCACCAACGTAGTCCTCATCATCATCCTCGTCATCCTCGTCCAAGTTGTCGGCCCTCAACTTCTCTGCTGCTGCCTGGTAGTCAACGGTCTTGCCGCGTGTCCGGCGGCCTCCCGAAATGATGTTGTCCGCAGAGATCGGCTCCAGGTCGTCACCGTCATCTTCTTCGACTGCCAAATTGATAACAAGGTCAGTCTGGTACTAAGTGCGCCCGTATGGCTTGAGCAGCTAGCAGGACTCAACCGAGCTCAAGGCTTAGAAAAGGCAAGGCAGTGGGTATCATACCGTCTTCGAGCTGCATAATGTCGCGAGAAAGTTGGTCAGTCTGACAGGCCAAATAATCTTTCCATGATGCGGTGTATCTCACCATCTCCTCATTCTCGCTCTCATCACTATCTTCCTCCAAGTTTTCTTCATGGCTAGGCTGGGTAGCCTTGCCCTTGCCCTTGTCCAAAGCAGCCGCATCGGGGGCGTTGGCGGCGCGGTCGTAGCCGGGAGTGGTGGTCTGGTTGCTGTCACCCATGATGGAAAATGCTCGGTTCAGGAGGGAATATTGGAATGATTTCGAAAGGGAAATGCGAAGACGATCACACGGTTAGAATGGCAAGGAGAAGGAGAGATAGGAAGCGTTGTCCAAGGTGACTATTTTGAAGTATTTAGGTCAGCTTGGTCGCAAGGGAGATTCAGCTCGACCGCCTCCGGGGAAGCGGTGATTTCGTTGCCTAGGGCGGCGGCCTCACGGCTCCCGTGACTGAGGCACCCACCACCTCCTGCATAACAAACATCTTACCCAACTAAGCACCCAGTAGAACTACCGTGGACCTATGGATGCGAGACTGTAGAAGGCTGCATCAGAGGCAATCCCTCAAACATTCGATATTACTTATGCCCAAAAAGCTGATAATGAAGCGTTAAGTCCACTGATATGGTACCCGAGAGCATCATAGTATAAATGGTATAAGGTCCTGGTAGTATGGTTTTGCCAGCGGACCTGATGCTGATACTTGTTTACTACAATCCATTACAAGTCAAGTAGGGATAAATAGCGGGTATGAGACTTTGTACGGCTTTGCATAGTGGCTGTAAGCTGAACATAACAAGAAGTGCTTATCTGCTTTGTACTAAGCCATAGAAGAGTTACCCCCCCCCCCCCCCCCCCCGCCTCAGATAGACAGCTACAATGGCTTATCCTCAATTCTGACCGGTAGGCTACAGTCAGAGAGGCTTCTTTGAACATCAAAAAACCCAGGGGACCAGGGCCAACCTCGGACTTCAGCCAATGGCATCTGCGAAAGAATTGGCCATATGAATACCTCAAATATTCTATAATGTCTAGTAGTGTTAGCTCATTCAACTTGAGACAGACGAGGCAGGTAAAGAAAGCATGGCTGAAATAATCAGGTATTCTGGGCGTATGATGAAGACAAGAATAGTTTGAACAATGGCTCCTGAAACCTGAGTAGTCTATTCAGAATCAAAATAGTAATATTTCTAGCAAAGACTCGAAGGTCTATATCTACAGCTCTACCAAATAGGTAAAAGGGAATTGACCAAGCCAAACCCCGAGCATGGCGATTTGATATAATGAAGTGACCATGCTTGGTAAAAATCCTATGAGACTAAAGGCCCATAGAGGGCGCTCTTGCGAAAAGCACACTCTTTATGTAGACCTAACTTAGAGAACATACCCGAACAGAAAGTAGCGGCTGCGTAATTCGACCAGCACCTACTGTACGTGCCTGTCTATAGACATATGCCTATAGACGAATATCAACATGTGAAAGATCAGTGTCTCAATTCTGAGTTGTCTGACCGTGCGTAACATATGCCTGGAAAAGGTAAAGAAGCGAGGTATGTATCCTGGAAGACTAGCTTGGGAGATAGACAGCTCAATATATCATGGTACATAAACGGGAGATGTAGTTTGTTTGTAACTGCAAACGGTTAACTGTAACTGAAGCATGGATGTGGTTCCTGTTTACACTGCGTACACACGAGCGCTCGATAAATACTGCAATGTTAACAGCAGCTCCTGCTATTTAATTGTGTGAGACACATTTAGGCAATGTAGGCTCAGCCTGGAAATCAAAAACCGTCCCAATCAACGCCACGCAAATATCTACGTACACAAATATATATACAATTTGTCCATCAGAGTCAGTAGTCTGATGTCGATAAAGGCGTAATCTGACCACCCTGCTCCCAATTCGGCCCGACTCTGCACAGTTTCTCGCACACGCTTTCAAGTCAGGTCCCTGACTCGGTCACAAGAAGTGTCGGTGGGAGAAAGCGAGAGGGAGAGGACCCAATCCTGCGGTCAATCACAACCCTTGAAAATCACCCGCCCACCAGCGTTGTACGCGACTCGCACCGAGCTGGAGCACGTTCCCGATGCTAATGTCCTTAGCCCGCTCGGGAAATTTCTCGCGCTGTTCGCGTTGAATGCGCAGGAGGGCGGCGGAGGTGCCTATTGCGAAGGCGAATATCGGATCCGCGGCTCTGTTGCGCCGGCCAATGTTAGTCTCGATTGCGGGTCTGAATGGTGTCATGGACCTAAATTTGATCTCCAAAGCCTGGGTTGGGGGCGTGACTAGGCAGATTTTGGGCAGGGATGAATCGGTTGAGGTGGTCTGGTCGGGCTGGTGGAAACGTACTTGGAGATTAGGTAGATAGGCATTTTGGGCAGTGCTTGCGTGGCAATGGTGATGCTTGTCGCAAATTGTGCTAGTAAGATGTTTGGATAGAAGAAGAAGATAGGATATTCACAGGAATGAATGGTTCAAGACCTTGCGTAGTGGGCTGATTTCTCTCTTGTTCGAATTGAGCCAGACAGTGGCTCTGGGCTGGCGGATGGTCTCCGAGATATAGAATGGTCACGTGAGGGTATTGATATAGATTTTTGAAGATGCCACCGAGGCAGTGAACCCAATCGGCATATTGTAGTACAAAAGAAGTTTTCAGAGCTGGGCTAGTTTGACTTCAATCCCATAACTTCAGTCTCGGGAGAGGTAAACATGCTATCGGTTTTGAATATTTCGATGCACAGGCACACAGTAAACCTCGTGAGGATAGCTCAAAAAGCGGCTCGTCGACTCTTACAACATTAACAGAGCAAGTTTGACCACATGGGAAAGGGTACAGTTCATAAGTCAAATTAAGGGGAGTTGTATTTCTTAAGATCCAATCGCCATGCCGCCATCTCAAACTCGTGAAAGCAAAAGTAAACTGTCTTGTCTATCAAACATGCAAGGCTCAACAGCATGCTCTATTTTGGCACCACCACCAAAAACTTTGAACATAAAGAAATGAATCGTGTCCCAAAAAGCAAAGCACCCGCTATAATAATCAACATATAGTTACTTTTTTACACAACCTGTCCAAACGCAGGGATCAGCGTCTGAGCCAGCCAGAAGCTGAACACAAGCTTGGGTCCGGTCATCAGCAGCTTGGGGGTTAAGCCCTTGAAGAAACTGGCGAAACCCTCGTTCTTCATCATGTTGGACACGATACGGAAACCAGACTCCGGGTTTTCGAAGTTGCGGTTCTGGATGCGGGTCTTGATGACGTCCAGAGGAGCAGACACAACCAAAGAGGCACTGGCACCACAGATGGAAGCCACAAAGTTCTGTCCCCAGGTGGCGGAGTTGTAGTCCTTCAGCTGATAGATGTACTCCTTGGCAAAGGCGGAACCACCGAAAAGCTGTTCAGCCAGTTAGCGACGTTTCAGTTCGACAAATGACAGGCACATACAGCGAATGATCCAGGAGCGTTACGGGCTGCAGTCCAGCCAGCGCCACGGTACAGACCCATGCCCTCATCCTGAATGATCTTGAAAAGACCGCGGCCGCGGAAGGCCTCGGGGTTGGTCTGACGTTTGATCTTGAGGACGTCGAGAGGCAGAAGAACAATCTCTCCAATACCAATCAAACTGGGTTCAAGGTTAGCTAAAGGGCCTAAGTCAACTGCATCCGAGATACGCACCTTCCAGCTGTAGCGTGCATGATAGCCTTCCCAGTTCCCTTGCCGAAAGCATTGTCAAAGTCGGAACCGTAGTTCTTGGCCAGATAATCACGAGCGAAGGGCTGACCACCGTACTTGTAGATACGCTGGAGAACCTTGTATCCAGCGGCGTAGCCGAGACCGGGGAAGAGAGAGGTAAACTTGCGACCAGCGGGAGCGTCGGCAAACTCCTTGAAAATAACCTTGTTCATTGCCTCACGAGAAGAGATCTAATGAGCAGACATGTTAAATGGGCTTTAGCCCGGTTCGAATCCAAATCTTGCAACACCGAGGTTTTCTTACACGACTCTGGTTGCTCATCAGCCGCTTGGCGATGGTGTCGACCTTCCAAATATGTCAGTAAATGATTCCATCGAGCGCGTTCGCGACGCCAATAAGACAAGGGCGCAATCGTACAGGATGGAAGACCATCAGTTCCGTGATACCGGCCGTTCCTGGGGACACCCCGAGTCAGTAAGTTGCGGACATCAGCCATTCCTGGGCTGTAAAACACCTACCAGAACCCAGAAGACGGGCAGTTGCGGATTCTCTCTTGACATCCTTAGTGGCAGAGCCAGCACCGGCTTGAACGATAGCGGGAGACATTTTGACTTGGTTGACACGGATGGCGAAATTCTAGCTTGAATTTTTTTTTTCCCTTTTTCTGTTTAGGAGTATGAATGAGTCTCGAGAAAAGTCGAGAAGAGAAAGAAAATAGAGAACCACGGAGAGAACAACTCACCACCAAATTGAGAGGGGCGAAACACAACAGGAGCCAGACAATGCAGCTAAAAAGAGAAAGAAGGCAAACGCACACCAACCAAGAAGGGAGAAGGGGAAGGAAGAGGAAGAGAGCGAGAGAGGGCCGCCAGCGACTTTCCGACGACTTTCTGCGCCGACTCGGAACCACTTGCAGCGGCCGCGGCGGACGGATAAACTCCACTAGTCTACTTCGGGCCTGGCACCATCGGCCCTGAATCGGAGCCGCTCACGACCATGTGAGTGAGTGAGTCAGCATCGCTTCATTCCCGGTTGCAAGCGATTTTGGAACTATCAGGCGGCTGTTCCTGCAGCCTTGTGGCCTTGCAAGTTTCAACCATACGAACCAGACGGTTTCAGGCCCAGGCTCCAAGTTCTCCAGGGTGGGCTACAATTATTCTTGTGGCTTTCTCGGTGTGCGCGGTTAGGTCTTCATTCATTCAACAAGAGATAATCAGAGGTTTGATCCTATTAAGACGAATTCCACATGAAGACAGGTCGCCAAGAAAAGACAAGGAAGAACACAAATAGCACCGGAAGAACGCCGACGGACGAGAGATCAAAAGCATCAGTGACCAGCGCAGTCCAGCTTGCCCATCTTGCTACGGCCTACGACTGGTAGATCCCATGTCGGAGACATCATCACCTCAAAAGGCCGAGAGCGAAGCAAGGTAACGTTGGCGCGAGTTGATTACTACTTTGAGATAAAGCAAGACAGATACGGACAGGTCGACCAGCGCCTAGTAGTCACCGAATGTGTTCTCGCCGGAGTACCTGGTAGCGAACAATACGTCAGTAACAATTACACCCCAAGGAACCGGGTTCAATGCTTACGTGATGTATAAAAAGCCATCCTCATCCTTGTGCTCTTCGTAAATGCTGCTCATGAGCGCTGCTGTGGGCGGAAGGACCTCATCGACGAAGATGAAGATGGCCTTCTCGGGAGATAATTTGATGCGCTTGCGAATCACGTAGACGAACTGCCCAACGGTAAGGTCTGCGGGGACAAGGTACTTCTTCTTGTCGATAGTTGCAATGTCCGACTTCTCGACCTTTTCGCAGATTACCTATGAAACCAGAGCGTGGTTAGCATGGCAAACAAGCGGTGAGCCACGGAAACACATTAATCTTCTTACCGGAATGCGATCGGCGTACTTCTGACGAATACGCTCAGCCTCAGCCTTGCGCTTCTCGAAAGGGTGCTCGTCCTTGAACTTGGAACGCATGTTGTTGGAGGGATGGGAGCGGTTAGTGAGGAGAGGCACTGATAGAGGTCGAGAAACACCGATAGATGCGATAAGATGACTCGAGGGCGGAACCAAAGTCCGGGATGCGATGGGAGGACAGTAGAAAGGTGAGAAGCAGTTAATAGATGGATAAAGGGATGAATGAGTAGATGAATAGATGAGAACAGGGTGGAAGGAGGATGGTTGGTGATGACAAAAGGTTAAGAGAAGGCGAACAGCGAACCCCGCGTCATGGAAGGGAAGTACAAGTACTGGCTGATAAGGCCGCCAGGCAAGCGCGGATCACGGGGTGGAGGCGGTGAACCGCCTCCACACGTTGGTTGAGTCAATAGTAGGTCAGGTGAGGAGGTCTTCTCCGTCGCTGCATCGAAGGTCAGCAATTATCTTGTCATTGTTTCTTCACGTGGAAGCACTAATTCGTTCAAATGACCCAAGTCGGATGATCGTATCCCTTGGCTGCGATCTTGGATTTCAAGGGCAATGACACTACCTGACTGACTCGATTGATCAGTAGTTCAGCTGCGTTGCCACCAGCGCCTCCACTTACAGCTGTGTCTAGATCATGGATAATGGAGAATCCTTGGTCCTATCCGCCTAAATTCTAAGGTAGTGACTATCTACAGACTACCAGCTAAACTATTCAGGGGTCGCCCCTTAAGTCAAAGTGTACTGCTTGCCCTGCCTAATCCAACCAAGCCTTCGTGTTCGTAGATCCGCAATGTGATATGAACAAAGGGCATCATGGCCCACCCGTATGCCCTGATGCTTTGACAAACATACTTAGTAACAAAGAATTGCTAGGTGACTTGTTATGATCCACCCCGAGCACGTGATCTGCACAAATGGAGCATACTTTACAAACAGAGCAAACAAAATCATACTTGCGACATGGCCGGATTATCCAAACCGCAGGTGGTCCCATACTCTTTCGGAACAAATGAACCAACCCGACCAATTATTACCCTGTGAAATACGTGCTTACCTCCACCATCTTCTTCATTCCATAGGCGGATTTCCGGGAAAACGCAAGCGCGAATCTGGCACCACCTGATCTTTAAACAGATCAGCCAATTTCTCAATCGCACGTTGACGATGGCCATGGGCCGGCCATATATGCCTCTGCGGAGGTCCCTTTGTCAGATCTCTCCTCGAGCCTCTTGCAACCCTCGTGGCGTCTGTGGACAGTTTCGCAGATATTCATCAGACCAAAAGCCGCGCGAAGCTAAACCCTTCACCGTGTGGAGGCCATACCTGCGACTAGCCATTGGTGTTCCATTCATCGCTGCTTTAATTTATTCTATGGTACCAATTGCACCATTCAGCCCCGCACCATTGGCCCTCGACCTGACATTCAATCTATACAGATGACCGGTGAGGTAACCGAACTCGACTCGCCGTCGATTGTGGAGCTCGATGAGGCATTGAAGAAGCAAGCAACGATCAGTGAGACGTCACCTATGCGCCTGCGCATGGAGAAATTGATTAAGGAACATCAGCAGAAGATTGTGGAAGAGCTCAGCAGGATAGATGGAAAGCAATTCAAGAGCGACGAGTGGAAGCGGCCCAATGGGGGTGGTGGGATTTCCTGTGTTCTTCAGGATGGGAACGTCTTCGAGAAAGCTGGAGTCAACGTATCAATCGTCTACGGAGAGTTACCTCGTCCTGCTATCGAGAAGATGCGAGCCGATCACAAGTCCTTTGTCGGAGCTGATGTGGACTCGCTGAGCTTCTTCGCCGCTGGTCTCTCTCTAGTCCTGCACCCACACAACCCCATGGCTCCGACAGTCCATCTGAACTATCGTTACTTCGAGACCTCGGATCCCAAGGACCCAATCAATGGCGACAAGAACTGGTGGTTTGGTGGCGGGACGGACCTGACCCCCACCTACCTTTTCCCTGAGGATGCCAAACACTTCCATCAAACAATCAAAGACGCCTGTGACCGACACGACGCCACATATTACCCCAAGTTCAAGGCCTGGTGCGACAAATACTTCTATCTACCTCACCGGCGTGAGTGCCGAGGCATCGGGGGCATATTTTTCGATGATCTCGATGCCAATTTCTTAGAGTCCTCGTCGACTTCGTCACAAAATCCGCAGGAGACGCTCTTTTCCTTCGTGTCGGACGGGCTTGCTTCTTTTCTCCCCTCATATGTTCCCATCATTGAGCGCAGGAAGGATATGCCTTTTACTCCGGAACAGAAACAATGGCAGCAGCTTCGCCGAGGTCGTTATGTGGAATTCAACTTAGTTTACGACCGTGGTACCAGCTTCGGTCTCCGCACTCCAAATGCCCGAGTGGAGAGTATCTTGATGAGCCTTCCTCGTACAGCAAGCTGGGCCTATATGGATCCAGTGTCTGGAACTCGCACCGAGGAGCCCGATTCGGAGGAAGCGCTGCTGACGAAAGGAAAGGAGCATGAGAAGGAGATCATGGATGTTTTGAGACACCCTAGACAATGGGTGTAATAGGAACATAGTTTCCAATTTCTCTTTGATGTACAACAAGAGCGGTCCCGCCACTTTTTCTAGGAGACAATTCAGTTTATGTACCTTATTGAGTCAGTCTAGGTTTATATGGTCATGGATACACAAAAATGAGAGCCACAATTTGTACTGTAAGAATCGGATATGAGATTTGTCCAACTTCAGAAGACTATTTTATGAAAAGTAGCAATATCTCTATATGCGCCTTATGCTAACAATATGTACCATTCATCAGTGATCCCATTCAAAATGCTACCAAGAATACAGCTTGATGCATGCTCGACATTATCCAAAAGCAGTTTGCGCCAAATCATCCGCTACGATGAGTGAAATCAGTCAGAGACAATAAAACATTCATTAATGCATTGATACCTCCAAGTACCAGGGACCAACCAGGAAATTATTCGAGGCTGTCTCTAGGGCCGCCCATTCGACGACGAGGGAATCGACTGAACACACTCCTTCGGCTGGCTTGGCTGGCTATCGATGCTCGCAGGTCTTCTTCATCTACAAGCATGCTGCTGGTATCGAACGCATCTCCACCACCACTCCAGCGCTGTAAAAACCGTCGTTGAGCCTCTGTTTCACGCTCCCGCCGCATCGGTGCCGGAGGCAAGCCACCACGGGAACTCGTCGTACTCGCGCGAAGACTCTGGGTGAAAGGATCCTGCGCGAAACTGACATCATCCTCGTCGTCGAACTCGGCGTCGGTATCCGTGTGTTGCCATTCCTCCTCTTCTCTCTGTGCATAGTGGTCGTCATCGGCCTCGGGGGTGTCATCGTCCAGATTGCGGTCCATAGCCCCGTCCTCGCTCATATCCTCATCATCGTCACCGTAGCCCTCCTCCGCCGCACTAGGTATGTCAGCGTCCAGATCTGGCTGATGATCAAAGTCCTCGTTCTCCTCATCCAAGTCTTCCTCGTCGTCATCATAGCCTGAAAAGGCCTCGGGTATATCGTCATCCAAGTCCCGTTCCATGTAACCTTCCTCGTCCTCGTCCTCGACGCCTTCCTCCTCCAGCCCTTCTTCACCTTCCTCGACTAGACCGTCCGCATCAGCGTCAGGGATATCATCATCCAGGTCCCTCTCCACACCCGTATCATCCTGAATTCCCTCGCCGTCTATTGTATCCTGCGTCTGGCCCCCAAAGTCATCCATCCCCGCCTCAGCAGCCGCAGCCGCGGCCGCCATCTCCGCAGCCGCGGCCGCCAGCGCCTCCTCTCGCTCCGCCTCCTCCTCCTTCATCCCCAGCATCGTCTTCGGGCACCCGGCAGGTTTGATCCACGAGTAACCGAACGAGGCGATATTATTTTTGCGGGCGCGGAGGGCGCGTTCCTCGAGAAGGAGGGATGAGAGCATGTTGCCGGAAGCGGTGGAGTGGCCACGTCCGGTAGTGGGGTGGTTGCTGCCATTGCGGCGGTTGGGCCCGTGAAGTTCTCCCGGAGGATGATGGTGATGATGGGGGTGGTTGGAAGACGAGGGGGCGGAGGAAGAGGGGCGGTAGGGTTGGGACGAGCCGAACCAGAGTTCGTGGGACTGTGATGGTTTGTTAGCTAGGTCCAGGAGACGGTGAAAATGACGTACATCGCGGGGCGTTATGAGGGGGAGGGAGAGCATTGTGGTCTGCTGTACCGGACGTTCGGTGGAGTTATGCGTGTTGCTGTGTTTGGCTGTCCTGACCAATGACGCAGGTGCTGATTGAACACCGTGGTCGTCTCGAGAGCTAGAAGTACCTAGGTGTGCCGTCTGCGTTTCAAGTCCCGTTTGCGCGCGACCTTATCGTGGTGTCGCGAATGATGTCGACACGATAGTCGGAGCTTGGGATGCCGATGAATTTGGGGGTTGCAGGGGGAAACCGAGAAAAAACTATCAATGGCGGAAGAGGAACGAGTCTCCGCGTGCGGGGAAAACCTGACGGCAGCTGAAGATCTAATCTCACTGGGTCATCATCGAATGCTGAGTAAAGTTCGCTACAACGCTCGAGTCACTTGAGGCTACGATTAATACTTTACTGTAAAATCTTATTCATGTCTCTGGTGCCATATAAATGAGAATGCAATGCTATTTTTACGCTGTTCGCGTCATTTGATGACAGATGAAAATATACTTTGCGAAGCGCATAGAGGAACCATTCAAGCTCCGGATAACCAGGTACGTTAGCATGGGGTTCAAGATCTCAGTAGCCAATGAGTAGATTCAAATTGCAAGAGCCAAGTGTATGCTAATCCCACACAAGACTCGATGGCGGTCTTAAGCGAAGTCCTCGTGATCAATGTCTTCTTATGCCGATGAAGTGTTCTGCACAAGTAGCGATTACTCCGCAGCTCGAGCGAAGCAGTGACGAAAGCAATCATTTATATGCTGAGAGGTGCAATGTCTGCATTAGGCATTCTATGAACGAGGACTGACAAGACGGTCGGACCGACACTGGAAGCTCTCACCCTCTTCATTGGCAAAAAGACGACTTGTATAGGTAGCTGAAGCCGAGCAACCATTGTCAGTCCACTCACCAGAAAACAACAACGGATGGAGGGGAAGTCACGAGTTGAAAAGATCAAGCACACACTCAGACATCGTGGACTGTGGACTACATGTAGTTACTGTGGCAGGAGGGATGCGACAATTAGACCATTTGAACGGAGCAGTCTGCTCCACCACTACTTCACCAGCTGTACTGCCATTTACCGGGATTGCAGTCCGCGATGTTTCAGTGGCAGGATGAATCCTGCAAGATGAGCTCTCGGATTTCATCCAGTCAGAGGAGGCCAAATCATCAGCCCTTCTTTCTCGTGCATTGGCAGGCAGTGACGGGGGAGCGCTGCCTACAATCGCCGGAGCAGCTGTACCACCTACTTGAGCAATAATTGCCAGTGCCAGGGAGAGAAGTGGATAGGAAAGAAGTTGATCGAGGTAAGTCCAGTACCTGGTACCTTACCAGATACATTTCAGTACTCATGACGTTCCGTTTGGCCCGTCTGTAACATTCAATGGAACAGCTGCACTTCTGCTACGTAGGGAGGGTCTCGGCCGTTTCCGTCTCCGTTCCTAGAAATCCCGAAGTGCTGCCCTTCTCCGCCCCCATCGACAAGGCCACGCTCGGTGAACCTAAAGCGGTCAAGCCTGGGCAGGATGCTCCGGGAAAATTCGGAAGACGGAAACATTGGCATCTCCGCTCGGTCATGTGATGCCCGTTCAATCTACCATGCAACTAGACTAGACGTATGTAAGGTCAGGCAGATTGTGTATAGACCTGGTAACACGAGCGACATGATCGTTTAACTGTGCGATCGCCACATTCCATTCATTGAGTTGTACTCTGACCCGAATGATTCCGTGGGAAATCTTGACTCATCTTCATTTCGCTCCGATCCTTAGTCTGATGGTATGGATGTGCAAGACCCCCTCATGAGCTAGTGCGATGCCAGAAACAAATTGCTAGTGGTGGTGTACGGATGTTAACCATGGCAAAGACCGCTGCAGGCCAGGTGAGGATCTGATTGCCTGTTCGGACCTAACCGAGACAATTGGTTCGTACTTGGAGCACCCAGCGATAAGAGGAGGGGATATGCGTTATCGATTCAAAGTCGTCCGAGAGCAAGGCCTCCAATTGACAAGACTGAGTCGAGCCCAAACACAGGCCACCTTGTAGCATTGATGAACATTGAGGATATAGATGGCGCAGGAAAGTGCAGGTATGGCTCTGGATTATGGTCTGTCAAGATTCATAATCCATACAGCGAGAAGAGATTAGGAAAAAGATGAACTGATAGACTTATGAGTTAAGTATTACATCTTGCGTAACATTATTGATGTCAGCGATGCTTATCGGTCCTGGGATTCGGAACTACACATCCTATCTCTGAAAAGTGTGTTTCGAAGGCCAATGGTGAAGGAATAAAGTACTTCCTCGAAAGCATCAATGGGCAGATTAGTAGCGAGATAGATGCCCGGCCATATGAACTGCTCGTATTTCCGGGGGATGGTGTATGCAAGAAGAGGAGCGCTAATTGGTCGGGGGCTCTCAACGGCTAATTGTCCTACACCGATTCCGGACCTGCGGATATGAACAGGCTTCAATCCCACGGGGAAAAGGTTGACTTGGCCAAGTGGCCACTGGCGACTCGGTTGAAGGGGGGGTTGGGTTTCCCCGGAAAATCCAACAAGAATAGAAACAGTAGCTAAGCCATCGAGTATAACCGAAAGAAAGTTTCTAAAGAAACCTGCATGGACGTCCAGCCCGTGGATTAACGTCGAGTAAGAACACAGGCATTAGTTGATAACTGGTGGGATGACCTGAAAGAATGAGCTGGAGAAACCCTCCCCACAAGGCCAGATCCCTCCGGGATCGGCCAGTGGAAAGGGTGGGCCGAGAGGGGAGGGAGGATGGGCGTCCAGGCTTCGGTGCTGTAGGACTTAGCCTAGGAAGGATTCCGGAATGGATAAAGAAAGGCCCTCCCCCTCCCTCCCCTGCTGTCCGCTTGGCCGTTGTCGGAAGAGGGTCTGAGCTGACCTCGACGGTCGGGCGGACAGAACGGGCAGGACGGGCAGGACGCACCGCAGGGTTACCGCTCCGTTCCCAGGGGACTTATCCCACCTTCCCGACATCCGCTAACAATACATATACTAGCTGTAAGTTTGTATGGGCTTGTCACACTGTTGTTAACTTGTTACCACTGATTGCCCGACAACCAGCGTGGGGTATGTGAATTCTACCTCCAGGCTGTACAAGTACTGGGAGACAAGGAGGATGTGTTTCGCTCTAGCGGTCGCTTTGGCTCAATTATTCTAGTAGGTACCTACCTAGCGGCCGTGAGTACACTGTAGCAGGCCGCGTGTGTGCAGAGCATCTCGCCTGGCTATTAGGACTGCTTTCGTTTCCGATTGCTCAGTCTGTGTTCGATTGCAGTTCTACGCAGTTGACAGGGTAGTTCGACCAGAGACAGAGAGACAGAGGGGAGTAAGTATTGGGTAATCACCATGGCGATGGTATAGCATTGCAGTAGCCATCATCATCTAACCCTATCGGCCAAATTCAGCTCAGTCACCAAGAACGAGATCCTTCTCTCGTCTACTGTATACTGGACTCGTCTGTGTGTGCTGCGTTGGACAAGCAAGGTTTCCGAATCAGTTTCCCTCTCATGGATTCCCCTACCCACCAACCATGCGTCTCGCGGTTCAGGCTGACCAACGGCCTGAAAGGCTCTTGGGATTAAGCACTCCATCGCTGAGTTCTATATCCAAGAAACGCGAAAAGAAATCCCTACCTTGCCATTGCTGGGTCACTCACAAATCCCGAAGCCTCCTCACTTCAACAGTCTATATGTCCCATGAAACAGAGAGCAGTAGTAGTATTGGCAGTATGGTTGGCACGTGCTGGTCCAAACAGTGGCCCGGTCTTAGCCAGCTTCGAAGAGTAAGATGGATGTGATTCAGAGGGAGCGAGATGGAAGCATTATAACCGGAAGTTATTGCGAAAGGCCAAGCGTGTCTTTTTGGCAGATCACAACAATTGGAGATCTGTGACGACATGGGTCCCTTTTCTCTTTTTGGTCAACATCTGATTTGCCCCAATTCATGAGCATCTGAGAGAAAGAGCTGGAGAGCTGGGTTATTGGAGAAATAAACCCAAGTCTGTCGGCTGGCTGGCTTGGGAAATGCTGTTCTGAGTTTACGAACTGGAGGCAACGGGTAAGATATTACGGCAGAATACCAGATTACAGTCAACGACCAAGGCAAGGAAGGACTAGCGCCGTCAGTTAGAAGCAACCTCTTTTTTCTGGCTTTTGGACCGAGGCTCCACCGGCTGGATCTTGACGTAGTTGAAACCTAATCTCCCGGCCAAATAAGTGCTCGACTTGTAAAGCCGCTGTCATGATTGGTGGACGAGTGCTTATCTTCTGCACTCTAGAAGTCCCGATCTGCAGTCATTTCAAACCTCTTTGGAGAGCTAGTTAGCGATCATGCACCTTCGACACAACAAATGATGAAAGGAAGGGTTTGTAGATCCTCGACATACATCTGTGTACGACCCAAGGCACCTTGAGTCTGGGATTGTGAGGAGGCGAGCGGTGCCAGCCGAAAACAACCTCGCCTTTGCTTCTAGACGGCTCGGGAGTGGAAAGCTACCATCGACTGGTAAAATGCGGACTGAAGATGGAAGAAGAGGAACAGACCAAAAAGACTGGCCAACTCACTGGCTAGTCGCAAGCCTTAGCTTCATCTTCATCCCGGTGTCCGTCATTTACTACAGACTCTATCTATCTTCTTCCAAGTCTTTATACCACCACCACCACCGCCATCAGCGCTACTTCTGCTCCGTCAAGCTGCAATTTGCCACGGCTACCCTTTTGATCCTTCCCACAGTCGTATTATTAGGAGACAGTAGTAATTAGTGTTCTTGTTATTGATGCAAGAGCAGCACATTGTCATTTGTTCCCAAGCATTATTACATGGTACACGGTACATGGTACTTAATCCATATTGGTTCAAGGTGAACATCCCCCCGGACCCCTGCCCCCCGTCCGCCCTCCACCCGCTCTGGTTACCCTTTTTAAATCATTTCCTCCCCCCCTCCCCCACCCTCCTCCTCCCCCTCACCCAATTTCTTCCCACTCCCTCTCTTGCTCTTCCCCCCTCCTTCTTCCATAAATCTTCACTCAGAGCTAGACGTTGGGCCATCGCCAAAAGCTCTTCGACCGTCCCTCCTGGCTTGCATAACAAACTTGAAAACCCCCACCCACCCCCTCTAGACGTAACGAGCACGCCTTGAATCACTCCGCGGCAGTCCCTCCTCGCTTCAACAATTAACAATCAACAGTTTCCTCGCCCCCCATTTCCATTCGGCTATTCCATTCTCTGTCGGCTACCGACGGAAGAATGGGTCTGAACTTGGAGGAACTCTATGGCCAATCTATAGTGGATGAGCAAAAACCGAACGAGTATTCGGAGTACCAGCCAAAGCAGGGCTATGGCTGGGCTAACACTTTGCCCGAGCGGCAAGGTCTCTACGACCCTGAATATGAGAAGGATGCCTGTGGTGTAGGCTTCGCTGCGTAAGTGTCCTGCTTGCCCCATCAATATGCGCTCAGGTGAGAAAGTCCCCAAGGGTGACAAGGTAACTGACGACGACTGAATAGACACATCAAGGGAAAGCCTAGTCACAAGATTGTCAGTGATGGTAAGTCGTCTCAACGGGAGCTTGAACGCCCTTCAGAAGCCACTATATTGACGCACGCATCTGCTGAACAGCTCGTAACTTGCTCTGTAACATGACGCATCGTGGCGCCGTTGGTTCGGACGCACGAGACGGTGACGGGGCTGGTGTAATGACCAGTATCCCACACAAGTTCTTCATCAAAAACTTCGCACGCGAAGTCGGGGTGGACCTCCCTCCTCTGGGCCAGTATGCCGTCGGTAACCTATTTTTCAAGCCAGACGAAGAGTCCTTGAAAGAGTCCACCAATACCTTCGAGGAAATCGCAACATCATTGGGCCTACGTGTGCTGGGATGGCGAGAGGTCCCTCGTGACTCGACCATCTTGGGCCCTGCTGCACTCTCTCGAGAGCCCATCATCATGCAACCCTTCGTGGTGCTAAAGGCGGCTTATGGCGAAGGCAACAAACCTGAAGTCACTGATCCGGCACAGTTTGATGACAAGACTTTCGAGCTCCAGCTGTACGTTCTACGGAAGCGTGCCACTCATGTGATTGGTCTCGCCAATTGGTTCTACCTCTGCTCTCTCAGTAACCGGAACATTGTCTACAAGGGACAGCTGGCTCCGGTGCAGGTGTACCAGTACTACCACGATCTGGTGAACGTGGATTATGAGGGTCACTTCGCTCTCGTCCATTCTCGTTTTTCGACCAACACTTTCCCTTCATGGGATCGTGCGCAACCTCTGCGTTGGGCGGCCCACAATGGTGAAATCAACACCCTTCGTGGCAACAAGAACTGGATGCGCGCCAGAGAGGGTGTGCTGAAGTCCGACATCTTCGGGGCGGAGCTTGACTCCCTTTATCCTATCGTCGAGGATGGTGGCTCTGACTCTGCTGCCTTCGATAACGTTTTAGAATTATTGATGATCAACGGAGTGCTCTCTTTACCCGAGGCAGTCATGCTTATGATTCCCGAAGCATGGCAGGACAACCCAGCCATGGATCCGGCCAAGGCTGCTTTCTACGAATGGGCTGCCTGTCAGATGGAACCCTGGGATGGTCCGGCTCTCTTTACTTTCTCCGATGGTCGCTATTGCGGAGCAAACCTTGACCGCAACGGTTTGCGTCCCTGTCGCTTCTACGTCACGGATGATGACCGAATTATCTGTGCCTCTGAAGTTGGCGCCGTTGACATCGACCCCGAACGCGTGATTCAAAAGGGCCGCTTGCAGCCCGGAAAGATGCTCCTGGTCGATACTGTAGCCGGTCGGATTATCGATGACTCCGAACTCAAGTATACTGTTTCCCATCGCCATGATTTCGCCTCTTGGTTGGAGAAGGAGCTCTTGAAGCTCCCTGCGATTAAAGAGAAGCTGGACGAGCAGAGCGTGGACCTCGCCTACGCTTTGGATGAGACGACTATTCAGAATGACCCTCGTTTGAAGGCGTTCGGTTATTCTTTTGAACAAGTAAGCTTGCTCCTGGGTCCCATGGCTGCCGACTCCAAGGAAGCCCTTGGGTCCATGGGTAATGATGCGCCTCTTGCCTGCGTCGCCAAACAACCGCGCCTTCTCTACGAATACTTCCGTCAGCTCTTTGCCCAGGTCACAAATCCTCCCATCGATCCGATTCGGGAGGCAGTCGTTATGTCCCTGGAATGCTATGTTGGTCCCCAGGGTAATCTCTTGGAGATGGAACAGTCACAGTGCCACCGCTTGCTATTGCCGTCTCCCATTCTGAGTATTCCGGAATTCAACGCGCTGAAGAATATCAACCGCGCTCACAAGGATTGGACAGTGAAGACCATTGATATCACATTCGAGAAGCAGAAGGGTGTCCCAGGTTATCTGGAAGCTCTTGATGCCATCTGCGATGCGACTACCGAAGCAATTCAGAACGGAGACAAGATCCTGGTGCTTTCGGATCGAGGCACGTCAGCAGAGAGAGTTCCTGTATCTGCTCTATTGGCCACTGGACTCGTCCATCACCACCTGGTTCGCAACAAGTGGAGGTCTCTCGCTGCCATCGTCGTCGAGACTGCCGAGGCTCGTGAGGTACACCACATGTGTGTCTTAGTGGGATACGGAGCCGACGCTATCAACCCTTACCTTGCTATGGACTGTATTCTTAAGATGAACAGGGAAAAGTTGATTCGCAAACAACTTCCTGATGAGAAGGTCATCGAAAATTACAAGGCTTCCTGCGATGGTGGTATTCTTAAAGTCATGAGCAAGATGGGTATCTCAACATTGCAGTCCTACAAGGGCGCTCAGATCTTCGAAGCCCTCGGTATTGACGACAGCGTCATTGACCGCTGCTTTGCAGGAACCGCGAGCCGCATTCGTGGTATGACTTTTGAGCTTATTGCTCAGGATGCCTTCGCTTTCCATGAGCGTGGATATCCTTCGCGTGAGATCGTCGATATTCCCGGCCTTCCTGAATCTGGTGAATATCACTGGCGTGACGGCGGTGAAGAGCACATCAACGACCCAGTCAGCATTGCGAACATGCAGGATGCTGTCCGCACAAAGAATGACAAGTCTTATGAAGCGTATGCCAAGGCTGAACATGAGCAGATCAAGAACTGTACCCTGCGTGGTATGCTTGACTTCGACTTTGAGCAGCGCACCCCCATCCCCATTGACCAGGTCGAACCGTGGACCGAGATTGTGCGTCGGTTCGTTACGGGTGCCATGTCTTATGGATCTATCTCCATGGAATCACACTCTACCTTGGCAGTTGCCATGAACCGCCTCGGTGGGAAGTCGAACACCGGCGAAGGAGGTGAGGATCCCGAGCGAAGCAAGAGATTTGAAAACGGTGATACAATGCGCTCCGCCATCAAGCAGATCGCTTCCGGCCGTTTTGGTGTGACTTCTCACTACCTTGCGGACGCTGATGAGTTGCAGATCAAGATGGCACAAGGAGCCAAGCCCGGTGAAGGTGGTGAGCTCCCTGGACATAAGGTAGTCGGTCCTATCGCCCGCACTCGATACTCTACACCTGGTGTTGGTTTGATCTCGCCGCCTCCGCACCACGACATCTACTCTATTGAAGATCTTAAGCAGCTCATCTACGATCTCAAGTGTTCTAACCCTCGCGCACGCGTTTCCGTTAAGCTCGTGTCTGAGGTCGGTGTTGGTATCGTTGCCTCCGGTGTCGCTAAGGCCAAGGCTGATCATATCCTGATTTCCGGTCACGATGGTGGCACTGGTGCTTCCCGTTGGACTGGTATCAAGTATGCTGGCCTTCCCTGGGAGTTGGGTCTCGCGGAAACTCATCAGACCCTCGTCTTGAACGACCTGCGTGGGCGTGTTGTTGTCCAAACTGACGGTCAGATTCGTACCGGTCGCGATCTTGCTGTAGCGTGTCTGCTCGGCGCAGAAGAGTTCGGGTTCGCAACCACCCCGTTGATTGCCATGGGTTGTATCATGATGCGCAAGGTAAGGCACTCATTCGAGTTCTGAGAACTGCTTTACTGACAGCTTCTAGTGTCACCTAAACACCTGCCCTGTTGGAATTGCAACCCAGGACCCCGCCCTGAGGGCCAAATTCCAAGGAACCCCTGAGCATGTGATCAACTTCTTTTATTATGTTGCCAACGAGATGCGTGCCATTATGGCCAAACTCGGCATTCGAACAGTCAATGAGATGGTGGGTCGTGCTGAGCTTCTCAGGGTTCGAGATGGTCCTAAAACCCCTAAGCAAGAGAACATTGATCTTTCTCTCATTCTTACTCCCGCCCACTCCCTCCGTCCTGGCGTGGCTACCTACAATGTTCGCAAGCAGGACCATCGTCTTCACACTCGTCTAGATAACAAGTTGATTGCCGAGTCTGAGCTTGCATTGGAAAAGGGTCTGCCCTGCCGAATCGAATGTGATATCGTTAACACTGATCGTGCGTTGGGTGCTACCTTGTCCTATCAGGTCAGTCGCCGCTATGGTGGCGAAGGACTCCCGCAAGACACTATTCACTCGAACATCAAGGGCTCTGCCGGCCAGTCCTTTGGTGCTTATCTTGCTCCAGGTATCACTCTTGAGCTGGAGGGTGATGCCAACGACTATGTTGGGAAGGGTCTTTCCGGAGGCCGCCTCATCGTTTACCCACCCCGCGGCGCTGCGTACAAGGCTGAGGAGAACGTCATTGTTGGAAACACCTGTCTCTATGGCGCTACTCGGGGTACCTGCTTTTTCCGTGGTATGGCTGCTGAGCGTTTTGCCGTCCGTAACTCCGGAGCCACCGCTGTCGTTGAGGGCGTTGGTGACCACGGCTGTGAGTACATGACTGGCGGTCGGGTGCTTGTCCTTGGGCCCACTGGTCGCAACTTCGCTGCTGGTATGTCCGGCGGCATCGCCTATATCTTGGATAAGAACCAGGACTTCCACTCCAAGGTCAACATGGAGATGATTGAAGTCAGTGGGCTGGAGGATCCCGCCGAAATCGCCTTCGTTCGTGGCTTGATCGAGGATCATCACCATTACACCGGTTCTGAACTGGCTGCTCGCATCCTGCTCGACTTCACTCGTGCCCTCCGTCACTTTGTCAAGGTTTTGCCCATCGACTACAAGCGCATCCTTGAGGAAGAAAACGCCAAGGCTAAAGCCGCGAAGAAGGCCGAGTTCACTCTGCCTCAGCTTCCTGGCACCCCAGTCCCCTCCGAGCAGTCGAAGGCTCAGTCCGAAAAGGATGCCAAGAAGGTTGAGATGCTTGATATTGAAGACAGTATCAGTGACTCTAAGACTGAGAAGAAGCGCTCTGCCCTCATTCTTGACAAGACCAGAGGATTTATGAAGTACAACCGTCGCAGTGAGAAATATCGGAACCCTGCTACTCGAACGCGTGACTGGGCTGAGCTCTCTACCCGTCTTAGCGAGGATGAGCTTAAATACCAGTCCGCTCGTTGCATGGACTGTGGCGTTCCTTTCTGTCAATCCGATACTGGATGCCCGATTTCCAACATCATTCCCAAGTGGAATGAACTGGTCTTCCAGAACCAGTGGCAAGATGCCCTCAACCGTCTCCTCATGACAAACAACTTCCCCGAGTTCACGGGCCGTGTCTGCCCTGCTCCTTGTGAGGGGGCCTGTGTTCTTGGTATCAACGAAGATCCGGTTGGTATCAAGTCAATTGAGTGTGCTATCATCGATCGCGGTTTTGAAATGGGCTGGATGGTCCCTCGTCCTCCAAAAGCTCGCACTAATAAGACCATTGCCATCATCGGTTCTGGCCCGGCGGGTCTCGCCGCTGCGGATCAACTCAACCGTGCCGGACACAGTGTCACTGTCTACGAGCGTGCTGATCGTATTGGCGGGCTACTCATGTATGGTATTCCCAACATGAAACTGGACAAGAAGGTTGTGCAGCGTCGTGTCGACCTGATGGCCGCCGAAGGCATTCAGTTTGTTCCTAACACTCCCGTTGGACCTGAACACGACGTTACCCTGGAGTCCTTGCGCAAGATTAATGATGCCATTATCATTGCCACTGGTGCCACCGTGGCTCGTGATCTCAAGGTCCCTGGACGCGAACTTGAGGGCGTCCACTACGCCATGCAATTCCTGCATCGTAACACCAAGTCGCTCCTCGATTCCAACCTTGCTGACGGTGCGTACATCTCCGCCAAGGACAAGCACGTTGTAGTCATTGGTGGTGGTGATACTGGTAATGACTGCATTGGTACCTCCGTCCGCCACGGCGCCAAATCCGTCACCAATTTTGAATTACTGCCCCAGCCTCCCCCGGAGCGTGCCCGCGACAACCCGTGGCCTCAGTGGCCTCGCATCTACCGTGTCGACTACGGTCACTCAGAAGTCAAGACACACATGGGCAAAGACCCTCGCGAGTATTGTGTCATGTCCAAGGAGTTCGTTGACGATGGCAGTGGCCGCGTCAAGGGTATCAATACTGTTCGTGTGGAGTGGACGAAGGGCGCTTCCGGCGGTTGGGATATGAAGACCGTCGAGGGCAGCGAGCAATTCTTCCCCGCCGATCTTGTTCTCCTCTCGATGGGTTTCCTTGGCCCTGAGGACCGCCTTTTGGGAGACGAAATCGAACGCGACGCCCGCAAGAATGTCAAAACTCCTCCTGGTCAGTATTCTACCAACGTTTCTGGCGTTTATGCCGCTGGTGACTGCCGTCGCGGCCAGTCTCTCATTGTCTGGGGTATCAATGAAGGCCGCCAGTGTGCCCGTGAGGTTGATGCTGCTCTTATGGGCATCAGCTCCCAGCTCCCAGTCACTGGTGGCATTGTTCGCCGTCCTGCTATCGATGCAGTCCCTCAATCGGCGCCACAGACTGTTTCGGCTTAATTTCTTTCTACATCTCTGTTGCATCATGTTGGACTGGATCCAGCTGTACAACGACCCTATTTGAGACTCATGATCACAACGAATCTATGACAGTTCATGTTAAGAGAATGAAATCGACCAAGTAAACCAATCCCAAGGAAGAGTTGGTTGATTCGGCCGAGTCAAAACAGGTGGATTGTTTTCACCATGACTACCTACATTTTGTTATTATTTCTTCGAGAGATCATTTTGGGGAGGTTGATTGAAGACTTCTGCTTCGTTGCTACGCTGGCTTTGCGTTGTGCAGCGTCCCTGTCTCTTAAAATGTCGTGCAAGGGGTCAGAGCGTTTTGTTATCTTGTGCGACTTTCTATCCGTCTGTACATATTCTATTCTCATCAATATCAATATGATGATTTGCAACGACTTGGACCAGTAGATTACTTGGTATTGATTCAATCGATAACGGTGCAAGCTGATATCAAAGAAAGCCTACTAAAATTGCAATCGCCAGCGAACTTCCACAGACAACTGGAGGATATTTCTGTCATCCTACGGCCAACTCGATTCCTTTAAAGACTTGCCTCCATCCTAATCTTCCTCCTCGTACTTCTCGTATTGGTAATCCTCATCACTATCATCATCTTCCGTCTCTATCTCTGTCTCATATCCTTCCCGGGCACAGTGTTGGTCCTGGTTTTCTTTTGCTTTCTGCCGAGAAGAATAGCCCTTCTTCAATTCTTCATACCCAAGTCTAATCCTAGCCGCAATCCCGGTCATATCGCCTATGTTGCTCGCATTCTTGCTCACATTCTTGCTCACTCGCCCGTAGGCAACGGCACCGTCCCAGCCGCTCTGGCGACTACCACCACGATGATCCGGGCGCACAGGCCCAGTCGGACGCGCAGCCCGACTCCCCATAAGACCACGACCGCGGCCGTAGCGGTATTCATGGACATGGACATCACCGCGAGATCCACAGTGAACGGAGACTCTGTGAGGCTTCCCATACCTGCGCAGCATACCCCACTGCCTCTCATCCTCCTGTATCAGGGAATCGACGTACATCAAGCGATTCTCCAGGTGGATGAGATCACGCAGGAGATCCTGGCTCATGGAGCTGAGAATGTCCTGGCACGCGCCGAGCTGGCGATCGGCTATCCTGAGCATGGCCCGAAGATTCATTTGGAGGGTTTCGTCGTCCGTCTTGGTGGGTGGTTTGAGGATCGGAGTGGGCTGTGGGGTTTGGGAAATGGGACGGAAAGGAGGTGGCATCAAGTCGGCATCAGCGACATTCGAGGCGCTGCTGCGGATCTCCTGAGGACAGTCTGGAAGGGGAACAGGGACAGGAGGGGGAATAACCGTTGCAGAAGGCCGGCTCCAGCTCACGCTTTTGCGGTGTTCAGGGTGGTAGTAGAGGGGATCATGGGTGGAGAAGGGATGGTGGTCAGCGTTGTAATGGCGGTTACCAGCTGACCCTTCATGATGTGATGGAGATTGGGTGTTTTCATAATAATGTGGGGAGCGAAAGGTATTGTAGGAAGGCTGTGCTGGGATTTGGGATGGAAGTGAGTTCGTCGGCGTTGTAGGCGTTGTTGGCGTCGCTGATGATGATGCTGCTGCTGCTGCTTCTGAACCCGAAGGGCCAGAAAACGCACCTTGCCTGATTCTGTTCGTCTCTTTTTGTTCGGTCAGCTCTTCCATCTTGCAATACAAGATGGTGAAGTGATGGAGGGTTGCCGCTCGGTCGCGGACAGTTGCGAATATAGAACTGGTATCGAGAACGGTAATAAATCGGATTGTATAGGAAGAAATGGTGAGTTCGAGGAAGAGAGCGCATGCAGGTCCTTTTTGAGGTTGTTCATCCTTAGACAAAATCACCGTTGAACAAGACAATAAGCACAAAGGTTTGTTTGGCTAACAAAGAGTTTTGACAGGTAGAAGACCGCTGCGTGGCTCGAAAACAACGGTCGACTTCTTTGATCTCCAAGCCGGTCGAAAAGGAACAAACGAACGCTTTTGGTTGTTTGGACGAGTCATTATCATCACCCTTTTGATTGATCTGGATATTCTATTGTACAACATCCCCCAGGGACAGGTATCGGAACTCTAGCATGATATCAACAGTCTGACATCCATCCATGCCCATGAAAAAGGGACAAAGAAGATATAAACATAACACGGGGCAGGGAAGAGGCATTCAGTGAACGAGAAATTTCTTTCATGGCGATGCTGACGTCGCTTCGCCTGCTGCCGACGCCGCCTTCTGACTGGCTGTTGCCTCCTCGGCGGCCTTGATCTCCCTTTCGAGCGCGGCGAAGTCGCCGTTGAAGCACTCGCCAACAGGTTCAGTACGCACATCCCAGACATCCTCACTGCTGGGCCCTGTCTTGTATTTGATAGCGTTTTTCCGGTTATGATCTCGGATTGCCTTCTTGCGCTGTTCCTCACCCCAGTTGCGGCTTTTCATGCAGAACCAGAAGGTTTTCCAGTGCTCGCTGCAAGACCGCAGCTCACCGTATCGGTATACGTTCACAAACTGACCGCCAAATGATTGACAGAAGAAGGCGTAATCAAAAGCGGAGCGACAGGACATGGTATCAGGATAGAGAGAGTCGGGGGCGATGGAGTTCGGTGGAGATTGAGGGTCAGTTGATGATGCGGGATTAGGGGACGATGTGTCTTGTGAAGTATGCAGTTGTTTTTGTGCATGCTGGTTAACATCACTCTCGAGGCTTGCGATTAAGCTCTTCCATTCTGCGTCGGCTTGCTCTTCGCGACTTAACGTTCGGGGCTGCTCTGTTGGTGCTGATGTAGACAGTGCAGACACATTTGCAGGTTCGGATGGTAGACGGGAGTTGGGAAGGCCGGGCGGAGCGGGAGACGAAGTCTGAGACTCGCTCTCCTTAGGAGAGGTATTCCACCACCAGCCCATTGTCACGCTGACCAGTGTTTAAAAAGTTGTTGTTTGAGGCTTGAGTCGACCGTCGGGCGGAGTTGAATCGAAGGGACGGATGCGACTTGACGAGCTCTGATTGGTGCTAGTATTGTATTTTGTGAGAAACGTAGCGTGACCGTACCGGAGCGGGGGCCGCACGTCCACACTGTTACGAGAACGTCGCGGACTGTATTGGCAGACAACGAACTGTTCCCCAGCGACGTCATAGTATGCTCCATGAACCAGGAACCTGGTCGTGAGACCATCGTTCTTTCATCTCTCGCAGTCGCAGAGATGATGCGAGCTCCGGTACATATTGTGAAGCCATGGGGTTATCGAGTCCATGCGCATCCCAGTCGACCGTCTATCGTCGCACCATCTAAAGGAATCCTCGCCAGACTGAGCAGTACCTCTTCGCTTATCACCCATGTCGAAACAGGTCACATTGAAGTGAAGGACAATGAGGGGCTTATCTTTGTGAACAGTACGATCAGCCCTTCAGATTTGCAGTTCGCCACTGTTCTATGCTAACGTACATCTTGTCTAGATATTTTCCCTTCAAGGTTACAATGGCTGCTACAAGGGCCTCTTAGTGGTAGTCGGTCATACGAAGAAGTCTTGAAGCGTATTAACCGGCCACATCTAGCGGCTTCTGATCCCCTGCACATAATTCGGCGCGTCTTCCCGCAGGAGTTGGATATCGACATTTGGGAGATCGTCCCCCGCTTCAGAGAAGGCGGTGCGTTTGTGAAGTATAACCGCAAAGATGGTCTCAGGGACTTGGACATCGTAACCGCGATCCAGAGCCACTTGAAAGATCATCCGATCAGGCCCTGGTTTAATCCGTTTCAGGAAGTCAATGTGGCCCATGTTCATGGCAGGCCCTGGATTGAGGACCTGTACCGGATCCCCACACCACGGCTTAGAGTCGAATTCCTGCCAGCTTCTGCTGATGGAGCAGCAGGAGAACCGACAACCGAGGCCTTGTATAGTGTGTTCCGCAGATACGGCAAGTTGAGAGACATAGAGAGGCAACCGTCCGATTCCAAAGTTACACCCAGATATGCCTTCATCGTGTTCTCCCGCGCGAGTAACGCCGTGATGGCCAAAAACTGCGTGCACGGTTTTACCATCCCGGAGCAGGAAGGTGGTGGAAAATCCGGCACAAGGGTCAAGATCAAGTATGAGGCCAACATTAAACTGTCTATGATCAAGGACTGGCTCTTGAATCATCCGAGGATAGTGATCCCCGTTATTGCCGCTCTCATTGCAGCCATCACAGTAACAGTTTTCGATCCAATCCGAACATTCTTCATCGAGATGAAGATCAAGGCCACATTGCAAAAAGAAGAAAACAGCATCCTGCGCTGGATCCGGAACCAGGTGAACAAGGCAAACATCATCTATTTCGGTCGCCGCGAGTCTGACCCGCGCCGGCTCACGGCCATTTGGGAAGACCGCCAAGGTGATATCGCCCAGTTACAGTCGTGGCTGATGGAAAATGCTGAAACGTTCATTGTCATCCACGGTCCTCGCGGCACCGGAAAGCGAGAGCTTGTGCTGGATCGTGCTCTAGAAAATTACAGATACAAGGTCGTCATCGACTGTAAACAGATCCAGGATGCAAAAGGTGACTCTGCTAAAATTTCCCGTGCTGCTAGCCAGGTAGGATATCGACCGATTTTCTCCTGGATGAATAGCATGAGCAGTTTCATGGACCTAGCTGCCCAGGGTATGATTGGCACGAAAGCCGGGTTTTCAGAGACCCTAGATGCACAGCTCAGCAAGATATGGCAGAATACCGCCACTGCCCTCAAAAAGGTGGCATTGGAGAACAAGAGAAACGATGATAAGGAGTCCCATCTGAGCGACGAAGAATACCTAGAGGCTCATCCCGAGCAGCGTCCAGTGGTGGTTATCGACAACTTTTTGCACAACTTTTCCGAAGACAGTGTAGTGTATGAGAAACTCACTGAATGGGCCGCTGGGCTGACCACTGGGAACATCGCTCATGTAATCTTCCTCACGACCGACGTCTCGTTCTCCAAGCCATTGAGCAAGGCCCTCCCCAACTCGGTATTCCGGACCATTTCTCTGGGAGACTGCTCACCGGAGGTAGGAAGAAAGTTTGTGCTCAGTCATCTAGAGTATGAATCCAAGAGTGGCACAAAACAAAAAGCCGACCCTGGTAGCCTGTCAGATCTGGACAGCTGTATTGAGGTGTTAGGAGGTCGAGTCACTGACCTTGAATTCATGGCACGACGAATTGAAGCTGGAGAAACTCCTCTAGGTGAGTGCGAGACGCTAATACATGGTTGGGTTGAGTGGTTGACACATATAACCAGCCGCCGTCACTCGCATAATCGAACAATCAGCCTCTGAAATCTTGAAAATGTTTATCTTGGGTAATGATGCGGCTTCGAAACCTTGGACCCAGGAGCAAGCCTGGCATTTGATCAAGGCGCTTGCCAACGCTAAGGATGCAGCACTACCTTACAACCAGATCCTCCTCTCGGACCTCTTCAAAGACAGCGGAGAGGCGTCTCTGCGTGCTCTTGAGCAAGCGGAACTAATTTCCATCAGCTCGGTCAATGGCTGCCCTGACGTGGTCAAGCCCGGCAAGCCCGTGTATCGAGCCGTGTTCAAACGGCTCACTGAGAATAAGACACTGAGCAGCCGTCTGGATCTCGATGTTATTAAACAACTTATTAGCGTGGAAAACAAGAGTATCAGCAAGTACGAGGAGGAGTTGCAACTTCTGGGGACGCTGCCCAAACAACCTTGGGAGCTCGCCAGCCGGATCAAGTGGCTCCTGGATAAGATTTACAATTCACAGAACAAGGTGAGCAAGTATGAGAGGGAGAGTGCAATCTTGCAGAAGATTCTGCGGCGTGAACATTAACCGGGGTGCGGTGGGTTCGTGGTTCAGCGTTATGATTGTAGTAATAGGCAGTGTAAACTGTACATAATCTCAGTTGTCGATGACCAGGTAGAGTCATCTGTTGAATCAAGTCTTGGACCGCAGTGTCAACCCCCTGTAGACCTATCTCACCAACCGAAGACCTTGAGCAGATGGATGTTTTATTTGAGGCTGGATCTGACCTGCTTCAGATCAAAGCCTGTTCAGATAAGTCCAAATTCCGATGTGATGGATCAGAGTTTAGCCATTGGAGATCCCGCCAGTCGTTGAGCTTCCCAAAACTTCAAATGTCGCCTCGAAAACAAGGCAGTATGGTGCTGCTGAGATAAGCAAACGGTAATCTTACCGTACCGTAGCCCCCATTGCATCTGCAAGTCGACCTTACTTCTTTGCATAAATTCTCCGCGGCCTGAGCAGCATCAGGTTGTTTGATTCTCTCTTGCTGCACTTCAGGTAATGCCTGACTTCTTTGGTTTAAAACTATTCTTCAAGTCTTACATATTATATGACTATTGTGGGACGGCCGACCAGGTTTACCCCTGTCCCGATTTGCACCATCATCGATTTCCTTGGGGGCTACTTGCCCTTCTGCTCAAAAAATGGAAGGATATTATCTAACGGCTGGAGGACTTCTTCAATTGGCACGCGATGCTTTCAACAGCGTGGGGTGGGCTACATGGGTGGCTCTTCTGGTATCAATTTGCGTGGCGACTCGTCTCGTCAGCGGGCTGCAAAGTCGCCTCGGCAGTGGAACCGAGGCGGGACTTACACGCTCTGTTCGAATGGTGCCTTACTGGCTTCCTTGGATAGGTCATGGTTTATCCTTCGCCCGGGACCATGTCAAGCTGATTAGGGATGCCAGGTCAGTTTTCCAGCACACCTCTTCTGAAACCCCTCGAGAATGAGCTGACCTTGATATTTAGGGAATCCATGCATGAGCCTGTTTTTGGCATTTATATGGGTGGCACGAAGCATACCACAATTGTCGCCCCTTCATTAGTCAAATCAGTCTTTACCGCCCGATGTATCTCTTCGGCGGAGTTAATCAACTATGCCTTACGAACGGTGTTCGGCGATCGTGGTGCGCTCCGCAGTCTGAGTCCTGCAGACCACCATGCACTCAGTCACAGCGTGCCTAACCTTCTCATGCGTGAACCCTTCCTAACAGAAGGTACCCAGACTGCTACCCGCTTGATTGAGCGGCAGACCCCTAATCTGGTCACGAATTGCCGCAGCATAGTCGACCAGATGCAATGGGAGCGAGGCAGTCAAGCACTGGTCGTTGGACAGGATGACATACTTGTCTGCGAGGTCAACTTTTTCGCTCTAATTCGTCATTTTGTCGGTCATATCACCACGGCTATCTTTACAGGAGAGAGTATACTGGAAGCCAACCCGACGTTGCTTCCCGACATTTTTACCCTTGACAATCATTTTCTCGCCGTATCCACGGGGCTTCCTCGGCTATTGCATCCCGGTGTATCTGCGGCACATGCTTCCCGTGATCGGCTTTTGGAAGTCCTGACGGAATTCCAGAAAGCATTCTTAGCCTGGGATGATGGCTTGGATCCTGGCGCTGACTTTAGGGATCTGGATGATATCTCAGAGCCCTTGAAGGAACGAATTCGGAAGTGCAAAAGTCTGGGGCTTTCTGCCAGATCTAGCGCTCCCGCACATCTGTCTTTGTTTTGGGCCATGAACTCAAACTCCCCCAACGTGGTCTTCTGGCATCTTCTTCGCATATATGCTGATAGTGCCCTTTTGGACGAGATTCGTCAGGAGATTGCTCCATTTATCAAGATAAACCGGCCTAGCAGGGAGGAAACCGGTCTCCCATTCAACGAGCCTCCTCGAATGTCCATCGATACGGAAGGTCTTATCAACTCCTGCCTCCTCTTGAAGGCGAGCTTCTATGAGACTTTGCGCCTGGACTCTGCATCTCTGTCATTTCGAAACGTCACATCAGATTTTACTGTGACTGAATCCGAAGAAGATGCGGCGCTGGATGGATTGTCACAGCCTCGTTCGTACAAATTCGAGAAAGGTGATGCTATTATCATTCCTCATGCCGTCATCCACCACGACCCCCGATATTTCTCCAACCCTAGCCAATTTGATCCACTCAGGTTTGTCTCGACCGACCCCGAAACCGGTGAGAAGAAAGCGACTATGGATATCATCAAACCGTTCGGCGGTGGCGTCTCAGGGTGTAAAGGCCGCGCTTTCGCAGAGCGAAAGCTCCTGGCATTCTCTGCTGCGATCATTGCCTTGTGGGACGTCGAACCCGCCGAGGGCCAAGCCTTTGTGATACCCCAGCATAGACCATCCGCTGCAGCCTTCTTGCCGAAGACTGACATCAGAGTGCGCATGCGACAACGCATTTAATCTATGGGTGCTGGGATACACACTTGTTTCTGCATATACACGGTGTTTGATCTTATAGCCTTTAATAGTATGCCAAAATTCAAGAAGCCCCTTATCATAAGACCCACGAAACCATCTTACGTATGGACTAACTCTTGCTTTGGATCTATGAGTTCGGGGCCTTCCGGATGAGCATCTCGGTGCAAGCACCTGGCAGGTATTGACAATCAAGGCAACAGGCACGTGTGCGTTCGGTGAATGAGTCCCATATATTAATGCAGGAGGCTCCGAGGTTCTTCCGCTTCAGAACAGCCGAGCCGTTAGTCCCAATTTATTCAGTGGAGCTTTAAATGGACAAATTAGGATTTGTATTTAGGTGACTTGTTGAGCAAGATAGTAAATGAACAGGAGGGGGTAGCCCTGGGGACTTGCCCTAAGCCCTGATTACTAACCCGATCAAGTTAAAGTACAGGCTTCGAGCGGTAGACGCGTCGGACGCGTGCTGACGAAGCGCGTCACCGGGCAGTCTCGCCGCGGCAGGATGAACATGCACAATCATAGGCTGCAGGCGACAACTGGCTGGGCTTGAGACCTTGGGAAACCTCTATTGACAGATTTCTTCACTCGTTACATCCTCGTTCTTGGATATCCGGTGCCTGTTCAAGAATCCCCCGGGGCCACATCATCATGTCCTCCGAAGCGATGCGTCCCAGGGGCAGACCTGCCCGTAAGTATAATCGCTCACTTCTTTATCGCTTTACGCAAAATTATCGATGACTGACTAACATCAAATCATACAGATACTCCGGGGACAACAGTACTAGCCTATACTCCAGATGGCCAGCGGGTAGTCACTGGCGGTTCGAATTCCGCAATTCGCATCTATACGGTGGGACAGGATGGCGAGCCAAAGACGATTGACGAGGGCGTCGATGGGCATCTGGGTATCGGTGCTACTGTATGCTCTGCTTTCCTAATTGCCTTGTTGCAAGCTAATCATGTGCAGAATGAATATTTCATCATGGGCGCAGAAGACGGCACGGTCTGGCAATACGAGATCGATTCAGGCAGGATGGTGAAGCTTTTGGTACGATGCATGCTTCCTATACGAGATATTGCAATCTCGAAAGATGGTGAATGGGCTGCTGTAGCGAGCGAGTTAGTAGAACTGGCACCCCTAGTGCGTGTGATTTGTTGCGGTGGCTGACGTTATTCTGCTTCTAGTGAGCTTACAGTGAAGATCGTCAACATTGAGGATATGACCAAAGTTAAATATCTGCGGGAGCAGTCGAAAGGCGCCAAGCACGTCACCTTTGACCCGAGCGGCCGATACGTCACGGTCTCTTGCACGGACGGCCTCCTTTATATCTACTCGACACTTTCGGACGAGCCCGAATTGGTGCAGAAGCTGGACGGAGTGATTAGACGACTTGAACCGGAGGCTGAAGCTACATCGCGGATTGTCTGGCATCCTGATGGAACGGCTTTTGCGTCTGCCGAAGCGACCCGAGATATTGCCATCTTCTCTACGGGCCAGTGGAAGAAGGAAAAGGTGTTTGCTGGGGGTCATAGCGGACAGGTCACAGCGCTCAATTGGTCGCCAAATGGTGCGCTTTTTGCCACTGCTGGTGAGGATGGTCAGATCTTGCTATGGGAGACAAAGACGCAGAAGATCCTACAACGCTACGAATTCGCTAATGTGATAAACCTCGCTTGGCATCCGACGAAGAATTCGGTCTCGTTCACAACGTCTGATGGAGAGCTCTTTATCTACGATGATTTCGTTTCCAAGGAGCATCAGCCGCTGCTGCAGAAGCCACTCCAGGCTGCGCCAATCTTTTCTGGAGCCTTGACAGAAATCTCCGATAACGTGAGGCGGCCACTGGCGAACCGACCGAAGGAAACCGTTGAACGGAGGGAAAGAGCCGGCAGTCTAGACTCTCTTGATGATATCCTGAATGGCGATATTGGTATGGATGATTTTGTCGAGGATGATGATGGAGCTGGCTACGCGGAGGATATCAATGGGTTCGGCAAGCGTGCAGGCTCACACATCGATGAAATTGATGGCCATACCGACAAGCGAGTTCTGACCTCTTTTGCGAAGCCGAAGATCCACCCCCCTCTCCAACCAGGAAGCACACCTTGGCGTGGCAACAGACGCTACCTTTGTATGTGTTCTCGGAGCAACCAGAATAATTTTCCGATATAAATACTGACTGTTCAAGGCCTGAACCTTACTGGTTGCGTCTGGACCGTCGACCAGGAAACCCATAACACCATTACAGTGGAATTTTATGATCGTGAGCTTCACCGTGATTTCCACTTCACAGATCCATACCTTTACGACCGAGCTTGTCTTAGTAGGTCGAAGCAGACACATTGGTACCACATATCGAGCTAACATTCTCTAGATGACAACGGAACTCTGTTCTCTAATAATCCTACGGACGGCAGTCCGGCGACGATCTTCTATCGTCCCCATGAGACATGGACAACCCGGGCAGACTGGCGAACGCAGTTGCCTAAGGGCGAATTTATCAGAGGTAAGGATATCAGTGACTTGGTGGCCAGGCTTCGCTAATGTGTCAAAACAGCGCTGGCGCTCAGTGATTCCTACATCGTAGCTGTAACGACCAAGGACTACGTCCGTGTATACACATTGTTCGGTACTCCTTTCAAGGTGTACCGACAGAAGAGCCCAGCTGTCACTTGTGCTGCATGGCGCGACTACATTATGACCGTGGGCAATGGCCCATTGGGCAGCGATGGCCGCACAGCAACGCTACGATATTCGGTAGAGAATGTGAAGCGGGACGAGATTTGCCAGAACGAGGACGTTGTCGCCCTTCCCGAAGGGACCGAGTTGCGGACCGTCTTCTTTTCTGATAGTGGAGTGAGTCACTTCAGCAGATTACACTGGACTTTGACACTGACTTCAACCTACAGGACCCATGCATCTACGACTCCGAAGGTGTTCTGCTTGTCCTTCAGCACTGGCGTAACAACGGTCAAGCTCGGTGGGTCCCCCTGCTGGACACCAAGCAGCTGGAAAGATTAGCAAGCGGACGGAAAGAGGAAACTTACTGGCCGGTTGCTGTGGCTCAGGACAAGTTTCACTGCATTATCCTCAAGGGAGGGGATAAGTACCCGTACTTTCCCCGGCCGCTGCTGAGCGAATTCGACTTTCGCATTCCAATCTCCGACACACCAGGCAAGGTAACCGAAGACGACGAGGAAGGTGGCTCGAGCCGACATGACGGAGCTCGATTTGAGGAGGCCTTTGTCCGAGGAAGCATCTTGCTGTCACTATTCGAAGACCTTGTGTCAACCACCAACGCTACGGCAGGTCAGCGCGCTGAGCTGGCTCGGAAGGAGGTTGAAGTGGATAAGATTCTGCTACAACTTCTCGCGGTGGAATGCCGCGAGGGTGAGGAGAGAGGTATGAAGGCATTAGAACTTGTGCAGATGATGAGGGACCGCAACGGCAAAATGGTTGAGGCAGCTGTCAAGGTGGCCGAACGGTATGGCCGGGGCGTCCTGGAAGACAAAATCCGAGAGCTAGCCGAGAAACGGTATCTTGGGGAGGATGATGATAGATTTTAGGTGTGGGCCATGGCCCGTTTGATGTGTATGACTGCCACATAATCATTATCATAGATACCACCAATGCATGCGAATCCCTTCAAAAGTGACGGCCTGAGGCCACTAACTTGCCGACGGCCGGCCCGACGTCATGGCCGAAGGACCAATCACAACTATTTCCGGCCAAATCAAGTCCCTCTTCGTCTTCCTTCGCCTTCCTCATTGTCAATCAACTTGATCATATTTGTTTTAGCTACATGGCTTGACTGTGCTTTGCAATGCTGTATGATGAATTCTTGGCAAAGGCTTCCTGGATGAGAGTCGCGTCCACCTTTCCCAAGACTCCGTGATGCCGAAGCTTGCTGGTCCTGCGCTTTCTTGCGCGCGACGAAGCAGACGAGGTGCACATCCCACCAGTTGTGCCTCCATCCCCAGTTTCTGCGTTTCTCCTCCTCATCAGTTCTATCTCTCCTCATCTCCGCGGCCCTTAGCCCAGCATGAGGCTCAGCATGGGCCCCAGTTGGCGTCCGTGTCGCCCACATTATTCTCGCATACCGGACTCCGACCATCCGGGTTCGACGGATTCGAACGGCCACGGGAGGATCATGAGATACCAGACGAGCGAATCCTTAAGCTAGGGAAGAGTAAGCTTTGTGATAATTCCTCGTATTAAGATGCAGATCTTACTGACATGGACTGTCTGGACAGCTCTTCGAACCCTCTCACCCCTCCTCTCGAACATCCTCACCAATCCTCTTCCACCCAAGATACTCTCCCCCAGCATAACCCTACACCTCTTCCCCTCCACACATCCCCATCTCCCAACCGTGAAAGGACGAACTCTCTACCGAGCCGCCCTTTGGACCGTCCCTGTCGCCTGGAGCAGCCTACCCCTCCTCGGCAATGTCAAACTTCAGATCATCAGCGAGCGTATTGTCCGCGCTGGCACCGTGCTAGATCCTGCCCGCTACGCCCGCGGCGAGCACGACGGCAGTGACGAGCGCCTAGTCGTGCGCTGGCGGACCGAACCGCGCAGCGAACATCATCGCCATCACCGTCCCTCCTTTACTTCCAACCCGCATCCCATTTTTCCGAGCAACCCCTCCCCGACTTCGCCCAGCACCTCCGGGCCATCCTCGTCCAAAACCGGCGAGAACAAGGGTCTCAGCGTGTTGCTGGGCGGTGATGCTCCGATCTTCAAGCTCTCCAAGGAGGAACAGTTCACGGGGTTGTTTATTTTCTCGTTCGATGAGGAGGGACGTATCTCGTCGCACACGATCGAACATGCTGACGACGCTTGCGGATGGGAACGGACCCCGAAATTTGTCACGTTGGCGGACTGGTTGATTGGGAAGGCCAGGGAATCGCTAGACCCGTCGCCTGCTGAGCCGGGTTTGGCCTTCCAGGGATGTCATCCTCATCAGAGATGCCATGTCTTTGCGCGGGAGAGCGCCTTCTACGAGCGTCGGAAGGGGTGACGCCTGATCGTTATCGGAGCCGGTTGCAATTGTGCTGTACTGGTATATGCTGTAATGCGGCCGTCCCAAGCGGGTTCGCTAGCGTGGAGGCATGAAAGATGGAAGGCGACGAACACTTTGCGCTTTGACTTTGCCCCCCCCCCCCCCCAAGAAAAACCTTGGCTTGACGGATGCTTGGATGGCTGTTATTCCAGCTCATCCCCGTTCGATGATGCTTGACCCATCTCATCTCCTTTCCTGTACTTTACCGGATTACAGTGTATGTAAATAATGTCACTTGGGTAATGAATAATGATTGAAACTTTGTGCATTGAGATGCAATCTAGTGATAATAATAAAGTAACGCCACTGGGCCAGCCAGTGAGCGGTACCATGATTCTATAGATCTATCCATTATCGAATCCAGAAATGGTGACAGTTGTGCAAGAATGCACGTATGGTACATGAAGCGGACGTTCATATCACGTCAGAGCCCGGGGTAAGGTCCAAAGCCAAGGAGAAGTAACAGGGATTACTTCTTCTTAGAACCCTGACGCCCACCAACAACAGGCTCTTTCAACAAAACAAAAACTCCTCCACAGACCACCAGCATGGCACAACCCCCAACCATGTATGCAACCTCTCGCCCCATCCACCAGAACAACGAGCAGAAAAGCAACGGTCCCGCCGCGCGTCCCACCTGTCCCCAACTCCTCAACCTCCCCAACACGGCACCCCGATTTTCCTCTTGCGCCTCAAAACTCCCCAAGCTGTTCAGCCCCGTGACGACCGTCGCACTGGTGATAGCCAACAGCCCACCCGCAGCATAGAGACCACCCAACGAAGTGACGCGCGCAAGCATGAAAAAAGAGACGGTGCATGCGATGACGCCGATGCGCACAGTTTTGAGCGGCGGCAGGCGGCGGACCACGGTACCCTGAAGAAGGGAAGCAATAAGACCCATCATAGAGAGAAGACGGCCGTTTAAGGCGGAAGGGCTGGATTTGCTTCCTACGTAGAAGGTAGCCGTTAAGAAGGGGAGGGAGAATTCGAGCCCTGAGAACGGAAGAAGGAAGAGCAAGTGGATCAGATTGAGGAGAGCGGGGTTATTTGTATGTGTCTTGAGTTCGGCCTTGCGAGTTGTAGTAGCGGGAGGTTGGGAAGTGGTGTTGTTGATTTCGATCGTGTTCGAGACATGTACAAGCTTTGTGAATCGGGGATGAGTCTCCGCGAGACAAAAGTACAGGTACGCAGTTTCTGCGACAATAAGGAGGAGCGAAACGCCCGCGGCAGTCGCGAAGGGATTGGCGGCCACGGTAGTGATATTGGAGAGGGCTGCGCCCAGCGCGGGCCCGCAGGTAAAGGCAATACTGAAACAAACACCAACTAGGGCCATGGTCGAGCCACGTTGGCTGGGGTCGCTGATATCTGTAGCAATGGCATTCGCGAGCTGCACGTTGCCCTCGCTGAGACCGCCAATGATGCGACTGGCGAGAAAGGTGCGGAAGTCTGTCGCGGTGACCCAGAGAGCCACGCTGAGTGTGTTGCCGACCATCGAGCAAAGAAGGGCGGTCTTGCGGCCGTGTTTATCTGAGAGATGGCCGATGAAGGGAGCTGCGAGCGCCTGCAAAAAAGAGAATAGCGAGCCAAGCGCCCCACCAAGAAGGACAATGTCATAGCGCGAATCGATGGGCTTCGCAAAGGAGTTCTTATAGGCGTTTAAGTAGTGAAAAAGGCGGTTGAGAAGCGAATTCGGGGACGGGTCTTGGTTACGATAAAATGTGAGTAGGGAAGGAAAGAGTGGAAGAATAAAAGTAAAGGATATCTAAAGCCTTACTGTCAGCGCGCGCTACCCCTAAGCTTTATAAATGGGTTAAGATACATACCAAATCCAAAAGTAAAGAGGTCATCAAGACCTTAAGGATCTTCTTCCGCTGCTCTGCGGGTAACGCCATGACGATCAATTGAGATTAAATCGGGATAGAAGAAGAAGTGAGAAAAAAGACAGAAAGAGGAACTACAGAGATGGGAACGAATGCAAGAAAGAAAAAGAACGGGGAGTGAGGGTCGAGAGGGTTGCCTGATGCAAAAAGAACAGACAGAGACAAGGAGAGAGTCAAGATGGCATCTCCGCCGCCCGTTATGTCATAGCCCTATACCCTACCCGCGGCATTGCCTTTTTCGGATAGCTCGGACGGAGCTCTTATCGATGGAGTACTACTTATCTTTTAGTTATTGTTTGTTCTACTAAGTATAGTCTACGTAATTGCATATCCAAGTAAGCCATAAGTACTCAGGAGTGGATCACGTCTGTTTCCATTGTCTAGCTGTTACAGCATTCAAAACTCCTGATCAAGCTCGATTCCTGGCCGTCTACAGCCAGTGTCTCCTCACTCCCTCTCCACCGCAATCCGTCCAAACCCCGTCTCCATATGTCAACACGTCAACACGATGATCGGAAATAGAATACATGAGAAGTACAATGCAAGGTGATGCAAGTAGCATCACCACCTGTAGGCGAAATGACCAAACTGAAGCGGATTTTGCAGCCGAGATAGAAGAAGATAAAAGGTGAGAAAATCGCAGAAGTTAATATGCACGCTCAATAACTGCAGACATATACAACAGGAACTTTTGGGAAGATGATCCAAAAGAGAAGCAGAGCGAAGACAGCAGCGAGGTGGGGAGACCGTGCCATCATCTTGACTCTGAGTGAACCTTGCTGTAAATCATTTCAAGAGTCATTGCGTTCGTGAACCATGACACCACCATGAACCATGAGTTTATTAGTATTTCGGAGAGAAGAAGAAAAATATCCCAGGATGAGGTAGAAGGAGACAGAGGAAAGCGAGGTCAAAAAGCTTGATGAATAGCAAGGCAGAATGACGCTGGAGTCGGAGTCAGATCAACGCAGAGCAAGTGCCTCATGCGGAGTAACACAATGTTCCAATCGAACAGCAGCTTATGAACTCCGAAAAAAACGGCCTTTACTGGCTGGCAGCAGGGGCGGAGGAACCATTGCCACCATTGAGGCCACCGCGGCCTCCGCGACCGCCGCGACCGCCACGACCGCGGCCTCTGAACTCACCGCGGCCTCGTCCACCCCGACCACGCCCATGTCCGCCACGACCTCCTCGGCCACGGCTAGACTGGCGTCGATGTTGAGTGTTGACCTCAGAGGCATCCTGTGACTTAGGAACAGCGGCATTTTCGTTGCTTTGAGCACTAGTGTCGTTTATGGTCGCATCTGCTATCACCTCAGCCTCAACAGCGGCAGGAGTAGCCTCAAGCCCAGTCTCAGTTTCAGCAGGGTCCCGCGGCACCTCGACCCATTCGTCAGCTGTTGGCGAAGTTTCCACAACTCCGGTCGCGTTGACGTCCCAGCTAGCCTCAGCTACCTGGTTGGCACCATTGGTAGCCAGGGTCTGGGCTGGAGGGGCGGCCTGTTCGGTTTGCTCTTCCGAGGTAGCGGTTTCGGTTGCAGCGGCTGCGTTGCTGTCGTAGGATGTGTCTTGCAACTCAGTGTAGCCTGCATTGGCCACGGTGGGGTCCGATTCAGGAGCCGCCTCAGTAGTTGCGGGTTCGGTAGAAGGGACAAGCTCAGTAGCGAGCTGCTTCACCTTGCTATCTAATGAGACAAAGGTGGTTAGCAAGGAGTAGAAAGAATAGACTAGATAATTATCAAGACTCACAGGTGACCTCCAGTGTGGTGCCGTCGACGCCAACAACCTTCTCATCCGCGCCTTCGATGATCTTGAGCATAGAAGACACAGCGTCTTGAGTGCCTCCATATACCTGGTACAGAACACCCTCAAATGCACGGCTCTCGTTTGAAGTCTCATCTCCGGAGCGTCTCATAGTAGCAGCGGCGCAGAGAAACTTGCTGAGGCCCAACAGTTGCTGGCTGAAATCCTTCTTGTTAAATTCTGCGGCATCCGCATCGGCCTGCCCCCGCAGAGCTGCGAGTTGCTCTTCGTGGGTTTTCTCCAGCTCTGCCTTCTGGCTGGCCAGACGCTCCTCATAATAGGCAGCGAAGTCCTTGAGGTGGGCAATCTGTTCCTCAAGCTGGGCAACGGTGGCTTGCAAAGAGGGCTTCTTCAAAGCCTGTGCCTTCTGGTCGGTATTAATCTTCTTCTCTGTAACAAGCTCGTCCAGAGATTTTCCGGGGTTCTCAGCAATGATGGCGTCGACTTTGGCGGTCGCATTCTGCGGGGAAGGAGGCAATTGTAAGCGGTGAATGATGGTGGGAGCTCTACCGAAGGGCACTAACCAGCTTCTTGACAGCATTGCGCAAGCTCCTGTAATGATGGGCTTAGTCAGTGGTAAAACTTTGGCGGCTTAAGCATCGTGGATCCGCGAATGCGCGGACGGAGTTTCTTGTCGATCGAAACGCACCTCTGCAATTCCTTGAAGTGTTGGTTATCAAGGTTGTCCAAGCTGTTCGTGTCAGTCTTCGAGACGATAGACGGGCTGGAAGCATGGTTTGAGTGTTGCTTCTCGGACGAAGCATCGGATTGTTGAGCAGGGTTAGAGTTGACAGAAGTGGCAGCCATGATGCTGGTTTGGTGTTATGACTCGAAGGACTGATATGACTCTTAGGCAGACAATGGTAGAACAAAGCTATGCAGAAGAGAGAAAGAGAAAAAAAAGTGGGGAGGCAAGCGTTGAGTAGGGGCGCAAGGGAGAGGCGCACAATTGAGGAAAAGAAGAGGACGGTGTTGGGGTGAAAGTGAGAAGGTGGGAACAAACGAAGCAGAAGAGGAAGCCTGAGATGGGATGGGAGGAAATGGGAAAAGCAGCTGGCAGATGCGGGTGGAACTCTTCCGAACCGCCTTCGTCGCGTGCTGCTGCAGCTCAAGTCACTGGCTCAGCCCCAACACGTCTTACAACCCCAGACAGCCATTGCAACAGTCAACACTCTATCTCTGCATTTCCAAAGGGTATATATCAGATCTTCATGTGGAGAGAACAGCTTCAGATCTACTGCATCGCCACTCTGTCTTATGGGCAGGTCTAACTGGTGTGGAATAATCCATGCATTTGGGTATCAACCGAGGAACTCCTTAAGAACGCCTATATAAACACGATCGCCGCGGTCAACTCAAACCCTTTCCCTCTTCATAACATACAAGAAGCATGAATCCGACAGCGACAATCCCCTGAGAGTGGGTTGTGGACCTATCGCAAGCTCAACAAATCCCCATGTAGCACAAACTCGCAAAGCCCGACCGACCGACGAGTTGCTCCAGTCAGGAGCAGGAAATGATGCGAGCGGGTTATTCAAAATAGATCGTTTCTGCCATCGCTCTAGCCCTTGAACCTCCGTAGAGTTTTCTAAACATCCAAAAGACAAGATGTCAGCATCGACCGGGAACCGCGCCCACCAGCCTCCTTGTAGCGGACAGACATACCTCGGTCACTTTGCGCACCGAATTCGGCGAGATATTCTTCTCACCTACCTTTCGCGACTGAATGGACGATTCTCGCATCAATCTGCACCAACACGCGGTTTAGTAATCAGCCATGCCTTAATTCCCTCCCTGCCGCGCCTTGTCTTGACAATCATATGGATAGAGATCGATTTCGACTCACTCTTGCATAAACAACATGTAATCCAAGAAGATCTATAAGCAAGCCCAGAGCGATTAGATGCTATTACATCACGAACAGGAGTGTCGGAAGCAGGAGACAAACCAAGATATCAGCGTTCTTGCTCACGTTGCGGTTGGAGTGAGCCTTAACCACCCGCTTCACCGTGGCGCGCGGGTAGAGCTTCTGCGTTGCTGCCATGGTGGGCAAACAACACAGGGTGACAGGAGCGGAAGAGGAAGATTCTGGGTGAAGTTCAAACAGAAGCAATGACGCGAGTGGATCGGTGCTGATAAACAATCACAGCCATTTGACGCCGGCGAGCTTCCGAGACGATAAGCTAAGGCGGGCAAGAGCAGATTGTTTACCGTAACGAATACTCGAGGCAGCTTGTAATTTACCGTCTATACGTTCGTACATGACAATACGAGCTAGGCTGGATGAATCATGTTTGCTGGGACTTTATGGTCCAGAAACAGCAATTGCTAGCGTGACCATTTTCTGCTCTCGCTCCCTTGCTTCGTGAGGTATGCGAGCGGAGCTTCAAATTGATTCTCCATACGTGGGCGTGGAGCTCATGATTTGATAGAGTGAGAGAGCTATCTATACTATGGTATTTACAACTCAGTCAGGAAGTGATAGGTATACACAGAAACCTGATGAAACATGGCAGGGTCCTCATCGAACTCGACGAAGAAACTTCCATGCGTAAAACGCTGCCGTGGAGCCCAGGGCAATTCTCCACGCTGCGAAGATGTAAAGTGCGACCCGCAGCCGATCGTAGTACCCTCGGAGCATGATTTCCAAGGCATATGTGCTCCCGTTGAGACCCTTATCAGAAGGTCCATAATACTGGCCAACACCGAGTCCTTCAATTCCGATATTATTTTCACTGCCGCCCCTATCATTAGGGGTCTCTGTTACTGGTGCTGCCTCTGTTTGACCGTCCGCCGCAGTATTATTCGCTCGGATCCCACTCTCAACCAAGCGTCTATTGCGCTTCCGCAGGCGATACGTGAGAATGTTGATCAATAGCCGCAGATCAGGTGCCGTGAAATTGGGATAATGCCAGAGCTTGACAGCTGTATGTGGGGGGAGCAGATCCAAGAAGTCTGCCATGATACCCAGCGTCAATCCCCAGAGGAGTAGTGGGCGACTGGTCCCAATGTCCTGGTCCGCAGGGTTACTTCTACCCCATGACATCAATCGCTGAAACAACGATTGATTTTGTACATCCCTGGGAGTGAGCCCTGGGGTTGTATTGCTTTGTAGGCTTTCCGTGGGGGCTAGGCGAATGGCGGGAAACTGCATATAGCCCATCAGAGAACGAGACGCAATGCGAGCCATGAGGCCTCCCATGTTTGCGAGGCGCTGAGTCATGTCCACATGTTCTACAGTCCGCAGGGAAGACGACAAGAGCGCCTTAAGCGGCACCCAGTGGGTGGAGGCCACTTCGGTTGGTTGTAACTTGAGCGTTGGCGAGTCACTGCATGTTAGCAGGAAGACGTAAGGGCACAGGACCATCAGCCTGTGATTGAGCCCGTCAGTATCAGCCGCTTGACAGAGACGAATTCGGGCCAGATACATACGGTATTGTACCCAGGCTTGTGGTTACAACTCTTTCGGGCAGGTTGCCGACGTAAACACAATCCTCCGTTGTTAAATCCAGTCCAATCTCTTCCGAGGCTTCCCGGATTGCCGCCGCTCGATCATCCGAATCTTCTGGGTCTCGCTTGCCTCCGGGAAGAGCAACATGACCTGTCCATCTGTCTCCCACGCGCGACGCTCTTTTGATAAAGAGCGCTTCTGCTTGGCCATTGTGAACCCACGATTGGGCGAAGAATGTGTCGAGGCGTTGCTGGACCGTGGCTGAACTGTCTGGCACTTGCGACGAGGACTCCGGCCAGTGTTCGTATGTAGGTCGAACTCGCAGGATAAGAGCAACCGAGGCACGTTTCTTGCAGTTTGGAGGGTTCGGGACGTGAGGATATGGGCGTTGATGGAGGTTGGATAACACGTCATGCAGCGGTTGAGTCAAGGGTTCGGAGTCCAGTGACGACGGGGAGCTGGACGATTCCATTGGGTAAGAGATTCCGGGTTTAGAGGGATTAAGAAGAAAGATCTAGCATAACAGCATAATCTAGTATATATATATACATAGAACAAGAATGTGAGGAGAGAGGGAGTTCATTAATTGATTGAAGTCAAAGTGAGAAGAGAATGAGAAGAGTGACTGAGTTTCTTATCAGTTCGGGACTTATCGTGGAAATCCAGGCTACCTCGGGCAAGTTGGTACAGCACAGTACAAGTGGTGTGTGATAGATACAGGGCACTGGTAATGAAACGGTATGGTAATGGACTGACAGCCGGTTGTTTTCAACAAGTTGACTAAAGCGATAGCTCCAACCATGCTAGCCAATAGTCAGCTGAACAACTACAGCGGGGGACGGGCTAGACCGTTCCGGGGAGGCAGAGAGGGAGCACGTGCATCGATATGGCGATGGCATGCACCGAGAGAGTTACGAGACTATATTAGAATCTCACTATTTCCCGCCTCGTCTCGATAGCAATTCTTTTAGTGGCTTCTCTTGCTTGCCCTCATTTTGCTAAGTCTGAGAGAATTTCTCTTTCCCTGTGACAGGACCTGATTCTCATTGATCATCTCTTTTTCTTGACCCGCATTTGCCCCCCTCCTCCTCTTCTCCCTTCCTTACTTATAATAAGTCTCTCTGCCTTTCTCTGTGCAATCCGTCGCTTCTCCTCCTACCACTTCTCCGTTACACAGTCTTAAGATCCAACCACCGCCAAGCTTCGCCGCACTCTTTTCCGACCATGCGATTTGGCAAAACTCTTCGGAAATCGATCTATCCGCCATGGAGTGGGAAATATATTGATTATCACAAGCTCAAAGTCCTCCTCAGAGAGCATGATGTCATCGGCAACGATAGCGATTCCGATAATGCCCCATGGACCGAACAGGACGAGGAGGCATTCGTTCAGGAGCTTTTGAATGTTCAATTGGACAAAGTCAACGCCTTCCAGGTCGAAACACTGAAGCAGCTGCGAGAGCGAACAGCCGATTGCGAATCCAAGCTGCGAGCACTAACTGACGCAGCCCAGGATGAGGCTGCTACGGATATGGACGATGCAGAGAAGCGGCAAATCGCCTCTAGTGTCATTAAGGAGCTAGACAGCATCACTCGAGAGGTCAGTGAGCTGGAGAAATATAGTCGCATCAACTTTACCGGTTTCCTCAAGGCAGCGAAGAAACATGATCGCAAGCGTGGAGCCCGGTACCGCGTCAAGCCCTTGTTGCAAGTGCGTCTGTCGCAACTCCCGTTCAACTCAGAGGACTACTCGCCGCTCGTACGCAGGCTCTCTGTCATGTACTCCTTTGCCCGTGAAATTCTGAGCAAGGGCGTGGTTGAAGCCAAGGATCCGGCCGAGCCTCACTTTGGTCAAGACATGTATTCCTCATTCAAGTTCTGGATCCACGCCGATAACGTCCTGGAGGCCAAGACATACATTCTACGCCAGCTACCCGTCCTCATCTACAATCCTGGAACCTCAAAAGACCTCGATATCCTGCCCGATGATCCTACAATTACCTCCCTGTATTTTGACAATCGGCAGTTCGACCTTTACAATCAGAAGGTCGCCCGTGCCGCCGAAGCGGGGTCTCTGCGACTGCGATGGACCGGAAACTTGCAGGACAAGCCGGCCATCTTTCTGGAGAAGAAGGTCGTGTCGGACGATAACCGCAGCAGAGAGGTGAAGATTCAGCTCAAACAAAAGCACGTGAAGGAGTTCTTGGACGGGGAGTATCACTTTGACAAAAAGCTTCAGCGGATGGAGACAATGGGCAACGGCGAATCGGAACAAGCAGAGTCGTTCAAGCAGGATATTGAGGAATTGCAGTCATTCATCAAGGAACATAACTTGCAACCGATGCTTCGGGCTAACTACACCCGTACGGCGTTTCAAATTCCTGGAGATGATCGGATTCGAATCTCCCTCGACACGAACTTGGCTTTGATCAGAGAAGACTCCCTGGATGAAGGTCGCCCATGCCGGGAGCCTGATCAATGGCATCGCACGGACATCGACGATGCAGGAATGCAGTACCCTTTCAGCGGCATCAGGACCGGGGAGATTGTTCGTTTCCCTTATGCGTTGTTAGAGATCAAGCTCAGGGGCACTGCAGCACACAGTGCTGAATGGGTCAAGGATCTCATGGTCTCCCATCTGGTCAAAGAAGCTCCGCGGTTCTCCAAGTTTGTCCACGGCGTGGCGCAGCTCTTTGAGGATTATGTCAACAGCTTTCCATTCTGGCTTGGTGCGCTGGAGAATGATATCAGAAAGGACCCGGAAACTGCATTTCACGAAGAACAAGAGCGATTGGCCCAGCGAGCAGAAGATGATATTGCAGTCGGAAGTTTCCTTGGGACTCGGAGTCCGTTGGCCATGAGACCTTTGGTAGGTTCTCCAGTACAGATGTTCACCGACATTTCTTCTTCACCTCGCCGTCGACAGTCCTCGCAGATGCTACCGCCTTCGCAGCGGCCATCTGCTCCCGAAATGGCCCCCGTTCCTGAGCGTGCCGAGCCCAGCCAACAACACCAAGAGGATCAGCAAGAGGACCAGCCACCGGAACAACCAGTAACTCTGAAGCGCTTGGCCTCTCTCTTCCCGTCTTTCTCCGCCACGCGTAACAACCGCGGTCCTCGAAATTCTGTCGTGTTGCCTCCTGGAGTTCGGGAACCGGGCACATGGATCAAGGACTCTGGGCCTGTCCGTGTCGAGACCAAGGTCTGGCTCGCCAACCAACGTACATTCATCAAGTGGCTCCACATCAGTATTCTTCTGTCTTCTCTATCGTTGGGTCTATACAATGCAGCCGGGAAACACAATGACGTTGCTCGTGCGTTGTCGATTGTCTACACGGCCTTCGCCATCTTTGCCGCTGTTTGGGGATGGTATATGCACGAGAAGCGGGCCAGATTGATCCGGCAACGTAGTGGACGAGACTTAGACAACACCTTTGGACCCATTGTTGTCTGTATTGGATTGGCTGTTGCTTTGGTGCTGAACTTCGCCTTCAAGGTAGGCTGCTTGATGTGAAATGGGAGTTTCGTCCGCTGACAGGCTTTAGTACAACTCCACCCTTGAGAAGATCCGAAACGGCCAACCTGCCGCCGATCTCCCTCCTTCCGTGAACGTTACCGGGTTCATTAACAAGCCGAACATGTGGCAGTTGGTCAACCAAGGCGGACAAACCCTGTAGCGAGCCTCCCTTAACCCCTTGGTCGGGTATCTGCTTGCTTGTATATGACCGAGTCTGCAGGAGATCCCAAGCTCCTGGCTGACATAGATGCAAATGAGTGGCTGGTTTCGCCAGCCTTTGATGTATTGATAGACTGTCTTTGGTAAAATGAACATGGCGCTATTTTGGGGGGAATCCAGGAGAGGATATATGGACAAAGGTTCGGTCAAAATTGATGATGCTTATGTCAAATGACAAACCACAAACCCGATTATTGTCCTTGCCTGATGTTTCAGGGCTAGCCACTCGAGGCGAAATCACATGCTTGCATTACCCACGGCTTATTTCCATATGGCATAACTTGATACCAATCTCTATCACCATGCTATAATGAGCAAATGCTTGCGCTACCTTAGATATCTAATTGAAGGGGTTGAGAAACTCCGATCTCTATCGCTAGATGCAACCCATAAATCATGTATACTGGCTCGACGAGCCCTGCGCCAGCAACGGGGCACGCTCAGCATCGGTCACAGCCTGCGACCCTTCCTGGGACGTAGAAACGGAAAGCTGCCCCTGTCCCTTCGCAGCGGCCGTATAGATTACACTGGGGACATACCCCTCGAAACTCACACTATACCATCAAATCAGCTCATCAAGGCTTTCACGGGGAGGGGGGTATCCCGATCCCCCAAAGAGGCGGAGGATCTTACCGATCGAAGAACCCCACAAACAGCCACAGATACACGGTGCCGAGGAACGCAATGACCCACTCGAGAATGCCGGCGGCGCGGTAATCGCTGACATCTTCGGGGACGGTAAGCGCGATGAAGGCGATTCCGAGGAAGAGCTCGACCAGGATCAAGGCGGTCGAGAGCGATGCACTACGCGCTGGTCAGCCATTTCACCACCCAAGCATCCTCCGTTCTGTCCCCAGCAGGATGAGAGCAGAAGACCAGAAGGGAGAGAGAGGCTGGAGACTCACAACACCCGCACACGCACCCGCCGCCTCCGCCTCCACCTCCGCTGCCACACGCCGCCATGCGTCAAGAACGCCACGAACCCCAGCACCTCATTCGAATACACGATCGCCGTCCCCGCAGCCTGCAGGGCCAAGCCCCCGAAGCAGACGCGGAGGAGCACCGCGTGCGCGAAGTGGTACCGGAAGGTATCCATGACGCCCAACAGGATGAGGGCGGTGCTGGCCATGCCGGCCGAGAAGATGGAGAAGAGCGAGACGAGCTTAAGGGCGGCGATGGTCGAGGGTGATTCTTCGTCGTCTTTGTCAGGCTCATCGGCCGTATCGTTTTTATCGGCGGTGCAACTGCCAGTCACTACGCCGGTGGGCTGTTGTTGGTTCCCACTCCGGGTGGTTTGGTCCCTGGGAACGGGATGTCCGCCAGCGGAAAAGTGCTCCGGACAGCGGAGCAACGCGAAGCCAGGCTCGTAGCGCATAACGTGAGCCACGGCTACGGTGAACCAGAACCCGACGGCGGTCATGGAGGCGCCGATGAGGAAGAGGGGTTTGAGCTCGAAGGAGGCGATGTCGGAGATGAAGCTGTTTGTGCTATTGTTAGTTGCAGGATTCCGGGATTCGCATGGGAGGGCCGCGCACGCCACGTGGGGATTACTTTGGCCCGGATACCTGGGCATTCCTCGACCCAGCCATGTTAGGAGTAGAGTGGCCAGAGTCAGGAACCAGATGGAGCCTGCTAAGGCAGGGAAGATGGGTAAGCGGGAGGGAGGAATGTTGAGGATGATGATATGCAAGGACGACCAGATGGTGTCATGGCAGCGGAGCAGGAAAGAAGTAAACATCAAGATCGGATCTGAATTGAGGGGTTCTAAGTCTATGAGAATGTCTGTTCCAGAGCCAGATAAACAAGAGAAGAAGAATTGTGGGAACAGACGATAAGAACAGGACAGGGTGCACTGAACTATGAGACGATGGCGGTCAGCTGATGGCCGCTGCGACTCTGCATTTGCATCATCTTGACTGTCAATCAAGGCAGAGGACCTGTAACAATAGTACTCTATAGCAACTCAACATAGAGCAACAAGATCAATTCCATAATATCTCCTTCTTGCGAAAGTCCAGGCGATGTTGTGAGTATGAAAAAGCCAAAGCCACAACAAAAAAGAGCTCTCTCGAATTGAGGATCGCCGGCCAGATGTGACGTCAGCGCGGGGGAGATTTCAGCCGATTGTCGCCTTATCAATCAGTCAATCAATCAAACCATTGTTGACTACACCATGCACTATGCACTTCATTGACATTCATTCATTCATCTGCCAAGCAACATGAGACAAATGATACCTGGTAACCCTCACTATACCTACCTCCATTCTCTCCACTCTGGACAACGCACTGCAGCATCGGACATTTATCAGCGCAACTCCCCGAGAACAACAACAACAACAACAAACACCACCATTTGCTGACAAATCAGTCTCCAGCTGGACGATTTTCACCAGCAACAAATAGCAAGGACTCGCCAAAATGCCCGAGGAAAAGGCCCGAGAGAGTCAGAACGGCTTACCGTCCGCCTGGATTGTCACCAAGCGATCATTGGCCCATCAGGACTTCGATACCGTTAGCGTGGTATAGATCTGCTGTGTATCGGACCCAAGGATCTGGAGACATTGCCCAGCACGGAGGGACATCCAGCCACAATTCCCCGACCGTCAGTCCTATATAGCTCGCGCTCAGTCGATTGATCGCAGCCTGGACTCAGCTCCGATTGCCAGTCCTACCGGCATATATGAACCAAGTAGTAACCAACCCCGCAAGAATCATGACCAACTTCAACATCCAGATCATCTCCGACACTGTGTGTCCGGTAAGTCTACCTCAGACCTTCAGTCCTAGTGACAGATCACCACGCACTCCACGCCCTCTTTATTTTTCTCGTATGAAATCAAGAAAGGTTAACTAACAAGCCAATAAAAGTGGTGCTACGTCGGCTACCGCCGCCTCAGCCGGGCCATCGCACTGCACAAAACCACCCACCCAACCGACACCTTCACGCTCAGCTGGCACGCCTTCTACCTGCACCCGGAGGGACCGGGCTACCCGGGCCTGGACAAGCGGGAGGCCTTCCACAAGAAGTTCGGCGCCCAGCGCGCATCCGCCATCATCGACCGCCTGACCTCCGTTGGGAAGACTGAGGACATCGACTTCAGCTTCGGCGGACGCACCGGCAACACCCGCGACTCACACCGCCTGCTGTGGTGGGCCGGTCAGAAGGAGAAAGCCGAGGCCAGTGGAAGCAGCGGCAGCGCTGACAAGGGTCTGGTCGGCGGGTTGCAGACCCGCGTCGTGGAGAAGCTGTTCCGCGCCTATTTCGAGGATGAGAAAAATCTTACCGACCCTGCCGTATTGACGGAGGCTGCCGTGGACGCTGGCATGGACAAGACCGCCGTCGAGAAGTTCCTGGCATCCGAGGACGGCGGGAAGGAGGTCGATGTCGAGGCCTATGTGGCTCAGCGCCAATTGGTCACGGGGGTGCCGTACTTCATGATCAACGGGGAGTACGCAGTGCCCGGGGCTGATGAGCCGGAGACTTTCTTGGAGGTTTTTGGCAAGGTGAAGGGGGCTTGAACTGTTTGGAGACGGGAAGTCTGCATGCTGGAGTTATGCTTAATGGAATCTTTAATACTAGATAGATGATTCATTCGACCAAGTCTGGGGTATGCTGAAGATAAGCAAGGCTATCCCATTTATGATTCATAAGAAGCAAAGTAGTCTCACAAATAGCTATCTCGTGACCTGGTCACACCCTCTAAGGCACCACCTGTGGCGACTAACGTAGCAAGAAATAAAGGTCCGCTCAAACGCCAGAACAATGCAAGCAAACAACTACAGAAGTACAAGGAGCAAAGGTCGACGGATCCTTTCCAGAGCAAAGCGGGCGCAAACCAACCCCAGAAACCATTCCCAGCAGAATACACGATTGAGAGAAGTGAGATGTATGGTGCGTCAGCCCAGCGACCACGAGAAGATAAACACCGCAACACCGGGGCACAGAAGAGAAGACAGAAACCGAGCCCAGAGAGTATCATTATCATGACAATCGTTCTAGATCGTCGAAAGTGTAGCAGGCGTTAGTGGGTCATCACGGCGAATATCTGGGATCTGACGGGCAGAGGGGAGATATTGAAGAATAAAAGGACATAGTCAGATGCGGGTCAATTCTAGTAGACGCTAGACTGCTGCAGTTTGAAGTCGGGGATGTAATCGAACCAGTCTGTCGTCGGGTTGTAACGGTAGGCCTTAAATTCCACTCCGTATGGTTTGGGCTCCAACATATAGAGCATGCCCAGAGGAACATCCAAGGAAGCGACTTCGTCACGTTTCAGCCCACGGAAATAGGCCAGAAGGACACGCGCCACGGATCGGTGGGTGACCAGCAGGATATGGTCAGTCGTCCGCTCCATCTCAATGATAACAGCACGGAGACGGTTGATCACGTCCATATAACCTTCACCACCAGGTCCGGGGTATCGGTAGAAGAGCTTGTTCTTGCGACGAGCCGAGTATTCCTCGGGAAACTTCTCGCGAATCTCGTCGTAGGTCATGCCTTCCATCTCTCCGGCGTAGAGCTCGTCCAGCATTTTCATCTGCTTCACGTCGTAGTCGTCTTCGTTGAAGTAGTCGACAGTCTGAATCGAGCGTTGCATCATCGAGGACCAGACGCAGTAGTTACGAAGGCGGTCACCAGGGATGTAGGACGGGTTGGGGGGAGTGCTGTCGCCAGCGCGGGGCGGCAGGTGTCGGAGCATTTCCTTTTGTCTCTGGATAAGCTCCCACTGTTGCCGCTGATGGTCGATGAATCGAGCCAATGCCTTGGCATATCGGTGGCCGTTCTCGCTAAGCTCCGAATCACCGCCAATGCGACCCAGCTGGTTATCCTTACTCTCGCCGTGTCTGGTGATCCAAATCTGACGAGGGGAAAGGTTGAAGTTGAGAAGGTAGTAGACAACCTGTGAGGAGAGGAAGCCATGCGTTTGGTGGGCCACAACTTTGCGTCCGACATCAATCATCTGGATGAAGGCCATGTTGTTCTTCTCTTCGTACTCGCCTAGAGGAACGTAAGACTTCTCATACAGAGCGACACGCTGTTTGAAATCTGCCAACGCCTTGACAGGATCCTGATCCTTGTAATCAGGTCCAGAAAGTTTCAGGCGCATATTGGCCTCCAGAAGCTCTTGATCAACACAGCTGCTCTCGAGGAAAAGAATGTTCAGTTCCGTGCCGGCACGCTTGCGAATATGATCGACGATCGTCTTCCGGCGCTCCATGGTACTGTTCGTTGCATCCAGAATACCAACACTACCACCCTGCTCAAGAATGTACTCCAACAGCTCGTCGAGTGTGTCTAAGGCCACCTGTTCTCTGAGTTTCACGGCGAGTTGGTTCTTAGGGTCAAAGAAATTGGCGGACTGGTCGATGGGCTCCGGAGACGCTTCGCGCATGGCCTCCTGATCCTCAAGACCTGCATTGGCCGGAGGCACGATCGTGCTTTGTGAGGGGTCTTCCTCCTTGCCATTGACAAGGATCTTGGTCGGACACGCGGGCGGTGGAAGCTTGTTCTCGAGTTCGGGAGGCGACGACACTGCATTGTCTTGGGGTGCGGCCGAGGACGCGCCATCAGGGCGGGGAATATCCTTATGAGATGGCTGGTTCGAGGTACCAACGCTAACACTAAGACGTCGTACAGAGTCGACAAGCTCACTGTGGATGACGCTGGCTCGATGGCTGGGACGACGTCCTGCAACAGATGGCGATTTCCCGGCGGCTACACGACGACGATTTCCGACATTGAAAATCTCAGTGTCATGCTGGAGCCAATTCAGGTACCGCGCCAATTTCTTGGTGACATAACTCTTGCCCCGGGCGGGGAGGCCGACCATAATAATGACCAGCTTAGATCCAACATCGCGCTGGGCGATTCGTCCGTCGGGAGAGACCTTCGACTTGGTGAGACCGGGAATGTCGAGTGTGGTTGCACGCACGCGACCGGGGAGGGTTGGGGTTGATGAGTTGGCAGGACTAATGATGGCAGTCAGTTAGGTTGGGATATGTCCTCAAATTTCGGCCATATCCGACCGCGGGATGCGATCGAACGATATGAAGCCCAGAATCGAAGAGCATATCAGATCAAAGCCCAGGCTCAGAGATCCGATTGATGATCGCTGCAATTTGGGGGGAAGCAAGGGTGACAACCATCCAGCTGCCGGTACGAAATAACCCGACATCAGAACGGATTGCCGATCATTCCCCAAGCTGCGGCAAAAATCTAGAATGCTCTGTCGGGCAGAATCGACTCAATCGAGACTCTAGGGCAACATGTGCAGAGAGACCAGCCAACGAGCAGACGAAAAGAAAGAAGATACATACAATTGTGGAGACGAGGGTGCGGTAGAAATCGGAGTGTCTGTTAGGGCGAACCCGACACCATCCTTGGAGGCTTGGGATCCCTTGTGAGCATCGGAAGAATGCACTTCATTCCCTAGCGCTCGTCCGACCAGCGACTTCGCCGGCGGCATAAGATTCGCCTCTTTCCCGGCTCCCGACTGCGACGGACTGCCACTAGATTTCCCCTCGCGTTGGTGTTCGGGGATTGAGGCGCAGGTCATGATGGCCGAACGCGCAATATCTGTGTGTTGAGACATCCCCGCAAGTGGCGCAGGGACGCAGCCTGATTTATAAGAGAGAAGAACGATGAGAATAAGGTGTCAAAGTGGGGGAAGAGAAAGCTTTTCTTGAGAGTTAAGGGGGAAACACGCGCGACTCTCCGGTGAATGGTTGAGAAGTCAGTGCAGTGAGAGAAGAACAATACAATAGTTTCTCTCTCTCTTTTCCTCTTTTTCTCTGTCTTGTGAAGGGAAAGGGAAGTGGAAGGGAAGAAAAATAAGGGAAGTTGCGCTGTGGTGGTGGGCGGATGAGTCAAGAAGAGAGAACGAAGAAGGGCCGCACAACGTCACTGTTTGCAACTTCTGTCTGTTCTTGTCTGTCCTCGTCCGCGGAACTCTCAATGAACAACAGCAGCAACAACAACAACAATAACACAACACTCTGCGATCACCAGACTCTCAATGTCTTATACAATACAACCACGCGGTCAATTGCACGATCTCAAAAGATCCCTCAGATAAAAATGGGGCGAAAGAGATAACCAGGCAACGTGCAATCAAAGAAAGAGCTTTGACAACCAATGGGGGTGGGATGCGAAGCAAGGCTTCCTTGATCCGAACCTTCCGAGCCTCCAAAAATAAGTGAAGGGAAGCTGTCCCAAGCAATGGTAGGTGAAGGTTAACGCACGAGTTTAATTGATTTGATACAAGGATAAGTACCACCGGGATGGAACAGCAATACATATAAGCCCCAACCCTCGGAGCTGATGAAGTCACTTGGGGTCGCTTAGTCCTATCGGTGGATCGGCCGAGGGATCTGCTAGACTGCTTGCTTGCTTTACCCACGACTCCCCAATGATCATAGATGATGTCAAAGCCTATCCTCGTCTCCATTCAATGGTCCGCAGCATCCCGATATAAATACTCTTGCTTTGGCACCCTCGGATGCATAATTCCGATCCAGGGCAACTTATCCAGACTGCCCAGAAGAACCAGAATGCTTGGCCCAGCAAGGGTGAGAGAGGGACTCATCATATTCATCATCATCATCATCATCATCATCATCACGGGTCAAACCCTCAACGCTGCAGCACGAGCCCCGCGGCTGAGATGCCCAGGCTAGCCAAGAATCTCACCACAGCTTGCTTTGTAGCAGTTCTGTATCAGTTCAGCCACCTGATGGTCATGACTCCGTCTGGATCAATAATAGACTCTGCTCGGCATAAAGGCGGGAGAACAAGGCAGAACCCCTTTAGGTGGGATCGGATCGTTTGCCGCAAAGAGCCAAACCAGCAGCCAAATCCCAACAGAATGAATGTTTTCTTTTGCTTTTGCTTTTGCTTTTTGCCAGTGAGTGTGGCTTCGTGCTTCATGCTTTTGTCAAATGAGCCAACATGTCGCATCGCAAATTGAGTCAAGGCTCAATACTCGGTCAGGCCAAGGTCAGACAAGGCTTGGATTGTCGCACCATCACGTTGTTTGCCAACTACGCTAGATGCAGCTCCCCGAAGTAGACATGATTCTAATCCAGCTGGGGTGGAATCCGAGACCGTGGCTGGCATCCATCGACGGCGTCTGTCAATCAGCAGCAGTAAGGGGTGAACGTGGACCAATGACTTCCTGGCCCCTGCAGTTTAGGGTCATACAACCGATGCTCAGAAGTTTTGTAGAGTCGTACCAACTGACTATAAGAGATCTAGACCTTGCCTAATCTACAAGCTACAAGTCTTTGAATAGATACTTCCATACCCCACCGAACCACGCTCGGTCCTTTTCCCATGCCTTCACAATCATGTCTCTGCCCAAACGGACCAGATCTTCCAGCTGTTCCGGGGTTCCCCAGCCAGCAATCATGGGTCCAAATGCGACGAAATGAACACCGGCATGGATCAGGGCCCGGAAGGCAACTGTCTCGTCTGGGATCTGGTATGCCTCTACAAAGCCTTGAATGATCCACAGCCCAGCATCGATGTCCCTGAAATGCTTCAACATGTACAGTTCGGCGAGCATCTGGCCCAGATCCAACGCTCTAGTGCCGAAATGACAGAGCTCCCAGTCAACAATGAAGAGGGAGGTCTGGGATGTCAAATCCAGCGCTGATTTGGGGACCAACACGCTGCTTCCATTAGCCTTCTAGTCTCCGATGGCTAGTCTCATAAATTGGGGGAATGATGACTTACTTCCCGGACCAAAAGTCGCCATGGATAATTCCATACCCAATCTCATCCTTCTTATCCAGTTCCGCTACTGCTGCTTGTCGGACCTTTTCAAACACCTCGCGGGAGTCAGCGAGTATAGCAGGAAACTGCTCGGTTCTTCCCACGATATTATCGTAGTTGACGGCGAGCTTAAGATTGCGCATGGCGTGATTCTTTTCCAGCTCCGCGACCACGCTCGCCTGGCCCTGCTCGTCAGTCCATTGATGGAAATCCAGCAGCCAGGTACCCAGGGCCTTTCCAATTGAAATGGCCCATTCTTGAGAGATAGTGTCCGATGCAGCCGAGGAGATGCAGAATGTTTTCAGGTCCAGGGAGTCGGGTAGATCCTCAATAATGGCCGTGTTTGTGTCAGGATTAAAGACGAAGAGACGAGGGGCTTTGACTGTAATGTTCCGACTTCCGGGCTGTTCTTCTAAAGTCGATACGCTGGAGAGGCCATTGAGGGCCTTCAGGCTGGCTTCTTCGAAGAGCTATGGCGATCAGCTTCAACCAATCTGAGGACTGACAGGGAAGGGAAGGGTTACACAGCGCTCAGCAGTGAGCTTAAAGTTCCGATTCGAGGCTACATATTCCTCGGAATGCTTGATGATAACAGATTCCGTGCCATCGTCGAGGGGCTGCGATAGCAGTCCGCGGAAGACGAAGTTGGCGGATCCTCCGCTCAAGCGCGTGAGGGACGAGCATGCATACGGCGTGTGCTCTAAATCGCGGGCGATGTCTATCGCCAAGCTATCGTCTGGCTTCGGATCCATACTCAGGTCCTTGGGATACTGTCGAGTGGCAGTCATAGCCAAGTGCTCCTGATCCGGGATATTGTGGAATGAATGAAGAGTTTTAAATGACTGCTATCGGGGCTGATTGTACTTTGAATTGCTGTAGACGGAGCGGGGGTGGGGCTGGCGGAGTCCAGGAATGGTCTGGCGTTTATTGGTGGCTGGAGACAATCAACCCTAAATACTCTATCGGTCTTGTTTGATCGGTGTTGCAGAGGGCAGTAGAACTAGTGTCAGCCAAGATAAGATCGATGGTCCTCGAGTCCTTGTTGCCATTACAAATACGCGGTGAGTCTTCCTTTGAGTCACCTCCCCCCATGCATGTTGTAGAAGCTTGGCAGCTTTCCCCCCGCAGAAACAAATCAGCATTTTCTTGGCGATGACTCGAAAGTCAGACGCATGACAGCAGTCTCGGAGTCGGAGTCATCAGTCCTGGAAAGCTTAATCTGTACGGTCCGATTTGGACGGGGTCCAGGTTCTTGGTTCCTTGATCTGGGATCCGTCGCAGTGGGATTACTGCTTTGTGTCCGAAGCTTGTAGGTGAATGATGCCGATGCATTCAAGTCAGAAGCTATGTAGACTTGTCAGTGTTTTGATCTATGTGGTCAGCATTTGACCCTATGGTTAGTAATCGCATGCATTTCCATCTCCTCAGCCACCAACTCAACTCTCTCCAACCTCATTTCCCTCGTAATCTATCTCAGCTCTATCCTCATCTTACAGCATCCAAAGCTACAAGCCCATCTTGATTCTACACTCATTTCAGAAAGTCCGCAGTCTAAGCTATAGTAATAGCAATGAACTCGAACGCCCCCATCAAAACACGCTTCCTCATCCTCTCCGACACGCACAACATCAACCTCCCATCAGACTCCACCACCAACCACCGTGCAGACGTAGCCATCCACTGCGGCGACCTAACGCAAACCTCCATGCTCGACGAGATGCAAGCCTCCATCGCGCTTCTCCAGCAGATCGACGCGCCCCTGAAGCTCGTCATCGCCGGCAACCACGACTTCACGCTGGACACGCCATTCTTCCGAGACCTGCTCGAGAAGGACTACGCGCGGCTCGACCCGACGGCCATTGCCAAGTTCTACGGCGAGTACGGCGAGGCCCGCCAGCTGTTCGCCGCACCAGATGCCCAAGCCAGCGGGATCCGGCTGCTCGACGAAGGGACGCATCAGTTCACGCTGCAGAACGGCGCGGTGCTCACCGTCTACGCTAGCCCTTACACCCCAGCGCGGGGGAAGATGGGCTTCCAGTACGAGCGGTCTGAAGGCCATGCCTTCGACATTCCGCCGGGTGTCGACGTAGCCATGACCCACGGTCCTCCCGCGGGTGTCTTGGATTACACCGCGCACGGTCAGCGGGCGGGGTGTCCGGACCTGCTTGCGGCCGCTGCTCGTGCCCGGCCGCCCATGCACTGCTTTGGGCATATTCATGAGGGCTGGGGGGCGCGTTTGGTGACGTGGCGGGAGAAGGTCGGTGAGGACCCGTCGCATTCGGTGCTCATTGACGACGATCGGTCTGTGTTAATTGAGGATCTGTCTACCTTGAACCAAGGAGCCGAGGAGAAAGGGAAGATGGGTGAACAGAGCGGTGGGCTCAGTCGGACCAGCCATTGTGCTGACAATGAGCATCCGTTGAAACCCGGGTTGCAGACGCTATTTGTCAACGCCGCGATTGAGGGGCTGGGTGAGATTCGTGTGCAGCCGCCTTGGCTGGTTGATCTGGAACTTCTGAGGGTGGCATAGATTCGGGTCTGTAGGTCTCAGTCTTGTTAGATTGCGCGGTGTGGCCTTTTATATAGAGACATAAGATTGGATCAGGTGCTTGGAAGAGAAGCACTTGTCGAAGGCTAGAGGATACTTTCTGAGGTCGGAGAGGCATTAATCATCTGCTTCATACCAAATGGAATCCCGTGCGAGCAATGAAGCAACGTGGATATGATGGTTAAAGTGCGACTTGGACTCTGTATCCAAAACAAAACAAAGTCTAAAGCCGGTCCACCCACATAATTGCTTGCCAAAGGACCATCCAAGAGTATCCCAAACCAAAGCAGATCGAATGCCAAATCTCACAGGGTCTTTGTCTATACTCTATACGCATATTAATCTATAGCCGTAATGCATCATCTAAACGAATCGAATCGACCAGCCCACGTTTAGGACATACACCCCCATGAGCCAAGAAACCTAACCACCAGACCCTCACCAGCAACCTCAAACCTTCAACTCCTACCCATCCCCAAAGTCAGCGCACCCAAACCCCGAAAAGCACAACAGACAAAGAACTCAGCATACCATATCAAACCACCCGCCGCCCGCAAACTGCGACGGGCTCGCCCCCAGACACCTGAACCCCATCCTCTCGTAGAACGGGACCAGATACTCATGCGCGATGAGGACCACCCTCTCCGCGTCGGCTATGTCCTCACTCCTGACCCACTGAATGTACTCCGACATCAGGGCCCTCCCGACACCACCACCCTGGTACTCCGGCACAACGGCCAAAGAATGCACGGCCAGGTTTGAGCCCGCCGGCTCGTGGCCGATGGGCTCCTTGGTGTTGGGGTCGATGGCGACCTCGTGCGGGGCCATGGCGGGCCAGGACGTTGTGGGGGGCATGCGCATGGAGCCGTCGGTGATGCAGGGGGCGGTGGTGCGGATGGCGATGACGTGGGCGATTAGCTGAGGAATGGAAGAAGGGTTGGGCTGTATGAAGAGGCCGAGGCTCAGCTTGGGGCATTTGGTGAGGCGGTAGATGAACTGGGCATGGGTGGGTTAGTACTATGGGGTTTCGAAGGGGGCGGAGAGAATGCCATTGAGACTTCAGATGGTAGAAAGGAGGCACACTTTCTCCCGGGAGCAGCGCTCTTGCTCGGGGAATGCAGACTCAACAGTCACGCAGCTGTCCAGGTCTGCGATGGTGAGAGGGCGAGTGAAAGCACTGAGGCCGGCGAGGGCGGGGAGAGAGGCGATGTGTGTGTCAGTGGAAGCCATGGCTGCGAGTCTTTGATGATAGTTTGAGTGGGCTCTGTGGATCATGATTGACACGAGGACTCTGAGAGATTTTATATGCTATGCTTTTTGCGAAGCAGTACTGTGTAGTATGAAGTGTGAACTGAGTCATAAGTTCTCTCTGGTAGATACTGTGTATAGCCTGGAGTAGTCATAGTGTTTCGCTGGGCGGGGTCCACTTAGTTAGACAACTCCCGCGCCTTACTGCGCCTTAGAGCTTGAGTACGAGGAGGAGAGACTAGAGAGACCGGACAAGCCCCCCTTAGATGCCTATTGATTTGACTTTGGTGCCATGGGTTAAGACTATCAGGAGCTCTACCTGCACCTTATCCAACCGTCTCCATTCAGGCCTACAACGACATCTTCTTCGAATCGTCGGGTCACCCTTACCTTCATAATCAAATATGTCTACGAGTGGCGTGACTGAGTACACCAAGACCATCCAGAGAACATGGACTAGGAAAAGACTGCACATCTCCATAGATCTGGCTGGAGAACAAGGCAACATCATCAACACCTACACAACCTCAGACCGAATCGATGGAACCGCAGCCATCGCAGCCGATGAGGATGTAGACTTCGACGTCACATTCGAAGGTAAGAAGCCATGACGATGAATCCATCGAAAAGTCAATTGAAATAGCCACAGGTATCTATCGGGTATACAACGAACGAACCGGCCCTCCCCATACCGATCGTCGAGTTGGCGCTTCCAAAACGTTCCTCAAACTGCGACATCCTCTCTCGACCAATGCATACCCCACTTCACGGCGGTTTCAGAAGGGCGAGAAGTTTATCTTTCCCTTCAGCTTCGTCGTTCCAGACCACATGGACGCTCCTTTCTGCATGTTCAACTCGGACGAAACCCACATACAGCTCCCACCAACTCTTAAAGGCGGCAAACTCACCGGTGCCGACGGATCCCTCAGTGATGACTTCACTCCGACTGTATGCGAGGTCGTCTATGCCATACAAGTCCGCGTAGTGCAGACTACCACCAATAGGACGTTGAAAACGCAGTCACAACATGTGCGGCTGATCCCCCCAACGCCAAGCACATGAATTCGTGTTTGAGGGGTGGTGATATCAAGAACAGTGTGGCGTATCACGAGGTGAATCCTGGTATACTCGAGCAAAATCCGGGTCGGCTTAACCTGACCGCATCTCGACCGCAAGCGATCCGGCTGCTTGTGCCTGCGAACGTGATCCCGAATAATGCTTGCTCGGTTACGGCGCAATTGCAATATGTTCCCGTCAGGCACGAATATCCGCCACGTCTGAAATCCCTTCGTACCAAGCTTGAAGTGTCAACCACCTACACTTGCAATTCTGGAATCCAGGTGGATTGTCTTTCCACAACGGACACTGTCCGCTTTGCGAAATCCATACCATTATCCTCGCTTTGTGTGGACTCGGTGCAATGGCAATGGACTGCGCTGGATCAGAAGCATGTTTGCGCCAAGAATGATGTCGATCATTTGGAGCATACCGAAGAAGCTGAAAAGTGTTATACAGCCTATGTTACCATTCCAATCACACTCCCATAAAACAGAGTCTTTGTGCCAACATTCGCCTCTTGCCTCGTCAGTCGGGACTACACCCTGAAACTGTCGGTCTCTTGCGCGTCTCCAAGCGCATCGCTGTTGCCTGCGTCAGTCCAGCTTGATGTTCCGCTCGAGATAGTTCCAATGAAGCACTAAGACAGGATTCGACACATGCATTGGCATAATAAGCGGTATTGTGGTGGAGGTAGGTTGCAGTCGTTACGGGCGGAGAGCGTTCCTGGTCGCCTTACAGCACCAAGTGCACCGATTTGTACATATACGTCAACCATTGTGTCACGACCAAGAAACAATCATCATCTAGCTTCAATCTTTGACCTTGCTCGTGTAGGTGAAAGTTGTCCAGACGAGACAAACCTCCCTCCCTGTCAGCATTGGCGATTTGGTCAATGTGTTGACGGCGGAATTCAGCAATCCACTCCGGATTGTCGAATATCGTCTGATTCCATGAGTCTTCGCAGTCATAAACCAGTCGTCTCGACTCCTGCTGTAGCATCTCATCGGTAGGAATGATCCCTTGTTCCATCTGCTGCCGAGTATACCTAGTCAGGTGAAAAACCAGTACTTCGATCATATTGTTCCACGGCCCAGTATAGGCCGATTCCTCGAGGGGCTCCAATTGGCTGTGGACATTAAGGATATGATCAGCAACACTGGACTCGCTCGCCTCTAATCGTGAACAAATCTGTTTCACATGATCGTAATGGTGGAAATTGGTAGCGGAGAACGGTACGAGAACCCTTGAGTCTGAACCGATGTGATACGGTGGCAGCGAGTTCACGACGAGTTTGGCAATCTCTGAAGGAAAGTCATGGTCTCCTCGCCAGTCGTCCATAGTAGATCCGCTGCGGAAGTGATTACCGAGGTGGTCAATTCGCTCTTCCCAGGACGAAAGCCTCAAGTCGCAGAAACCGCAGCGAGACGTAACCGGGGGACCCTGAACTTTCCAATCATCGATGGGTGGTAGGGTCTCGAGACGATGCGTTCGTCGCAGATGCTGCACCAGATGGTCCTTGCGACGAAAAGTGCGTGTCCCACTGATGCAAGATTGATATTTGTGCCCATCAAGATGTTCTGGCGTCGGGTCCAGTGCATTGCAAAACGCGCAATGCTCTTTTCCAGTGGACGAGGACACGACCGTCCCGCCTTGGAGCGCACAGACCCATTCTTCCAGATTCAAATGTAGAGACTTCTCGTGTCGAGCCAGTCATACTTGGTCCGGAACTGATCACAGCAAAAGGTACAGCAGAACCGACGACCTTTCTCCGCGGGGTTCATTTTGGCACTTCTGCCCTTCCGCACACGTCCGGTCGTGCCTTTTTTGTGGGATCTTGGTCGCCCCTGCGACTTCTGGGAGGTTGCTGATCTGGTCGAAGTGGAGGAAGGCTGGGAAGAGACACTAAGAGCACTGCTTCGCGAGCTGGGTACTGATGCGGTGCGATGTCGGTATCCTCGAAAGGAGTTATGCACTTGACCCGGACTTCCTGTTCCCAGCCCACAAGCAGTTGTTTGATCAGTGGCGGCCGGGTACTTCTTCAGGGATTCCATGATTGCTGACAGCGAAGCCGGTTCGTCTTCTGGAGGTGACTCCTGCCATCGCTGCATGGGATCGGGGGCATTCTGTGGGTTTGGGATGAAGGTCGAGACGCCATTGAATCCTCTGCCCCCACCTCGCATGGCATACCGACTTCTCCGTCTGGGAAGCGCACGTGGTGCATTTGTGCTAAGCACGGATGGAGTGGTATCGATGGGCTGCTGTACCGGAACGCTGCCAGGGTCCTTGTTCGCGGCAGAGAGAACTGCATGGCCACCTAATAAGGCATGAGAGGGGTGAGATAGTAGGCAATCAGAATGATAGCTACGATTGTTTTCATTGAGCTCTTGGAGGCCCGTGGTCGGCCACAATGCGCTTTGTGTCTCCGGGGTAGCATAGCTCGACTGAACGGAACTCGATATGAAGCCTGTTAAACCCTGTTCATCGAGCAATTGCTGCGCTACGGTTATTTCGTTGTATGTAGAATCGCATGGTTCATCGACGCCTTGTTCGAAACCAGGGATGGGAAAGGCAGAAGCTGGGGCAATGGAGGAGCCTGGCGCATTTGAGCTTCCGTCTTCTTGGGGAGATATTAGCTTCCCACCAGGTTGAACAATTTCGACACCAGAAGAGACGTATCTACACAGATCTTCACCAAAGTCGAAATTGACGAACTCATGCCAACCCTGCCATGTGCCGCATGCGGCGGGTTGTTGCGTACTTCCCACCCTGCTGGTTTGCATCGCATCATCAATCTCCAAGTTTTGCATTGACTGTCGCATGATCCATCCCTGTTTTCTGCTTGCGGGGTTCTTTTAGTGGATTTTCTCGATGTAGTACATAAGTAAATGCCGTATTGGCATGAGTCAATTGGGATGACGGAGATAAGTAGATGATTAAAGCTGAATAGTCGCCCGATAACGTAATCGGTAAGCGAGTGGTCCATGTAGGCGAGTGGCCCAACTCCGTATTCCTTATAAAATAGTTATTATTCAAAGCTGAATATCTCAACAACTACAATACTTAAGAATATAAAACTTGAATATATGTTAGTTAAGTATATTCTCTATATATAGTATTATTTCTAAAGACTAGAAAATCATATTTCTTAAAACATTTAGAATTTATATCAAATTACAAAATATACTCAATATATATATATATATATATATATATATTTAGGTAATTAAGATATATATCAATATATCAGGTTTTCTCTAGGCTATACTAGATAATCATAATAATATTAAGCTTAATCCTAAGTTTTACAAGAAATTTATAAGAAATGGTTGAGATATTTAGCTTTTAATAATAGCTACTTTATATGGAATACGGAGCTGGGCCACTCGCCTACATGGACCACTCGCTTACCGATTACGTTAACCGGGAATGACTCAAATGGGTGGAGAACGGCTGCTGCGGATATTCCATCTCCGCCCCACGGCTCTTATATGGTTCGCCACACGAAAGACTAAACCCAAATCAATGCAACATCATTGGATCGGAACTTTTAGGTTTCAATAGCCGAGGCCCTAAATTATAATTGATAATATAAAACACAAATCGCAGTTTAGTTTCAACAGCAAGGCCTGCTGGCCCAATGGTAAGGCGCTTGACTACGAATCAAGAGATTGCAGGTTCGAGCCCTGCGTAGGTCATTATTTTTGTCTTTTAAGTCTCTGCCTCCTTAGGAGACCTCGGACATTCATACGCCCTGTTTCCTGAATTAACTGCTTCCAAAGGATGTGGTCGAAGACTGTCTATTTTTGGTCATGGGCTTTGGTGCTGCAAAGTCTGAGGCGAAGATATGCACCCAAGTCAGTCTTGTGCAAGTATATAAACGCCGCCCAGTGAGATGGGCCTCTATGTACATACCTGTTGGCAATGGGAAGATACAGCTACAGTGGGTAAGTGTGTGCCGGCTCCCTCAATATATTTCATTGGCGTGCGTAGCTGATAATTGAAACGGTACCCGACGGGTATATCGACGCGAAGCACCAGCTCTTTGGGTGTCTTTGGCCTTTTCCTGATAGACTCTCGCGGTGCTTCTGAATGCGCGGCAGGGGGGTGTCGGTAATGATGATTCTGGTTATTTTTACCTGCAGTTCGATTGCAACCCCGCGACTCTGTGTCAGGGTGGTGCTTCAGCTTGTTCGTGCAGCAACTTTCCTCGGCTTGCTGTATGGCAAGAGGGAGGGGCATACAGTGGCAGTTCGAGGTATGTTTCACCACAGCCGGGCTATGCCATGATAATATAAAACGAATTGCACACACCCAAGACAAGCCCGACATATATTCTACCCGGGGACCAAGAACCTGGAGCACTCTTGCCACATGCGAATCAGAATGGTTGTAGTTACCCACGACATTGCGACAAGCCACAACAGACCGATATCCCATAAAGTTCAGAATTGCATGGCAACAGACACCTCTACTGGCATTTCAGCCAACCTAGATAGAGGCTAATGAGGTTGGCCCGAGAAGGTGCGAGTACGACGGAAGGTCAAAAAGCAAAAAAGAATGACCTACGCAGGGCTCGAACCTGCAATCTCTTGATTCGTAGTCAAGCGCCTTACCATTGGGCCAGCAGGCCAGCTGTTATTAGGGTACGTGAAATTGTGTTATAAGTACCAAAAATTTACTGTACCGGTCAGATCCCAGCATAGCTGTCAGGTGAGGGTCAACATGATGCAGGCGTCCAGAGAGCACTGATCCTGTCAGCATACAAGAATCTAGTAGTAAACCAAATACTACGACGAGGACATTCGATTTATCTATTGGATGACGTCCTGCAGACGACGGAGGATCTGATGACCCTCCAAACTCTATCATCTAGGCGAGGGCAGTACATGGATGGGGGCCCGGGGAAGAGCGCGGCTTGCCTATCTCGAACCTAATCTCCCCGGTCACTACGTCACAAGGGGCATTACCTGGATACTCGCGTGGCTTCCGAGGTCAAGAGATTAGAGAAATCGTGGTTTCAGCACATTCAGAAATAGTAAAATGTAGCATGTTTCGAGGATGTTTAATCATGGAATCAGGGCCCCAGCCGCGCAATGACCGCGTAAACTGCCTCGGCTGTAGAAGAAGTAAGCAGGATAGGTATGTATGTACATCGATGGGTACGCTTGACTCTCACCCCATTGAAAGATTCCAGCGCCAATGGTGTTATAAATACCCCAGGACTAGAGCAGATTGCACTGCGCAGACTTCACAGTCAATGCTGCCTCCCAGTGATACGAGCCCGGCCCGTTGCACCACTCATCGCATCTAGGACAGGGACAGGAGTGCGAGGCCAGCCTGTGCTGGATCCCTCATCCTCGCCACACTGGATATGGTCTTGACAGGGCCAAAAAGACCAAAAAATGACCTACGCAGGGCTCGAACCTGCAATCTCTTGATTCGTAGTCAAGCGCCTTACCATTGGGCCAGCAGGCCTTGCTGTAATGACCTAACTTTAGAAACTAATAATTGATCAAAATAGTACAGAAAGATAAAGTTTTCATAAGAAATTGTTATGGGGAATATATACATACTTAGAAGATTAAACCCTTCTTTATCACACCTCCAACGAGGAATTGCTGCTACGTATTCTGATTAGTATAAATAAAAGTGGGTCTTCAGCATTATTCTATAACCAATCAGCCCCGCCAGCCTATGAAGGCAGTATTCCATGCCCGGCTGCGGCGCCTTAAAGGGTGAGCTTGCTGAGATAACTCGGAGCAGGAGTCCAATTCGCCCTCAGAACTAACATAGAAGGGTAAGAGGAGGTACTCTTCAAGGAGCTTAAGCAGCTGGTCCCAATCTCTTTGCTCATGAGCCTCAACCAGTGGATTGTACCTGCTTTGCAGCGAATCAGGGATATTCGGGCAAGTGAACCAATCCATGACCCATGGAAAAGTGATTATGACCATCTCGAGATATCTCGGGTCTGGCTGGCAAGCAGCATGCTTTGCAGCATCACGGGCAAGGTCCAAAGGCCGCAAAGCCTCGAAGTTGGCGTCATTGTCTAGTGCTAGTCTCAACAGCTCCAGGCGATCTGGGCTGGAACTGATATATGCGAACGCGACGTCGGGGTATACGAGTCTCGCTCCCCGGGATAGTATCAACATACGAACGACAGGGTCGAGAAGGCCCCCTGTCCGGTCTCGGCCATAGCACAATATAAGGTTTAACAGGGGCAAATGCCCGTCCGACACATAGGGATCTTCCCGAAACTGAAGCTCTAGGTCAATGTCAGGGTGGCCCAACAATACTGGCACCATGTCCAACTGGTCATAGATCAAAGCAGCTGGCAGCAAGCTCCAACCGCCCAGAGAGCGGACGTTTGGATCCAGACCGAGCGAAATATACCTCGCAACAAGATGCAAATGGCCTCTCCCGACCGCCCGCGAGATGAAGTGTCGTAAAGGTAAACTACCTTCTTGCGGATCAGGGTAGGGAAAATCTTGAAGATAAATTTCTTCAGGGGCGGGAGGGAGCTCGAGTAGCTCTTTATACAACTTTAACCTCACCCTCACCAGTGCGGATTGAATGGCCTTTCTCGAATAAAGCATCGACCGAAGCATCGACCGTAGAAACTTGCAAGTCTGGCTGAAGCTTACAAGGGTCCTGTTGTCCATATGCTGCGCAAACTCGAGGTAAATCTCCGGAGGTAGTAAGCCCTTATCATGGGAACAAGATTGCATGCTGACCACACCCTCAGACGGAAAGTTGAAGCAGCCTCTGCAGCCATTATAATAAATTCCCTTCAGTCGCTCCATCTCTTCTCTATCCTCAGGAGCAACATGGTTCAGGATGGAAGCACTAGCCATTTTGGAGTTGATGCTTGAAGCAACCTATCTAAGACTTTCCAGGCTAAGAGTACTGCTCCTGACCGTGACTGTGATTTCTGATGCTTCTGGTGATTTATATATGAGTTGATCTATCCCTGTTCCCTGGGCGTAGGGAAAGATGTCACTCTTTCAGCAAGCAAAGCCATTGTCCACGAAAGACATTGTTGTTTCTTTGTCATTGCGTTGTGAGTCGAGGGGGATAGTGACAGCACTTAAAAGTAGTCCATGTCTTTATTCCGGAACAGGGAAAACGGATGTGTACACGGGCACGCAATGGTCTTTATGCACAGTACTCCGTACCTCGCACCTAATTAGAACATGTTAGTTGGAGTCAATGCACACATCAGCAAGGAGACCCGTCTTTGGCAATTGGGGTTTCATAGAACAAATATGAAAAACAAACTCCCGACATTGCTCCCAGATCTTTTGTCTTCGCCCGAACCCATTGTACTATTCTTTGTGGTCCATCCTTGTTCCCTAAATAACACACCCACTGATATTCTATCCTTCTTTGCATTGGCAGCCCGCCTTTGAGGCAAGCCTTATCTTCGTTCCCTGGAAGCCATGCGAGAAGAACCACGATCTCAATATATCGAGCTCACTGAGAACTCCAGCACCTTAGTCTTTCACGAGCACAGTACTGAATTACGGTGGCATCTTTTAGGGCCAGGCTCAGGTATGACTTCAGAGGACTAATGGTCACCTGGGCTCGAGAGGTATATTGTTGGCCATATTCATTAAGTATGTACAAACGACTAACAGCATGATTACGCCTCATTTATTCCGAAACCTTTTGACTTCGTACTGCTCAGATCAAGAGATAACCAGTACCGCCGTGATAAATGCAACAACCCCAGAAGCAGCCACAATGGGCGCCTTGCTGCGCCATCCTGCTGATCCGGACTTCGTAGTTGTCGCAGCTGCCCCCGTTGTCGTGCTGCTCCCTTTTCCACTACCCCCCGTTGTCGTGCTGCTCGCTTTTCCACTACCCCCAGTGACTGTAGCTGCCATTGCCGTGACAGGGTGCTCGACCGAGAGCAGTGTCCAGGTAAAAGTGCTACTGATGGGGGTAGAGATGACACCGCCGGTGTTTGATAGCGTTTCGGTTCCGTTCGCAGGCAGATGGCCCGGCTTGTAGAACTGGGTGACATTACCAGCTGATGGAGCACCGAAGCCCAGCGTGCCCGCACAGTCATAATTCTCCAGAAAGGTCCCGCACATATCCCAATCACGAGCGATGACAGCACTGTACAATTCATCCGCACCCAAAAGCGCCGGCTGGGTATTAGGACATACGTCCCAGATCCTATGACTGTCAGAAAACACCTTGGTGATTGGGGAGAGAGGAATAGCCCACGAGGAGAGGAGAGCACTTTTCGAACAGCAAAGACATGCCCGTCCGTAGTCAGCAATGTCACGAGCGCTGCTCAGTTGGTCGAGATTCGTCATATTATTCGCGCATTCCGTCGCTTGGTCCACGATCGACAACTCTCGATCATAGAGCTTGCCTAAGTTGCATGAACATCCACCGGGGGCGTTATCGGGAGGCGGCCAAAATGGCAGTTGGGTCTTGTTCACGGAGGGGCAGAGGTCGAACAAGGTTTGGACTGTTTCTTGGTACTCGCACGAGTAGACCTATCAAATTTCGCATCGTCTTCAGTTGAGACCATATGCGCGGATTAGATTGTGATCTGATGGCAGCATACCTGATTCCAGCAAGCCGAAGCAGCGCAATCAACTTCCCGGCTCGTCTTCACACACCCGCACACATTAATACAATCGATGCCTAGGTTCGGACATTTGCTCTGCATGCAAGAAGCATTCCCTCCACAGGAATTGTAGCACTCCTCCGAGCCCCCAGCACAATTCTCGTTCACGCACCGAGCGTAATAGTCGTCCGCCTCACTGTAGCATGATTCGAGAGCCGAGGGAGCGGCGCAATTAGAAGATTCAAAATATCCAACTTGCTTCGTCACCGCTGCCGGAATCAAAGTCGCGGCGATTGCGAGCCAAGCTCCCACCGAGAACGCCATAATGTTACCGTGATAAAGATAAGAGTCCAAATCTCATCCTGAGAGGGACATTGTGGGTTTTATCTCTTTTCTCCAACTTCAACCGGCCATGCCGGACCTTTTGCGGAGATTGATCGGGCCAACACTCAGGGTCTAAGACAAGGGACCGGCTGGGGTGAAGGGGTAGCCACTTCGAACGACGGTTCCTCTTGGCGCAGGACTTGGCATGCCTTTCACGGCTATCAGCGGAGAGGTTCATAAAAGAGAAAAAGAGGCCAAGGAAGACGCCTGACTCGCTAGAGTGATTTAGCTGCCCGGATACGAGGCCCTCCTGGAGAAACATGGCGCTTGGCGGGCCCTGACCCCCAGCGAGATCGGATCGCGCTGCTAACCACGGGTTGACGGAGGCTGATCGGAATGAATCATCAGGCTGCAGTTGCGGAGGTGTCGCGCTGGCGCTTGTCCGTTGGCGGATGCCTATTGGGAGCGGAAATTGCTTGTTCCAGTGTATCTATGCACCACACCAGCTCGCAGTGGTCGACTGAACTTCCCACTTGGTGTTAGCGGGTGGCGGTCATCGGATCACTCGAGATTGACCGAGGCACTGTTTGCTATGCACAACTCCGGAAGGTCGAATATCACACACTAGTAGTAATTTTGTCGTACCACAACATGAGGCGGGAACAGCGGGACTTTGTTGTGCACTAGAAATGAGCAGGATGGAAACAGGAAGCATATAGCCCCGACTCCACAACCACAGCCTGGATTGGTAAGTAGAGTTGTTTCATCTCAAGGCTACGAGTGTATGTTGACTGCCACCCCCGACTATCCTTTGGGACTGCACAGAGCGCTCGTCTTGACTACACGAGTTGGTCTCCAGTAAGTTGCCATGGCGTGGGATGGAGAGGTCACAGATGACATTCTACCTGAGCAAGGATCAGAAATCAAACATAAAAATGTTTGAGGTAACGTCTTTGTCGTTGGTCAGATGGCGCTACAGCCTCTTATAAATGTGACAGCGAGCAGACGTAGCCTTGGCAGCTGCAGGACAGAATTCAGTCGTTGCGCGTTGACCGACACACCGCAGGTCTGGGGAAACTTGACGGCCAGAAGATGAGCCGAGCAAGTTAATATGAGAACAGACGGACCGACATCAACGAGCCGAAGAGCAGTAGGAATACGAGGGACTGACTTCGAAGCGCACAGCGGTATTTCGGTCAACCCGCGCATGATGCATTTCAGCTGAATCCGGGGGAGGCCTGATGAATGAAGCCAGTCAGTCAGCCTCGTGTTGAAGAGGCTTAATAGAAATAGATCGGATTTAGTGCCTTCCACCGCCGCCTTTTTGCCCCTTTTGCCCCAGCAACAAACAACCTCTTCTCTAATTGTATGACTTTCTATAACCTTTCCTTCCTTTGGTTGATCAAATAGAATTTATGATGATGTCTTCATCACCTGGCCTTGACAGACTTGACCAAATCACCATGGCAAGGCATATTCGCCGCCCGTATTCCCGATACTTGTCTTTCTTCAACAAAGCCATCATGACGAAGACTAGCTAATGAGCAGCGCGCCCCCCCGGAGTCTGACCACAGGGCTGAAAACAAAAGTTTCCCCAATCTAAATAAGTGGCAGCTGAGCTGAACGCCAATGCTGACGAATGGACTCTGATATTGAGAGCACGCCTGTCAGATGCCTCGAACCAATATATAAGCACTATTCCCGGTCGTGATGAATCTCCTTAGTCCCTATAATGGGGGCCCTCTAGCCCATGGAACACATTTCTTATTGCGTATTACTCCCATTAACATATATACAATGACACGTCTCGAGCGCAGCTCCTACAAGCGGCTGATAGTCTGCTGCGATGGTCCGTAGCCACCCAACACCGGTCGTTGCTATAGCTGCTTTTCACTAATAATCCCCGTAGGCACCTGGCAGGACTCGACAGCCGATTCCGCCGACCCGCCGTCGAATGTAACCCGGTTGAGTCGGACTCTCAGTCAAACTGCGATCGTCGAAGAGAATGGTGTTCGGAAAGAAGTCCCACAGATTGTGTATTACCAGAAAGGAGTTGGCACGGGCCTAGGAGACAAGTACATGGGTGGTAAGCAATTGGCCTCTCTTTCCGCCCATTTCCTCGACCCATCTACTTAGTACCTAGTATGATATTCCGCCGCTAACGAGGTGGATTCCTAGGGGTCACCGGCCTAGGCGTGAGCGCCAACGTCCGAGCGGCGTACGGCTTCCTAACCGACAACTACACCGAAGGCGACGAGATCTTCTTCTTCGGGTTCTCACGGGGCGCATATACAGCGCGCGCGATTGCCGGGCTCGTCTGTCGATGGGGGCTGTTAACCCACCGGGGCATGGACAACTTCACCAACGTGTACGACGACTTCTACGAGAAGCAAATCCCCATCTACACGCCGGAGGAACGACGCCGTCTAGGCTTCCGCGAAGAACTTCCACCCTTCACCGTCAAGATCATCGGAGTGTGGGACACAGTGGGCTTTCAAAAGGCCTGGCTCGGAAAGGACCTGGGCGAGCGCCTGGAACTGCGGAATACCTACCTCCTTCCGAATGTCAAATATGCCTTCCACGCCCTGGCGCTGGATGAAGAGCGCACCGCCTACTCCCCGATTCTCTGGCATGTTCCGCAGCCGAACCCCGGCCAGGAACTTCTCCAAGTATGGTTCTCCGGCGTGCACACCGATGTAGGCGGCGGAGGCAAGGACCCTCACCTGGCGAACATCTCCCTGGCGTGGATGATCGCCCAGTGTATGAAGGACGGCCAGCTCAGCTTTGACATCGACGAGTACCTCTTTGACGTCCCCCCGCGGATGGTGGAGAGCGATCTCACTCCGTGGGCCACCAGCCAAGGGAAAACCGACACGGCAAGTCTGGTCCGCACATTGGAGGGTGTTCTTGGTGGTACCTCGCATCGGACGCCGCTTGAATACAACCCCAAGGGCGAGGAAGGTCACTTTACTGGGGAGTTCATCCACGAGTCGATCAATGACCGCAAGTTGCGCGCTTGGAGCTGGCCTTGTGCTCCGTTGATGGGCAAGCGGGATAACGGTTCTTGGGCTTTGGCTGATTCGAAGACTATTTGGGAGGTTCGCGCCCTGGAAAGAGAAAGGTATATGAAGGGCAGAATCCGCACCATTCATGTCGAGGAGGTGGACTAAGCTATTTTGTTTTGATGCATGAAGTGTGGCAAAGATCGAAGCAGATGATATGGAGGTATTTTGGCGTCAATTTTGAGGGCGCGGGGTCCCCGTTCCAGGAATTTTGCTATTATATCGATTTGGATGCTGTTTGTACCAATCCTAAGATAAATTGTTATATATGAGTTTTGATGTAAGAATCGGAGTGCACAAATAACAGAAAATGGCACAGAGAGCTTAGAGGCCTTTATAGGAGTCTGCAAAGTGGCAATGTCGAACTTGTATTCTTCGCTCAACACAAATGTATTATAGTTGGGGACTGATATCGAGGACATCTCTGGCACGAGGTATAGCGAAGCCAGTGTCTCAAGGACAGACATATTTGATTGATATGAGATTACTAGTGTTGATAGCCACATCATGAGTAAGAACTTGTTCAACCGAGGAGCAGTCGAAGAAAGTAGTTTGGTCGCACACTCGGAAGAACATCAAGTTGATCGTGCCGTTCATAATTAGCAGGCAGACGAGCCAGCGGCAGGCCATTAATAAGTATTTCGCCAGTCAAGAGGTTGTAGTGCACAAGTAATCCCCGATCACTCTAGACCTGCTTTGTGGTGTAGCTGAAAAGCCAGCTTTCAGATCGCTCAGCCACAGTAGACCAGCCAGATCCTGCATGGTATGTCGTCCCGACTTGCCCGATAGCCGTGTCCAACGCCGCACTTTTGAGATGCAAAATGCTTTCCGCTAGTATGGGAAAGGCAGCGGTAAGACATTACTTTCTAACACCGATACATGATTAGGAGCAGAATATCAGTAGCGCTTATAACTAGATCCTTTCCTGTCATGAATCACCATGCAGCATTATATAAATACCGACGCGTCGATAGAACTGTCCAACAGTCGGTCGAGGAAGCCCTCAGCGTCAAAAATCTCTACACAGATCAAGCTAAGATGCACATAGCGTGCACTTGAAGTGTTGCGATGCTTGTCATCTCTCGCACAGGTTGCTTTTTCCTGGACAAGCTTGACCCAGCTGAGTGCGATACCGCGAAGCTGCCTCAGGTGTTGCAGACAACATCTCTTGTATGCTAAGAGACTGTGTTAGAGACAGTATTCTCAGTGTCAGGCGGATGAGTGTGTTGAGTCCCTGTGCTAACTCCCAGTTACCTTTGATCCTGTCTGCAGTCTCCCTGATCTGTTCTAGCAAATTTCCAGCTAAGTGATCATTGTTAAATATACGGTGCCCTGCCCTCAGAGCATATTTACGAGTAGAAGGGCTAGCTTGATAAAATTATTTGAAGGATGAAGATATTTGTTTATGTCTTTCTATAGTTAATCGATGGGACAGTCAGCTGCAAGAGTATGTTTTACTCTTATATATGAAAGCCTAGGGGCATTGTGCGGAGAGTCTTATATTTATTAAGGGATATGTTAGATGGACAGGTATCTTGTGCAGTAATAATTAAATTGGGATATAAAATATTATCTGTTCCTACTGACCGAAAGGCTGTGCTTCTTGCAGGAACTTTATATAAGCATATATTAATGATTTTCAATATATTGGTCACTGGGGCGATGAAACATCCTTGCTTATTATTATAGTACTCAGATTTAATCTATTGTTAGCACAGACGTCTTTCAAAATTATATCAGAGATATGGTGTCCACGTTTATGTGTTCAGTCATAAAGCTTAGTCTCGGATAGAAGACCTGCCCTTCATACCCCCTCAACTTTTTCAAAGAAAAGTATCAGGCCTTTATAGGTTTGTAGCTGAAATTCATATATAGGTTTCTTATGGGCAAGGTAGTCGAGATGCAGTACATTAATCAAGAAAAATATTATTAGTATCACGCTAATATCTGAAAGGTCAAGGTACAACAAGTACAAAGACAGTGGACTTTGCTTCAAGTAGATCCTTAGGCAGGGGCCACTCATGAACTTGGATAAACATACTTCTAGCTTGTTGCTTGAAGGCTTCCTTCGGGCATTTTAGGTCGTGTTGACGTTGTCGGATATTGCAGTACTTGTTAACAACAACTTCATAGTATTTACAAATTGTGTTATCTGCAAGATCCATGAGCTGTTGATATCTTTAACTCTTTTGCTGCAGCTCATATTCCTTGGAACGCCTTTGCGCCCTGTCAGTTTTCTCAATGGACGCGAGCAGGCGCTGATGGGCCTTGGACTGATCAAAATATATCGAACAGAGAAGCTATTAGGTCTTCCAAGAGCCTGAAAAATACCACACCCATATTATGTGACTCGAAGTCCACGTTGATGCTAATAGTCTTCCGCACGAGCTAGTTGTACTATCTGCAACCTGGAAGAAAGCAGGAGGGAGCAAAATATGTTAATCAGGATGTTTGGGTCGTAATCGCCAAGGAGATTATGAATATATGTAGTAGAGTGGTCACATGCTATCCACAGCTCAAGCATAGTAAGTAGTATAATTAAGAGAGCTTCAGGGTAATCAGAGCATGCTGGAAAGGTAGTATTATAGTTTAATCGGTAATTAAGCAGCCCAGTTAAGTGTATATGTTCTCTATACCTATATATCCTTACAAATTTGACATAACCTAATCTTCTAGTGCGGCAATATTGTATGTTTGATAATCTGAATCATGAAAGCTCAGATGACCCGGTAGTTTCTCGACTGCAAATATGATAAGTGCTGAAGGTGGGTGTGATCTCCCCGGGGTTCACGGTCCAATCGTTTCCGATTCTGTATCTTTTTCCAGGTTAGCATCGAGACCGGGTAGAGAGCAGTAGATATCAAAATAAAGCCCAAACTAGTTAGCTTTGAAAAATCGGTGTAGTGATTCTCGTGCGCCATGATTTTGCGCCAGCGGTACTGAATAGTATCCTTTGCTTTTTCTAAGGCACGCTGAACGGGAGTATACCAACAGGCCTTATTCGAGAAGCTGAGATTGAGCAAGCGACGCACGATTTTGGTACTCATGATATGGGGGCACTTGCTAGGCAGCAGGTCGTGCGAGGACCTGAGCACGGAACCCAGAAAGTAGACTATGAATTGCTTATCGGAATCATCCGTTTCCTGATATATGCCTAACCTGCGGAAAGCGAGCTGGAGCACGATCCGAATCATGAGCCAAAGCGAAGACCTGCGCCAGGGACGGCGAGTATTGAGCCACATAACCTCCTCGCGCGTGTTCTTCATCACTTGGGTAGCCTGCATGTTTGTATACATTGGCCGTAGGAAAGCCATGAACAGTTCAGTGATAATCTTGGGATGGGTAGTGTCCCTATCCTCGTCATGGAGCTCATCTTCATCAAGTTCACCAAATGACCCCAAAGTTTGCCTGAAGCGTGAGGTCATCTCCAAAGCAATTGTAAGAGTCCCTGCTTGGCTTGTGGGGGCGCTCTGCTTGAATCCACGAAGGGCTTTCATGACGTTTTCGAGAAGGAAGATGTCGAGTTCAGGCTGGTAGTCTTCAGCTTGAGGAAGCCTTGGGGGTAGGAAACATGGTGGAACAGATAAAGACATTGTGCCGACGTCATGTTCTGATTTTTCCAATGAAGAAGACATCGTCATCGCCTTTTGACTATCTCTGAAGGACATCTGGATCAAATCATCATGGGAAGTAAGCAGGGTGAAAGAGATAATCCGAGAGAGATGGGGATTAACGCGTGAGACTGATGGCTGTAAAAGACAGCAAGGTCTTATGTGATGGAGGGCTTGTGGTATCTGTTAAGTTGTCACTTCCAGCTATTTTAGCCATCAAGAAGTTCATATATGACTGAATCCCGGGTATCTCAGAACTAAAACAGGCCGTGTGAAGCATGACAGGAAGTCTGCTTGGAAGAAATCCATTCACCATACCCAAGGGCGGATGAACATGCGGCTGGATTTAAGGTGTCATACCAAATGAAAAGAGTGGTTGGAGGATGGAAGAAACTTAGACCATTCAGTACGTGAAGGAGGAGCCTTCGAGGTTGCCTCAAATATTAGAATAATGTTTACCTCGGACTCCGGACTGGTCGACCCTCATGTCAAATCTAAGTGTACGCCTGAGGGATGCGTCACGTTCTGCAAATTGATTAGCAGCACCCCGTATACAAATTAGAGGCCGATCTCAATCCAACTCTTCAAGTTTCCCTCAATTCTATGCGCAAGCGATAAAATCCTGTGCGACCGCGCAAGAAGACCGGTAGCGGACCGGTTGGTCGAGCGATCCGATCTTGAAAGGTGGTCAGGTTCTTGCGAATGCACGGCAATGTGGATAAGGGGATGGAAAAGTTAAGTCTTTGATCTGAATGCATTTTCATTCGTAGCTGCAATGCCTCGTCATTCGTCATATTATGCGGATCAGGCTAGATACTAAGTAATGAATCTACCATCCTCATCATTTCCTCATGTTTTTCATTGCTAAACCAAGTAAAGTAGTCATCAATCCTCAAGCGAAAAAGCAATCAAGTTGCGAGACATTACATTCGCCCCCTTGTTTTTTATCAACATCCCCATAGGAATTACATTATTCATTAGCAGCAGTAGGCTTGAATCACAAGGCTCACGAGAAGATATTCATCCTCGCAGAAGTCTGGCACGACGTGACAATGGCGCAATCTTGCGGATGATAGGATCATGTGGCGAGTTCTCGGCCACCGACATGTAAAGCGCTTCCAGTCGTTGAATAAGGATGTCCATAATCTTAGGAGCAACCTCACGAATGTCAGGGTCCTGAAAAGACTGTTAGTGTTGGTCCAGGATCTCCATGAATGTGGAGAAAAATACCATTGGGTTCACCGTCTGCAAAACTACTTCCAGCCAGGTCAAACGCTCCATGGGGTTGGTCCGCAAGGACGAAGTCACAGCAACACCCACAGACAGGGCCACGATGGGGGAGAGACTGGTCAGGTAGGACGGGTTCATGCGGACGAAGAGATTATCGAACAGGTCTGCCTGCTGAGACGATTGCAGCCACTACTATAGTTAGCACGCTGAATCAACAATGTTATACCAAAGACTGACCTTGACCGATCCCTCTTCGAAGAGACCTTGGCTCATCAAATGCGCAATCTCTTGCAACTCAATCTGTTCAGGAGTTGCCGCATCAACAGGGGCATTGCGAGCCGGAGCGGTCGGCTGCTGTGGCTGTTGCTGTTGTGCATGCTGATGCTCAACGGCATTATCTTTGGAGGCCAGGGCACGGCTGAGCTTCGCAACCTCACTCTGCAAACCGCTTTGGGCTGCAGCCAGCGAGGCGACGGTGTCGGACAGTCCACGAACAAGCGAAGTGAGCTGGTCGATCTTGGCGGCATCGCTTTGACGCTGAGCTTCCACTTGCTTCAACTGGGCCTGCATCTGCTTCTCCATACCGCCAATAACCTTGTCGGCAGTCTGCACAGCAACATTTTTAATTGCCGGAGTGATCGTGTTCTGCATGGCCTTCGAGATCTCACTTTCCACACGAGAAGCGAGCTTCTGACCCACCGCATCCGACAAGACTTTCATCAAATCGGGCTGCTGCAAGGCACGAGTGACTGCCTCGGGAAGAGCTTGTCGCACCTCACGAGGGACCACGGACCCCAGCTGCTGCGGTACCACGGTGTTAAGCTGCTTACCGACGGCGGTGGCAGTAAGATCAGTCAAAGCAGGCACAACTTCCGTCTTGATGCTGTTCGAAACAATGCGAGCAAGGTTCTTCTCCACGTTGTCAGAGAGAGTACTGGAAACGAGGCGCAAGACCTGGTCCTGCTTCGCTGCCGAGGCTGCATCCCAGTTGCGGCGCTCTTCGTCGAAGCGGGTGTAAAGGCCTTCCAATTCACGGCCAAGGCTCTTAGTGAATTGGGAAGAAACGCCGTTTTGAATCACCTCCAGATGCTTGTTCAAGATAGCAGCTGAGTCTTCATGGCCGATACTGGGAGCAGTAGGTGCAACAAGAGGCACTGGCTGAGAAGCGCTTGAGGTGATAGCAGCCTCCTCAATAGCCGGCTCGTTGTCCGGAGAACCTTGGATGGGAGCAGGAACCTCAGCTGATGAAATTTCATTTGAAGCCATGGGTTCCTTGCCCTTGACGGACGGCTCACTCGTGCCTGGAAGAGTGCCCTTCTTCTTTTTCTTCTTCTCCATCTTCTCGACACCGCTAAGGGCAGAAAGAGCGTCGATTGACTCATCCTTCTTCTTGGCAGGCGCCTTGGTGGGAGACTGCACGCGAGAGGTACTAGGACCAGCCCCGACAGCAGCTTCAGTATTGAGCTCAGGCGTCTTCTTAATAATCTCCTTAGTTGCAGGCTTCGTAGGAGTCGGCGCCGCATCACCATTAACCGAGGGCTCATCCGCCACGTAGGTGGGGAAGGTCTGCAGCTCAGCGATGTCAATAAAACCTTCCTCCAGAGCATTGATCGGACGGACAATTTTATTGTCGGTGGTCCACCCCAGATCTTCCTTCTTGATGTTCAGGCACGTCACTCCACGAGAGTGCATGACATACAGCTCGAACAAACCACTCTCATCTCCTGCCGACTTGGTGATCGGGAGGAGATCCAGGCTCCGCAGCTGACCCTTGGAAGCGAAAGAGATCTCACGAATGCCGCTCATGCAAGCAGTAGACTCGGGTTTGGGAAGAGTGCTGTCCTTCTCACCAGAGCGCTTGATGAAGGAGGCCTGCGACATCGCCTGCAGGTTGTACCGAGGGGCAGAAAGGTGAACGAAGTAAATGGAGTTGCGGGTTGGGTGACCGACAACGATGATGCCCGAAGCAGGGTGATAGGCGACGCTGCAGATGGCGTCCGACTCGTTCTCGTGAGGGAACTTGAGCTCCTGCACAGCCTTACCTAGCCCAATATCCCAGAGCTGTAGGGTGTGGTTCTGCTTCAAGCCCACCAGAACGTAACGAAGTGCCATGGATTTGACATAAGGACGCAGCTTGTCGATGAAGAGGACTGAGGTTGGCCACGACTTTTCTGCGGGGGAACCAGTGACAAAGGTGTTCAAGGGAACGCGAACCTCGGCCGGGTTGGGCCCAGAGCCAAAGAACCCTGGGTTGTTGACTACCTCGCGAATATCCCAAAAACGTAAGCGACCCGTCTTGTCGAGGGAGGCGATGACTGTGTCATCGTCGCTGAACATGAAATCTTTGCCAGCCTTGCCGGTAGAGATCTTCAGAGCACGTTCCTTGAAGAATTTTTCCGTGTTGACGACGCGCTGAGGTCCAGACACACCGTAAGTAGCATTCATAGCAGCTTGAGGAGACACCACGTAGATATTCTTGCCACGACCAATGGCGAAGAATCCAGGGTGACGAGAGCTTCGTTTGGCCCGCGTTTTCAGCTGGCCACCCGAAGTGTTCTCGTCTGAAGCAGGGAAAGGCGGGAAGATAAGGCTTTCGCTCTCGAGGGCATCAAGCTCAAAGAGGTCCTTGTCTGCGCGTGAAATCAACGCCCAGTACACAGTCCCACTGACGCCGATGCCCAAGATGGCCTGCTCCTCGGTGGTACGGCCGGTGGCGGCCTGTGAGGTGCAGACGGCGACGTTAAAGACGCGGTCGCGGGTAGAACGGAAGATTTGCTTATCGCTTCCATCATCCTGACGAATGATACGCATACCGCCGTTCTTCGCCAGAGCGTACACAATGTAGTCCGATGTTGCGGACGTCAAAGAGCGATCCAATTGGTCGAAATCCTTCTTAAGCCGAGCAATGTCCATAATACCGTCATCACGGAGGGTTGCAAGCTTCCCTGAGTGAGCTTTGACGATGATGGAGATGAACGGTTTGAGAGGGAAATTGTGCACAGACACAATGCGTTCTTCTTCTTTTTCAGCACTGTCTTCAGCGCTCTCCCAGCTGTCTGCCAAAGCATCTCCGCTGCTATTGTTGGAAGTCTCCTTCACAGCAGCGGGAGTGGCAGTTCCTTCAGCGGAATTCTTGTCCGTGTTGTCCTCAGCCTTGGCTTCTACGGCCGTCTCCTGGAGGTGACCGGCGATGGAAGAAATCACAGCTTGAGTACTGTCCTCCTCAGTAGCAACGGCCTGGGAAATCTTTTCTTCGGTCGACTTGGTGGCAGCGTTGTCGATCTCGCGACCAATCTCGTCGACAAGACGTTCGACAACCGAATTGACGGCTTCTCTCTGCTCATCGGCCAAAATGGGCGATTTGGGGCCTTCAGTCTGCGGGGTCTCAACGGCCTCGGAAGCTGAAGACGGTTCGACCTTGGTGGCGATGGTGATCTTCTTGCTCTTCATGATCTCAATAGCGGGACTCTCGCTCCGAGACTTGGGTTGAGGAGTGATCTTTCGAGGAGATGCGGCAGCCAGCTGCTCAAACGGGTTGACATAAGTGAACATCGAGTCCTTGCCCGCAGAAGGTCTGTCAAGCTTGGAAGGTCCAGCCTCGTCGGGGGACACCAGAGACTCCTCCGGCTCCTGAATGGGAGACTTGAGAATATTACTCAGTTCTGCCTCGGGGACAGGAGACTTCTGGGATGAGACCATAGAAGGAGACTGAGAAACAGCCTTCACGGTTCCATCCGAGACGTCCTGGCTAGGTTTAGAACGGTTCAAAAGACGCAGTAACATCTCCTGGGTGTTATCAGCGGTCGGAGCAGCAGACGTGGAGCTCTCGCCAGCACCAGCTGGACCGGAGATCGAACCCGAAGGTCTAACCGCAGCGGCCGCAGCACCTTGACCTTGGCCACCAAAGAGCGACGCAACCAGATCCGAGGCGGAGATGTTTCTCGCGTGAACCTTCGACTGCTCCTCGAGGCCAGGTGCACGAGGCTGTAGGTAACTGGGCTGTTCAGCGCCAGGAACCAGAGTCTGTTGCTGCTGGGGAGCAGGAGTGGTAGGCTGGTTAAACTTGAGCAGGTTCAACAAATTGACCGCACGGTCGGGATTATGAGGCAACGGCTGGTGATGCTGTTGCTGTTGTTGCTGCTGGGACGGCGGAGGTTGATGGAAGTACATATCACCACGGGGGGTCGGAACATTGGGACTAAGAATATCCGAGCCGTGGTGAGGAGGAGTATTCACGGAAGGCGACGGGCTGTGAATGTTCGATGAAACCGACGGGTGGCGGTAACCATGAAGCTGCTGCTGCTGCTGCTGTTGCTGCAGCTGCGGGTGAGGATAGCTCTGGCCATCGTAAGGCGGCTGATGCTGCTGCGGATGCTGCTGACGGTAACCCTGCTGGTACTGCATAGGATACGGCGGCATGGAGGCATCATGAGCAGGGGTGCCCGAAGGCGAAGGGCGGGGCCTGATGCTGGCCAAGAGGGCCTGAAGATCATTGGGGGTGGACATTTCTGTCACTCGCCGATAGATGGGGCGACCTCCAACGAAAATTCAAGCTCCGAGGTAGATCAGGAGTAGCTCTCTTTCGAGAGCCAGCAAAGCAAGAGAGAGAGAGCGGGAGTGAAGGTAACGACCCAGACTCGGCGCAATCAATTAAAGAATGCAAGCTAAACAGGAGCAGAAAGAAGAAGAAGGAGAAGGAGAAGGAGAAAGATCAGAAGGCAAAGGACGGACTATTGTACACGGGATGAGAATGAAGGGAGGAGGGAAGAAAAAGTGAAGGGAAAGAGAAGAGGAAGAAGGAGAGAGGAAAAAGCTCGGAGGAAGCGAGAAATTGGAGGTAAGCGGGAAGAGGTGGAAGAAAGACAGCTGGTGGTGGGTGGTAATTGTGGCGGTGGGTGTGAAAAAGTAGTACTCGTAGGCGCAGAAAAGAGGCAGAGAGTGAAGTGTGGCTCATGCTAATAACCGTAATATTACACAATGACGGTATTGGTATCTCGGGATGATGAGCCAACCTGACTCTATTCGAACTGATCGAACCCTCTTCCAATTTCCAATTCGCAACATCAAGCCAGACCATATAGCGAGATTACTGAACATGGATGCGCAATCTCAATGAGATGACTCTTCTCGATCATCTTTAACCTCTCTCCGTCGCCTTACTTCCATCTCTACGTGACATCTCTCCACGAAACTATTCATCCAGCCGTTCCTGTTCGCCACTGATTGCATCGTTCACCGTCTGAACATACATCCTCAGCAAACTCACCATGTTCTGCCTCCGGAGGTACATTTCCCCCCTTCCTCTGCACCATCGATATCCAACTCATAATTCATAATTTACATAATCCACTTCACCTCACCTTCTACTTATCAACACGCGATCAACCATACTAACGCAAGTATCCATAGCTGGCTCCCCCTCTTCTTCATTCCCACCAACGCCTCCCCCCTCTTCATCATCTCCTTCGTCACCCTCACCTACATCCTCCACCGACCGTGCATCTACTGCTCAGCCCTACTCCTCATCCTATTTATCTCCTCCTGCCACTGGTCCGACCGATGTTTCTTCGACCTGCGCGGCGACTGGTTCAGTCCGCGCTACACCACCCCGGCCGCGGCCGCACCGACCGCATGCCCGGCCAGCCCCGCCACCGAGACCCTCGCCGAATATCTCCTGGAGACGATGACCTCCACCGCCAAAGCGCTCTCCGGAGCCGTCGTCGATGAGGCGCAGCGCCGGCTCGCCTTCAACCAATCGGTCGAGACCGGTGTTCCTCAAGAATGGACGGGGATTGGGATGGAGTGGGTGCGGAGTCTCCTGGGACGGAGGGAATGGACGCTGCCGTGTGTGGATGTCAAGGTGAGGCTCTAGGGAGGCTCTAGGGAGGCTCTTTTCTTTTCCTCGACTTTCTTTTTGCAGTAAGCGGGACACATATACCGGGTGGATGGTCTGGCGATTTTCCTTTGTCAATACATATCCGAGCCGTGAGCACATCTGCGTGCTTATGCTCTTGGGGCGATAAAGAGGAGGCTGTTTGTTGTTGGGACTTAGATTGGACCGGGAAGCGTGGAACATCGTAGACATCTGATGTGCGTATGGACATACGTTTTCGTGTACTTTGCGTCGTTTCGGAATGGGCTACAGGCTCGGGAGTCGGCGAGACACTATTGTCTGAGGTATTGGAGGTGGCTTCCGATTCAACTTGTACATAGCATTTATCGAAGCTTATTATTATCTTTTGTTGAGAGAAGACTCAATCCTGATAGGTCATCGAGATTCGGGGATTGCTGATTCGCAATCACTTATGTAGGTAAGCGGAATGATCACATACGCATAGGTGACAGGGACGCCTTGTGAGATGGGAAGTTTGGTGTATGTGCATCGTTTCCAGAATCGGCACCCTTGTCATACGAAGAGTAACCTGGGACACGGGCGCCCCCTGGGAAACACGGTCAGAAACTGAAGTCCTCAGAGATGCTGATGACATAGACGTCAGCCAATGAACAGGCGCTGTCTAATAATAGGACCATGCGACTGGTCATTCCTGTAGATATATTATCGAACATCAAATCGACTAATTACAATTCAAATAGGTATCTAACGCAAGGTGGAAGAAACAAAAACAGGAAGGCAGTAAATATATCGACGGTGATCCTTCGGGCTCACTCGCCGCGGCAAGTCATCGTCACGACATAAGCCACACCGAGGCACATTAGCAGAACATCGTCAAACATAAGGTGAGATAGGTATCACACAAAACATGGTAGGCATATGAACCTCCAACGCGGGATGCAGCAGCAGATGCGACGCGAGGATCGAAAACAAAATCCAAATGGGTATTGAGGCACTATATGTGCAAGGATCGTAGAGAAGACGCATGGAAACAAGCTGAGGGGAATAATCGCGAAGACATGGGGCGATGGTCATGTCCTGAAAAGTTTTCGGTTCATTTAATGATAGCCTCCGGGGGTTGACATTGGCATAGGCCAGTCATCCTCCGTAATGCTGCTCCAGAAGAACCAGACGGTGACTACTGCCAGTAACGTGAACAGAGTCTCGAAGAGCGCACCATTGATTTTCCCGCTGGATGCTTCGCACAGGTGAACGCTAATCACGTATTCGAAGATCTGGCCAATGGCGAATAAGAGTGCAGCGGCTGTCAGGTAGACTGCAGCCAAGTTAGAACCATCAACTATACCAACAAGAGAAGAGGAGCATACTCAATGGCCGGAACTCGCCAAGAATTCGCACCACCAGGATAACCTCGAATACATAGAACAAGACGAGACAGACGAGCGGGAAGAGCTGGTACAGCACATAAAGGGCGATGTTGCGGTAGTGGTTTGCTGAGGTAGTTGCGAATTCGCCCGTCCAGTCAAAAGCCGTATCCAAGGCAATGTATCCCGTGCCGATGAAGAGGACAAGGCCGGAGGCGATGATCAAGCCAATGGAAGCGGGGGTGCCATCGTCAAGAAATTGGAAGCCCACCAAAGCATTCAATAGAAGGATCCAGCATGTCGCAGCGATGGCAGCGATATGAACCGCTGAGAAACCCTAGACAAAGCATAGTGAGACACCGAGCGTCGCGCACGAGTCGGGCAAACTAACCTTTCGGACCGCGCCGTTTAGAGGGAATCCACCCACTGAAAATATCTCGCAGATCTCGATGATGATGAAGCCGAACAAGAAGATTTGCATTTCTCTGCTCCCATTAGCTCCCACCCAGCCCCGATAGCTCAATCACTTGTTGCATACCTTCTTCCGACGGCAGCTCGTTTGCGGTCTGACCTCAATAGCAGGAAGAGTGCGGTCAGGATGGAAATAAATGCCAGCAGAATTGAGCCTATTGTCAATTAGTCCATGATTCACCTTCCCTTTCAATTATCATAGACATACCCAGATTGCTAAGATATCGATCTCCGCTGAGCTCGATGCCCTTGAGCACGCATCCGCCATAAGCTTTGTTTGGGGGTTGATTGTTTGAGACAAAGAGCTGGAGACGGCAATGGTTAGCGAGATTCCGAGCTCGAAGTGAGACTTTCAGGAGAAGGAATACATACGTTGCAGACTGGAAGGGTGGAATCCCGACAAAAGTCCTACACGTGCAGATCGACCACGGTCAGTTCAAGCTCCAATTGCGGCTCAATTGCGAACCCACGTTGAAATTGCCAAATTGTGTCGAGCCCATGATTAGAATGGGCTTAGCAGAATGCGACAGAAGTCAAGTCGGTAAGCGCGGCGAGTATGCGGCGGTGGTGTCGACAGAAATAATGATAATGGTGGTAGTAATGGTGACTGAATAACTTGGCTTTGCCTAGACCCACGCCAGGTCACGGTAGCTCCGCCGCAGATCACAGTTCAGGAAATGGGAAGAGTCAATATTAGGATTATGAGAGAGCTGTCGATCGATGGATCGTCCCGCTTGATGATATTGCAAACCAAAAAACACAAGATGCGGCCCAAAGGCAGAGAGTTGGAGAGAGGCGAGTCAAATTAGGTAGTCGCCGGATCAGACACGGGAGGGCGGACACGTTGGGTTGGCAATTAGTCGTGCAGCTCGGACGGAGACCGGGTCGAAGAGAGAGGCGGCAGAGATGGAGCGAAAGACGTGAAGAATCAGAAACAATTTGGGGGCGACGAATAAAAGAGCGATGGAGAGTATCAGACTGTCCGTGTATATGTCAAACACCGGTGCTGGTTAAGACGTGGATTAAGACGTGGGGGGCGGAAGTATGGAAGAGTGACGGATCAGAATCGAAGGACTGGAAGGTGTTTTTGGGGGGGGAGGTAAGGTTGGAGAGGCTGGCGATGCTGACGAGGGAGAGAGAAGGAGATTGTTGCCAGTATTCGGAGGGAGAATAGGGCGGCTAAGGAGCAAGAGGAGGGGGAGGGGATAAACAGGGAGAGAGAAGGAGAAAGACAAGACAAGACAAGAAAGAAGGTAAGGCCGCAAGAAGAGGAGGAGGAGGAGGAGGAGGAGGAGGAGCAGGTGGTGGTGTTTAGTTAGTTAGTGATAGTGATCAATCAATCACTTCAGATCAGTTAGTCAATCAGTCAATAATAATGAATGAACCAGGGAAAAGAACATGGAAGACGAGAGACTAGACTAGACTTGACTACTACGACGGATTTCTGGGTTTAGCCTGGAGCTAAAGCGTGATAATGGTCAATGATAGGCAGTCCAGTAGTCGGCCGTTTGGGGGGAGGCAAGTAAATGGGCTAAAATGAGGGTCAGCCAACAAGAAGACAGAAAACCCTGCAGCAGATTCAGGAACCAGGACCGAGGAGACTCATTTTTTGTTGTGGTCTCCCTCACCTGGTGCTGCTGTGGTGCTGCTGTCTGTTCCCCACGGAAATTGCTTTCTGCCGCTGAAGGTCCAGACACCAGGTGAGATCAGATCCTGTCCGTTCTTCGCCTCTCTCTTTCTAAGTAGTTCCCATGTGGTTTGACATCAATGAAGAATGATCAGGTGATCTTTTACTTGGTCTATATCAAAAGTGGGAAGAAAGCAAAAGAGAGTGTCGCCCTGAGCTGACCGTGGATGACGAAAGGCGATATCCACGGCTCCCCAATCCCACTTCTATTTTGGTCTTCAGCTTTCCCCTCATGAAGAATGATGACGCCGGCCAGATTCCTGGCAGGGCCCGAGGTTAGCGTTGACAGGCAGCAATTCGCTAGAAGTAGTGGCACGTCTCAATGATTTCACCGCCATCCGCCCCAGCCACAATCTTCTCGGTAATAGTCAGGAAGTCAGTAATAATAATGGGGAGAGACGATCATGACATGACGATCGGCGAAACTATCCGAGCTCCAACTTGCTCATTGCTTCTTTTTTGTCTTGTCTTAGATGATCGAAACCCAACCATGCATCTCTCGCTAATCGCATACATTTGTTCATGCATCCTCAGAGCCGGACAACCCACAGCGACGGTACGAACTCGTGGTCGTTCGGGGCTGTCTCCCATAGGCCGACCGTAAACTGCTCGCTTTCCCCGGGCTCCTGCGCTCCCTTGCATTGACACCACTAGACGTTGCCAGACCTTGCTTGATAATAAACGGTAGCGAAGTTGGAATTGATGACCTGTCCAGAGTACAGACAGATGGAAAACCCCGTTTCCAAGGCGATTAGTATATGAAGTACAAGGCAGCACTGCGCAACAACCCATTGGGGCGCTGTTTAGTAGTAGCTTAATCGTAAGAGTACTAATCCAGGTTTTTATATCTCTGTTGTCTACAGCACAACTCCTCGGACAATAACCACGACAGCTAACAAACATCCTCAATCTCCAATTCCTTTCCGTCATGCTCTCCCAGGTCCAGCTTGAGAGTGCGTCCAAACAGCTCGAGCAACATCTCAAAGCACACCTTAGTAATAGCAGGGTCATACCGTCCCTTACTGAGCTCGTCACGGATGAAGGCATCTGTCCACATCAGCCAACAACACCATGAAGAGAGGGGGGAAGGGAAAACTCACGCTGCGCCCAGGCCACCTCATAAAAGCTAAACAACACGCCCTTCTCATGAAGCGTCTTGCGAATCAAATCCCGTCCCTCCGGAGGAACATGATTATCATTCTTGCCGAAAATCTGCATTCAATGTCAGTCGCCACTCTCGTGATCCTCCTCTCCATCCCCTTCCTAGAATTTCAAGCACCCACCATGGCCAACTCCCCTTTAATATCTCCCGCCCGCGCCAAACTGTCATCATTCTTTCCCTTCCCAAGCGTATGGCTATGGATATCCGTCGCAAAGTAGCACACCGCCGCCTTCACCCGGCTATCCAACGCACACCGATACGCCAGGTGTCCGCCTAGACACATGCCCGTGGCGCCCACGCGTCCATTGCAAGTATTCAGGGACAGGAGGTAGTCCACGCAGAGGGAGGCGTCCTCATCGTAGGCCGCGATTTTCTATCGAAGTCGCAGATTAGCATGCATATATCTTCCACCCGTCATTGTGACTTCGTGGTAGTGCCAAGATTAAAGTCTTTTACCTTGCTGATCTTCCACTCATTCCCCTTATCAGTATCCTCTGCGTTGTACTCAAGGGCTTCCGGGCCGGTGAATTCGTGGTAGCTGGAAGGGGCGGCGCAAATGTAGCCCTGGCCGGCGATCTGGCGGGCGAAGCGCGCGACTGGCCCGGTGACTGGTTTGGAAGTATCATGTCAGTCCGGTCAACTGAGCTCAGGCTTGGTAGCCCAGTGGCTCAACGCCAGGACCCAATGCTCCGAGTAGCTTTGTGTCTGTTACGGGTGGAATCTATACCTTGGTAGATCTCACTGAATACTACCACACCCGGGAATCGCGCTTTGGGGTAGCCGGGAATGGTGGGGTGGTAGACATAGATGCCTGACAGGATATATGTTAGCATCAGTAACCCAGATATCGAGAATTCAATTTGCCTGTAGGCTTATTTTAATGAGGCAGGGCCGGATATAAACCTGGCTGCGTGAACTCTATGACATAACATACGCATGGTTCCATTGCCATCTGCCGTGGTAGGCACATCGTGGTAAGATTCTTGGATCAACATGGTGGGTGTTCGTTACAATGCTGGTGAGCGTTCGAGATGGAGAGAATCGCAATTGACTTGTGGTTCAATTCGAATTCGAGCAAGACCCCTGCAGCTGGATAAATAATTCGGCGGGGTTGCAGCTCCGGACTGATTGCCGACCGATAAGCCTGGAGGGGGTAGTCATGTGATTGACCGGGGTACAGACAGTACTCATCAGGTCACTCAGTTCGCTACGGGTACTCATAGGCGTTGGGACCATGCCGTATCAGGTAAAATTGGATTCAAAATGCACTAAAACGTACAATGGTATAGTGAAATGAAGGCAGGCAAATAGCCCAGAGCAGGCCATAAGCCACATAGATGATCGTGAAATGCCAAAAGCGGAAGCGGCCAAGAAGAGAATCTAATAATGTACATGAATTGTATGATTTTCACGGAAGAAGAGATAAAGCATGCCGGAATGATAGAGCCTATGCTGGTGAGTCTCCACAGATATGATTTGTCACACTCAATAGCAGTTGTTGACTGTGAGCGACTCATCCACAAGAAGGCAGAGAGATAATGATTACAAGAGTGTATTGATAGAGCTCATAAGAGCCAAGTCGAATTGGTGAAAGCTTGCCATCGGCACAGGTGGCTATTCTGAAAAATAGATTAATGTGCCGAGGAAATTCGCCAGCGCATGAAGTCGTTTATAAGACGTACTAATAGCGAGTCAGTTGAAGTACGATAGAGAGAATTTGAACCGCAAACTCACAGGAATGAACAGGTAGGGAACCTGTCTCTCATATTCCCTCCACGCCTCGCCATACTTGTTCCGACAACGTTGGATATCACGTAGTGCGCGGTGACTGATCATGCATGCAAAGAAGAGAGGGTAGAACCATGGAAAGGGGCTGTTGAAGCCAGTGATCAAGCCCCAGTTCAATGCAAAGTAAAGGTCGCATGTGTAGTGGATCTTGCGCGCTTTTCCGTCTGGTATAGGTCAGCAACTGTTGCAGTTGAGTTCGGGTCTGGGCGAAAGACTTACACCAACCGTCCACAAGGATCTTCGAACCATCCTCAGCTGTGATGGTCTTGGGGTTCTTCAATGTCTGCCAAGGGAGCTGAGGGAAGGTTTTGCGAAACACCAGAGTACCACGCTCTTGCTGGCGATAGCGGTTCTTCTGGCTGTTGGTCGTGTCCCAAACCCAATACACGAAGAGGTACGCGACATAAAGGAACACCAGGAAAGGCCGATTCCAGCGATAGGTCGCGGGATCGTGATTGGCAAGGTAGATAGTGCAGTGGCAGTAGCTCAAAGGCACACCGGCAAGGTTCCAGAAGATCAGCATGAAACCCCATTTCTCATAGTACATATCCCTGATGTCTTGTTAGCTCGAAATGTTGAAAAGCAACCTGAAATAAACACTCACCATGTAGAGACAATGCACTCCTCGCCCTTGGAGCAGGCGTTGGCGTAGAGGTAATGGGCCATAAGAAGGAACCCCACCTCTCCAGATACATAGCCGTAGATTTCATATTGTCTTGCAGCTGCACCCATAGTGACAAATAGAAGAATGTACCATGGTAGGCGAACCTCGAAGAACATCTTGAAGTCCAAAATACCAAACATTCTAGGGTTGAGTTCGGCGCCCATGAAGAAGTCGTAAATAGGATAGCCGGTCATACGGTGCTGTGCGCCTCGGGCCAATGCTGAGAAGTATGCGACGAAAGAGACAATGAAGCCGGAAAGAATGGCCACGTTCATGAGAGGTCCAAACTCGTCGATGATGGTGTATAGCTTGAAGATTCCAGTGAAGTGAAGTCCCAGAGCCATGGCGATCGTCGTGTAAAAAGACCAGACGGCCGAGCAGTAGTAGGGGAGCTGCTTTCCATCAAGGTGTGGCAGAGGTCGTCCCATGACGGTGATACCTGGGAGAAGCACGTAGCAAGCTCCCTCGAAGATGAAGAAAACCCAATATATCGTCCATGCCTTCAAGGACGGGAAAGCACCCTCGTACAGCAGGTTGACCAGATGCGCGAGGAATTCAGAGAAGCTCTGTCCTTGCTCAGGAAGGGGCGGTTTACCATCGTAATAGGTGGCACCGAGCCACATGTATTCCATCAACATCGGAAATCCAATCATCATGCACAACACGCCCAAAGACCCTCCAAACTCGAAATGTCCGCTGTGGTCGACCTTGGGGTCCTTGCCCTCTTCCCAGCCGTCTATGATGCGTGGCTTCTTGCCATTCGAAGTGGCGGCGTGTCCATTAGTCGCGACTGGCTTTGTCTCCTCATCCGAGAGGTCCTCGATCTTGACCTTGGCGGAAGAACGCTTTCGAGATGCCAACTTGGCTTGTCCCTGAGCATCTGCTGCTGAATCGGAAGTGTCGTCAGATGGTGCGACGCTGCTGCGGGTGACTCGGCGACCGGGGGTCTCGATGAAGCCTGGACGCTCCATTTTCCTAGCCATTGATCCAGTTGTGAGCTCAAAGTGACCGAAGTCTGTTGCGCGCGCAAGTCGCAGAGGAATTGTTGGGGAGAAATAGAGGGATTAGAGGCCATTTCCTCGGAGGTAGTCGGATTCCTTGTTGGGAGATTTTCACCCTTGCGCAAAACAAACCACTTACTTGGGGGTCTTCCCCGTTTGGGAACGAGTGACGGTCATGGTGCGCGAACCATGCAATCAATTGAAGACAAGAAAGTGTTTCCGGTAAAATAATGAATGAGAATTGGAATATAGTACCCCACGGGACTAGTACAAAGAAAAGGTGGAGGGGAAAGAGAAGGAAAAGAGAGAATGATGGGGCGGTTGAACAAGAAGTAGTCTACAACCTACGGTACTAAAGTTGAGGGAACGCTAAGAGAGTGAAGGAGTGGGTTTTCCTTCCTTACCCGTGCTGGCACTGCCCGAACCACTCCTACTAATTAGTTAGAGTGCCCTTTCGCTACAACTCATACTTCTTCTATGCTATGCCTTCCTGGATGTGTTCAGCAGACGATTCTTGTGAGGTTATGTCCTATGGCCGTATCTGTTCTCTCATCATAGGCGCATGTATCTCCTCACTTCCCATTGGCAATGGTCAGCAAGTTTTTCATTAGCTAGGTGTTGTTGCTTTCAGGGTTTAGTGGGATCTGCAGGGGAAAGGATCTGAACACCTGGCTAAAGACGCACACTAACCAACTTGCGAAGAGCCATTGGTCTGGCATCCATCGGCACGTGTTCCACTAAATCAATTCTCCAAGCACAGCCAGTAGTCACAGGTGTACTTCATACCGGCAGTGAACAAGTCAAATATATATTTATCATTCATCATACATAGCTTTAATACAGATAACCTCTACGTGTGAATCTTGCCTGCCTCGTGACTCCCGGCCCATGTCCCTATGTCCCTTTACTCCCAGATTCTAAGTATTTATCCACAAAGTCTGAACAATCAAGCACCTCTCTGAATGTTCGTCGACATGAGTGTTATCTTCTTATTCTTCTTCTTCTTCCCGCCCGAGGGGGCGGATGCATTGGGCCCTTCAGCAGCTGATTGAGCAATAACCTCTCGTTCTTGTTGGGCCCAAAGCTCTTCCTCCCAACCTCGAAGCCAACCATCGGAAGCAGCTGCCTGAGAGTTGGAAGGTTGTGAAAGAGGTGCCACCGCTGCCGTGCCCCATACTGTACGAGAGCTGGGCGGGCTTGTTGAGGGCAACTCCGATTCGCCCTCAGGAGGAGACATCTCAAGGCCCGAAGGACCGCTCGCCAATGGCTGAAAATCACGATCAGAAAAGGGAGGATCACTGCTGCTACCGATACTAAGTCTCTTCCGGTATGCAGTGGCCCAGCCTTTCTCATTTTCTTCCCGTTCAGCACGAATGCGATCCTTTTCTTCCCGAGCCTCTTTGTCTCGGTTGCGCTTTCTCCGCCTGTCTGTTTCGGCCTTGAACTCCTGAAGAATTTCTGGTTGGACAACATCACGCCAGTCACATTCTAGGAAATTCACTTCGCATCCATATGGCAGATGCCCGAGATATTTGACCCTCTTTCGAAGTTCATCGTCAACAATGTGGCCGGTGGATATTCGTTCAACCCGTGGCAAGATCGTGGCCGGGAATGAAGGATAATCCCCAAAGGCTGCCTTGAGAATGCGAATGTCTAGGGGAGAGAGGTAAAAATGAGGCAAAGCTTGATAGAAGTAAAATGGGTGCTCAGGGCCGCGGCCGGCACCAGGGTCTCTCTTTTTGTTCTTCGAGCCAGTCGAGTTCAGGCCGAGCTGATCTAATGCCTCAGTCGCACGCTCCAGGTTGTTGGATGCACCTTTATGCTCGGAGACCCCGTCGAGGCCTTCGCCTTCAGACGGGAAAGTCTCTGCAGATAAGCCTTCCCATGGCTGTGCGGCATATTGCATTGTGGATATAACAGGTTCAACTTCCGATTTCAGCTTCACGGGCTGTCGCTCGACGTTCTCGGGAGGATTCCCGATGCCATCCAATTTAGATTTCGCCTCATTGATAGCGGCAATTGCTTTTTTGCTCCATGTCGAATCGTCTCCGAACATGAGTTCGTCTTCAATCTCTTGCGCACGCAATTCCGAGATCTCTGCATCATACTGGTCCTTCATATAGTCCTCCCCTCCCTTCATAATCCGTGCATAGTCGGCGACCTCAGCGACATGGTACCACGGGATATCCTCGCCCGGAGCAATGCCTTCGGCTCCGTCTCGAGGCAGCGCCAGGGTACTGCCTGGAACCCTCTTGACTAACCTCAAAACAATATCGCTGCCTTCGAAAGGGAGATCACCCTCTTGCCCGCGAAACCAACGCACAGGGCGAGCTTCGGAGATGTAAATTGAATCCCAGCAGATTGGGCACTTTTTCCAGCGTGGCTTTTTCTCAGGGACCGGATGCTCTTCATCAGTTGAATGCATGTAGCGGATAAGGCATGGAAGGCAGAAGATATGGCCACATCGGGCCATTCGCGGGGCGACCGGGGTGGAGAGACAGATAGGGCAACTGGCAGACTGAGTCTGCGCAGACACCAGGACTTGGAGAACCGAATCCCAGTCCAGATGAACGTCGGCATTAGCCGCTTGGGTGTGATAATTCTGCGTTGGATTCACGATGAAACGGTAATTTGCATGAACGTAGCGGGCTTTATCCATCGCATGATAGCCGGAGCCTGGGCCCCATGAGGTATAACGGCGGGCATTGCGGGGCGGGGGCTGATACTGAGGGCGCGGCGGAAGAGAGAAATTCATTAAATGAGTGATGGACGTCTGCCCTTTGCGACTGGTTGAAGACTTCATGATGGCCTGAAGATAACAACGCTGGTTAGTTCACCCGAACTCAGGCAAACACAACACTGCCATGGAGGACATACCAATTCACTGTAATCGTCATCATCCAAAACCCTTGGGCGTCTCTGTCGCTGAGTCCTTCTTGCCTGATTATTTCTCGGGGAGCTCGGAGCCCTCGAGGTCAGACCGGCTCCAAAACTACCGGAACCTCCGGCGCGTCGTTGCGCGCTGTTCTCAGATGAATGGTATGTCGCGGGGGCTGGCTGATTCGGGGCGTTCACCGCTTTGGATGGGGGGATCTGGCCAGGATTGGACGACATTATTCACTGCAATGAACAGAGGAAGGCCTGAGATTGACTACCTTCCTATGGTTGGGGAAGCAGACGACGGCAGCGCATGAACAGTCTAAGGGCGTGAGGATAGACTCCGAGATAGAATATACAGCCACTCCGTCAAACTGATTGGGATGTATTGAACAGATTAAAGATAAGACCATAAGACTGAAAAAACTATCACGAAAACCCCGGAGGGGTAGCGCAAAGGAGAGGGAGAAGCACCAGGAACCTGAGGCTTCCCCTGTCGAATCAGATAGAGAAAACGCGCATCAAGAGATGGGAAGGGAAGAAGAGAGGGGAGGGGAGGGGCGAGTATGTCATGTCTTGGCGGCCACTGGAGCCTCAGGCACGTGCCGACCGCCAAAAAAACATCATCTCATCTCAGCTCCAGCCAAACCCGCTCACTGCCCCCTCCGCTGCTACTCTCTCTCCTTTGGCTTCTCCCCCCCCCCTCCTTCGGTGTCTTCCATTCACCAATCCCTCACCTCCTCTCTAATCTCAAGGTGTTATATTTAATTCTCTCATCTGTCAACATTGTTATCCTCCAAGGTATGTGCCTTCTATGACTCGTCTCTGGCTCACCGTACCCTCTCCGAGCTCTTGCGCAGCCTCATCTCGTCACCGCGCTGATCCCTTTAAGACGCTCCAGGAATTGCCAACGCCAAGATCCTCCTTACAAACCCCAGGTCTTAGCTTTCAGACTTAGCTCTGAAGGTTTAGAATGGCTGCTTAGACGGGTGCAAACCCCCCATCATCAGTCCGGTCTTTCATTTGTGATCTCGTATGGCTCCCATTGAGGCAACGCGTGGTTAAATCGTCAAGGCGACACCCTCCGACTGCCTGGACAAGATGAACCATCATCTGCCCGCTATGCCCCATGGGCAGCCACCCATGCCCACCCCCCGCAGACAACAAGATATTCCCTACACCGCAGGTCCTCCGAACATGCGATCTCCGCCTGCGTACATGGGCTTCCACCCCCATATGAATGGCCATCCTCCTCCGGCCGCATACACGCCCCAACAATATTCTCACTGGTACCCTTATCCCCCCATGCAGATGCCCCCCCGCCCATACCAGCATCACCCATACCCCCCAATGTATGTCGCGACCTACCCACCCTCCCAGCCGATCATGGCGCCAGCGCACATCCATCCTCCCACGCTTCCAATGCAGCCGAGAACTTCAACTCCCCTGCAACCCACTATGTCCCCCACCGTCGGCATGGCGCCTGTCCCTATCGCAACCCAGGCGCAATCACCCGCGGTGATCCCGGTACAAACCCTGGCCAGTCCTATAGTGCCTTCACCGCCGGCTCCGGCTCCTGTTCAGACTGAATCTGCCCCCAGAGAGCCGTTCTCCCCACCGGTATGTATTTTGAGTCACCCGTCACCCGTCACCACTCCAACTAACAAAAGATTTCTACTAGCTCCCATGGCTTTCGGTTCCAGAATCGCCTTTTCCGGTTAGAGCTCCTCGCAGGCGCCGCAAAGGCCGTGCTTTCCAATCCTCATCGGCCTCCGTCGAATTTCCAGTAAAGGACGTCCACCGGCTTGAACAGAATCCGGCACAACGGGAAGAGAGTGTGGAAAATGTGCCAACAGCCTCGGAACCGCAGACACCGACTTTATCTGTTGCCCCGTCTGTCGCGAATTCTACGCAGCCCACAACCCCGTCCTCAGTCACTCAAAACCTTTCTGGTCGCTCTCAACCTCAAGCAAAGGGATCTAAGTCCACTGCTCCGGTCGTTCCGGTCGTTCCTGTCGTTCCGGCCCCAGGAACTCCTCGCCAAGGTTTCAACGACGAGATCTCTCGTTCTTCCGAGACGCCGAAGACTACTAGTGTTAGCGGTACTGCCGAAGTGATTGAGGAACCAGAGCACACCAGTGAAAAAGCCCAGGAACCTGTAAAACAAACCCAGTCCGCTCCTACAGCTCCCAAATCTTGGGCAGACCTGGTCAAATCCAAGTCATTGGCTAAAGCAGTCGGCGCATCTGGATCTTCTCCCGCTGTGGCTAATGGTGTTGTCAAGCCCAAGAGTGAGATGCTCGGTGATGTTCTAGTGAGTTTAGGAGAAGATGTTTCTCAGTTCAGCGACAAGATTGGCTTCCTGGAGCCTAGAGGCCTCGTGAACACTGGCAACATGTGCTACATGAACTCGGTATTTTCACTTCCCATCTGCATTTTAAGCTCTATGACTGACCGAGCAACAGGTTCTGCAAATCCTGGTCTTCTGTGTTCCTTTCTACCAATTTCTAGACCTTGTTGGGCGAAGAGCTTCGCACAGTTTTACCAGTGACTATCCCATGATTGATGCTTTGTCAGTAAAAACAATTCTGCTGTTATTGCAACACAACCCGGCTAACTTTGTGTTAGGATCATGTTCATGAGAGAATACCGTGTCATCGATGCTGCCGACAACGAGGATCAGCTACGACTTAGGTTGAAAGCCAATGAGCTTGAACAGTATGGTGACGCTTTCATCCCGGAGTTTGTTTACCACGTGATACGGCAATTGCCACGATTCCGTGACATGAGAGTAAGCCGTCGTCACCCTCCAAAGGGCAAGGAAACAAACACTAATGCATGGGTTTAGCGCGGTCATCAGCAAGATGCACAGGAATTCTTGGGTTTCCTGTTGGAAGAGATGCACGAGGAATGCAGCCGTGCTGCTAAGGAAGCATCTTCTACTGGCACGGCACCGAACACCGATGCAGACAATGCAACGGAAGAATCTGAAGGTTGGTTGGAAGTCGGTCACAAGCAGAAGGCAGCGGTTACACGCTCGTCTGGCGACGTTGCTCAGGAATCTCCAATCACGAAGATTTTTGGTGGAAAGATTCGATCGGAATTTAGAGTCCCTGGCAACAAGACTTCCGTTACTCTAGAACCTTACCAGCCGCTGCAGCTTGACATTGGGTCGCCTGAGATCAACAACATCGTTGACGCTCTCAGGGGCTTAACGAAGCCGGAAAGCATTCAGGGAGATTTCAACTCTGCACGTGGTCCAAATGTCACAGCCACTAAGCAGGTCTTCATTGAGAATCTGCCCCCGGTTCTTATACTTCACCTTAAGCGGTTCCAGTACGACAGTGTGACCAACGGTACTCAAAAGATCTGGAAGCGCATTGGATACCCCCTTGACTTGGAGATCCCGCGGGAGGTGTTCCCACCTAACAAGCGCAATGTTATGATGGCGCAGGGTGGACTGCCTCAATACCGACTTGTTGGTGTCATATATCACCACGGCAAGAATGCCAGTGGCGGGCACTACACCGTTGACGTCCGTCGACAAGATGGGCGTGAGTGGATTCGTCTCGATGATACCATCATTCGTCGCGTACGCAGCGAAGATGTCGCAGAAGCCGGCGGCGAGGAGGATCCCAAGGTCCTGGCTGCCGCTATGGAACAGCACAAACGCGACAGCTCCAATGCCAATATTTTCGATCATATTGACCAAGACGATCAATCTGATAACGAGAGAGGTTGGAGCCAGGTTAATGGCACTCCAGGCAAGAAGTCCGGTGTCAACGGAGCATCGGCAGCAGCTAATAAAGCACGGCCATCTGCTGGACGCTATAATGCACGCGACAACAAGGTGGCATACCTGCTATTCTACCAACGCATCGCTTAGATTTTATAAGTGTTGTTCGGCCAAATAAGAGAGAATCAAGACATTCAACACCGGCCAAACAACGACTTCCCCACCTACTGACATTCCGGGATTATCATTATCTATTGCCTCACGAGAGGGCAACCCTCAAGGACTGAAATTCGGCCACCAATGACACGACCATCTCAAGGCTCGGTTGGCAGGCAGCAGACCTTCAACTGACCATTGACTACGAGTCCGTGATAACACTCTCACAACTCTCGTACAGCGAAGTCAGCCAGGACTGTTGGGCACTTTCCTTGCGACCGGACGATTTGCCAGACGAGACTTGATCTGCTTGCTATTCTCTTTTCCTTATGTCGCTGCTTACGGCGGGCTTATCAATTTACTTTTATTGCACCGTGTTATGTTTTCTTTGACTTGTGTTCCTCTCGATACATTTCGCTCCTTTGCTGTAGTTGATCCACCTCCTTCACGATCTCTTGCTTTTGCGGTGCAGTCCGGTGGGATGTCGCTCTGATATATACCCCAGTTTCCTCGCATAGCCCTTTGGTTTGCTCGCTGATGCAGATGGGTTTTTTTTGATGTGGCGTGGACGGGATTATTAACGACTGCATGAATTTCATTTATAGACTTTGTCTATCAAGAAGGTCTTGATAGAGGGAAGGGGTGGGGTTGGCTGGCTTGGATGATCATGATGGGTTGCATGTGGGGGATATCTGTTGCGATCAAGACGTTTATTAGGACTTTCTCTACTAATGATGTGTGGTATGTATGGTGTATGCGAGGTGGGAAGGAGAGGTCGTTTTAAAAGGAGGGACGGATTGGAGTTACGATCAAAAGCGATAACAATAAATGCGTTAAAGACAGACAAATTTCTTGTAGCAGTACACTAAGATTCGAAGTTGATGTTTGTAAATATTGGTACAATCAGACAGGAACTTCCCCTGCTAGCGTCTGTTTATCCTCAGAAATAGTCACCGCCGAATGTACGCTCTCATCCTCAGGTTTGAATACTTCCAACAGCCTCAAAAAGCTCTCCTCTTCTTTCACTAGGCCCTGATCAGGTTGATACCCTTTGTAGCGTTCATGACCAGCGACAACGCGCAGGATTTCCTTGACCTGTTCCGTCCCCAGAGCCTCGCCATCCAAGCCCGTCTCCAGTCTCCACTTCCCACGCCAAGCAGCATGCGTATCCGGCCTCACCAGCACCAGACTCCTGCCCCAGACGCGATGTGCATGTGTCTCATTGACCAGTTTCACCAGCTTGAGTGGCATTCCAAACTTGGCCGCAACAGCGACGAATGTCTCAGCCGTGACAGCAGGAGCACTCTTGTCCTTGGCCCCGGAGTGTCCGGAATCTTCCACGAAATGAACAAGACTCCACGCAGGCCCAAACTCATCATAGATACTCCTACCCTCCCTCTGCATGTCGTTCCCATTTGACTTCGAGCCCTGCAGGAAAACATGAGGAACTCTACGTCCCGGCCTGGTCGAAGGCACATATCTCTCCGCTTCCCACGGCCCTTCATCATTATAGATATCCTCATCGCCCCAGACGCCAAAAGAATAATATCTCAAGTCCATCTCCACACCGCGATCCAGCGTCTCCGGGCCCGACATTTCCAGGAACTCGCGGATCTTCGTCCGCAGCGCCACAGCCTCCGTATCCTGACGCTCCAGCAACCCAACAGGACGGGGAAACATAGCGGCAAGCTTGAGATGTTCGACGAGATGGCGGTGCGAGCGCGACAGAGCACGGATCATGCACGGGCGACGATCGAGGGTGTACGATTGCAGGAGCAGCGGCCCGCCGTAGGGAGTCGGGGACTGGGTGAGAGCGGCGAGACGCCAGGCGAGGTCGAAGGCGTCGGCTAGGCCGCTATTCAGACCGTATCCGCCGTGCGGGGGTGTTCGATGGGCTGTTCCTGAGTTAGTGATCATGTAGTAATCACATATAACATGGTACCACAAAGGGGGGTAGGTGGGTAGGTCGTAAGCATAGATTCGAACCTCATATACCATCCCGCCGGATATAGATCCGGCGTAGCCCCAGGAAAGGAAGAGAAACAGTCAAGCACAGACTCACCCGCATCACCCGCAAGCACGACGCGCCCGCCAGCACTAATATAGTTTTCTGTGATACTGAAGTTCGGGGTCCAGGCACTATGCACCAGGATCTCGTCGATCTGTACCACCGCCTTCTCACCGGGACCCGGGCCGCCGAGAGCTCGATACACCACTTCCTTCGGGTCGATTGCGCCCTCGGGGAGTAGGTGAACCGGGAAATGCGCGGTGAAGGTATCCTTGTCGTCCTGGTCGAGCACGAAGCCACCGTTCGTGGAGAAGATGTGCCAGCATCGGCCGAAGGGGAAGGATCGCGCGAGTTCCTGAGAGCGGAAGTGCACGAGGTAGAAGCGTATGGGCCTGCATCCCACCTGGTTAGCATAGCTGATCAGCGCAGGGTGCGCGAGGACGAAGTGTAGTTTACGAGAGAGGAGGGGGGAAAGAAGAAACGTACATCGGGCCCCCCAACATCCGTATCCCCGCAGAACCACGCACTCGACTTCCTCCTCCATCCGTCCCAACGAGATACCGACTCCGCACGCGATGCTGCACGCCTTGCTCCGCATCGAGGAAGGTAGCCCACACCCCGGTCTCGTCTTCAGAGTGGTGAAGGTACTTCCATCCGAAGCGAGTCTGCATTGCACTTCCCGCGCTGGCTTGCTTGAGGATCAGCTTGCGCATCCACGCCTCGAAGATGACCTGCGAGCAGCGCTGGCTGGGCTCAGCGGCTTGGGTGCCGTCGTTGGTTTGGCGGATGGACTCGCGCTGGGTGGTGACGCAGGGGACGTGCTGTTACGCTTTGGTCAGTGGGGCTAGAGGAGGATAATCGTAGCTAGGAAGTATAGCTCACCCAGGTTCCTAGCAACTTACTCTCTTCTCCAATGATTCGGGTCACGAACTGGGAATCGAAATCCGTGGAGGCGGGCACGCTGCCTTCTTGGGCGCGATAGTCGTCGGCCAGGCCCATCACGCGCAGAATCTCCATTGAACGACAATTTGTTAGATCCATCTTGGGCCATTTGGTGGTCTGGGTGTTTTGATCGGCAATTAGGAGGGGAATGTTGAGTTGGTTGAGGCGGTAGGCCAGGAGCATGCCTACGGGGCCGGCGCCCACGATCGTAATCGGAGTATCGCAGTCTTCCATCTTCTCAGTTGGTGTGCAATTGGTTGCCGAAGAAATCGAGAGGGCGAGGATGTGAGAGAAGAATTGGAGGGGTGTTATGAAACAAAGACACAAAAGTTAATTGGGGAGCTGAGCATTAGAATATTTGATTTTAAGCTTCACCGATCTGACACGATCGTCGTGAATGTTACTTGATCGGCCCAGGGAACAGAGCGCTATCACATCTTCAGTTTTTATTCACACCTAGCTTTATACCTACAGCTTGCACACCATCAAACGGGCCAGTATTGACAAAAAGGTATATACAATGCCTGTCATTCCGCGTACTATACTCCACGTCAGCGTCATGACACTTTATCCACATTCCTCCCTACACGGCCTCTAACCCTACCCCCTCGTATCACTCATTGATCGACCAGCCACAAAACACATCATTGGCCAGTCTCCGCGCCTCCATCCTACTATCCGGTCGTTCCCCTGCAGATTCTCACCTCAAGCCGCATGTTCAGCCTCATTAACTTGAGTAACCAGATTCACCGGCCGGGCGGGTTCATCCGCACCTCCAACCCCGATCTGTTCGTGCGGAGAGACATTTGGGACCACTGGGCGACCGATCTGGAAGACCGTCTGCTGCGGCGGGTCTCTGGCAGAGGTAGCAGCGCCGCGTTTCCGGCCGCGATTCTGCGACATCTCCGAGTTGCGCGTTGCGGTGCTGTGGGTAAAACTGATGTTCCCAATGGGGATAGGGTCTTGTTCTTGGGTTGCGCTGCTGCTGAGGGCCTGCGAGATGGTTCGCGGCAGATGATACCCCGCTTTGGCCAGCGGGATTGAAAGACCGTGCACGATCTGCAGGCTGATTAGCAAAGGCAAGCTCTGATGGGGAGATGCGGGACTCACGATGCTGCAGATGACCAAAAACCACACGATGACATCGACCGCCTCGGATACTTTCTGCGCGTCTTCACGCACAGCGCCATTGGCCGTGATCCCTTGAAGAAATTCCCGACACACCGACAGGTAGAAAATAGCTCCCACGCCAATGGGCCCGAAGAATCCGACAAATCCCGCTTGGTACAGGTGCTCGATTTGATGGATATACTTGTGCATAGCGAATACAATTGGCATGCGGCGGAGGAGCAGAATCAAGATCCCCAAGAAGATCAGCCGGTAAATTGGGATGACATTGTTGTGGAGGAACGAGGACCATGGGCACACAGCCCCGAACCACATGAAAACCGCCAGGTTGAGAAGCATATCGATTGTCGGCTGCAACGAGTCGTCCATGGTTTCCAGCCGAAACCAGTCACTGAAATAATCAGTACCACGTAAATCGCCAGGAAATGGGGGTCTCACTCTTGTGTGAACACATTCCCGGCCACAAAGCAGGCAAGTAAGTCATCGGTGCCAATGAGACCACAAGTACCCACGATGAACAACTGCAACTGAACTCAGCACATGCACGCAACGCAGGCAACGTCCAACCTACCGAAAGAGCGATGGCGAAAACGAGGAAACTCTCTCGATCCACGTAATGGTGCTCCTCTGCCCAATGGAGCAGCTCGCGAGAGATCCAACCGACCGTGATGCCGTAGACCACACTCAACAACACGGTATAGGCCCAGGTCTCATAGAACCAAAGCCCCATAGCCTTCCCTGCGCCGCCACCGTACGCCTCCCCTCCCATCTCCACATATTTGAGCAAGTAGAGACCAAAATACAGAAACGGGTACCCCAGCCCATCGTTAGCCCCAGACTCAGCGACGATGATGCGCTGCAGCTCACGGGGCACATGTTTGTCGGCAAATTTGCCCTTGACAATCGAGTTAGAGAGCACGGGATCCGTTGGGGTGATGCAGGCGCCCACGATGAGCGCATGCAAGAACGGGAAATCCGGCACCATGGCCCAGATCACAAGGCTGCTACACATCCACATGGCCGCCATGCCTGGCCCCAGGAGGAGAGATAGACTCCTCCATTCCAGCTGCAGATACCGCTTGGGAAGCTGCACTCCGGCCAGGACGAGCTGGACTCCCAGTACGAGCCGGGTGAAGTACATGGTGATTTCCTCGAGGTTCTGCTCCGACCCCAGGGCATACTCCTCGGGTCGGATGAAGTTGGCTGCATGGGGGGAGAAGACAACTCCTGCGAGGAGAGAGATTACTATGGAGAGTTAGTCATTATCCATCACTTAAGTTGTTGTTCAACAGGTATGACGGACAGGCTTCGGACAGGTACAATCTCTCCTTGAACAGGTAGGAGACCAACCCAAAGAGGGAGATGAATCCTCCTAGCGTCGCACAGACGATGTTGAAATTGATCAACGATAGAGTAGGCATTGATGTCGGACTGTCTCCAGGAGAGACTCCCAAATGTCGAAGAGGGGTTCTGAATCTCTACTAGGAATTGAGATGGAGGAAGCTCTGCGGAACAGGCTTTAACGTTCCGCTATATGTCTAATATTGCACAAGATCACACGCAAGTGTTATTCAATCATAGTAAGACCACTCGTACTCGTAACTGCGTGGTATCTGTTGGTCATCCGATAGATTGGAGACTTTGCGGCAGCCAGTTTGACGACTGGTAGGGAAGCAAGCAGTGCGCGATAACCCAGATTTTAGGTCAAGAGTCAAGAGAGGTGACACAAAGCAATTGAGAGCGGTGGGATGCAGAAGGAAGAAACCCAAGCAACGAGAGGTGTTCTACAGGAATATGCTGATGTAGGTAGTAGTAGTAGACAACAACCACGCGAGAGACAATCGGTAGTGGGAGTGGGAGGAAGATTCGGTAATTTCCAGCCAAGAGCGCTTAAACCAAGGTTGGTTCAGGCTTGGTAACTTTGGTTGACTTCATCCCGCTTTGGGTCTAAATTTAACCGCCCTCAGATCCACTCCTGTACGTCTAGTTCTCCATCTCGATACGGGGCAGGCCAACGATATAAACATTTGGGCAGCTAAGCATCCCGTATAGTCCATTGGTATCTCTCCCTCCAGGGGTACTCTGTCAGTGTAAAATGAACTTTAATACACAGTGAAGGCAAACGGAGTCGGTCACTCGATGGATCGCAATCAAGTAACACGACAGCAGGCAAGTTTGGAAGATTATTCATGCATCCATCCCAACAAGGATTCGGCTGAAGAGACGCTCCATTAGAAATCGTCCTCGTCCTCGTCATCATCATTATCATCGTCAAACAAATCATCCGGAATATCCTTGGCCGCTGCCAGCGCCGCAGCCTTCTCTGCCACTCCCCGTTGGGCGCCGTTCACGGCCAGGCGGTCAGCAGCTTCGTTGCCCGGATGCGAACTGTGACCTTTGACCCATTCAAATAACGTCTTGACATTCAGCTCGTTTCGTTCCTCAATCTTAGATAAGATAGACTCAACCAGGTCTTTGTTGTCCACGGGTTTGTTGCCGACCGTCATCCAATTATTTTGTCGCCATTTGAGATACCAGACTGTCACGCACTTGATAGCATACTGGCTGTCTGTGAAGATGGTCACATCCCGATGTCGGGGAGCGATCTCAAGAGCTCGAAGAATCGCGGTCAATTCCGCTCGCTGGTTTGTTTGACGGCTTCCCTGTAAAGGTTCGGAAACATTCCTGCTAAGTGAAGAAGTGTCAGTGAAACAATATCGTCCGTTGAGAGCTCGTACAAGGCACGGCGATTCGCTGATGGATCAACTAACCTTGAGTCTCCAGGGCCGAAATAAACGCCCACGCCCGCCGAAGCCAGCGCTCTCCCATTCTTCAGGGAACTGCCGTCTGTGTAGATGCGCAGCATTCCCGGCGGCCCACTGGACTGCAATTTGATAGCAGCCTTCTGCTCCTGGGACTTGTAGACCACTTTACCGGTAGTGGGGTCTAGAAGCACATTAGGGTCAAATCCGTCCGTCGCCCCAGGCGGCAAAGGTCCGGTTCCGGGCTCAAAAGCCACGCCTTGCTCGTCCGTCGGGGCATCGTCCACCAGACCCGGCACGCTTGTTAGTTTAGGGGCCTTCGCGAAAGTGGCGCCGTTTGCTTGTTCTTCGTTTACGAATGCCTGGGCTTCCTCTCTGGTCGCAAATTTCTTATATCGCGGCTTGGTGAAACCTTTAATTTGTTCCTGCGCTTTTGACCAGTCTGTATAAACCCCGGGTACTCTGCCACGCTGCACACCATAATATCTTGGAGGATCTGAACTTGAGGGAGTCCCGCCGCGCCCGGCGCCAACGGTGGCCCCCGTGAGAAAGGCTTTGGCGTCGTCAAAAGAAGAAAAAGCCTGAACTAGGATTGTCGTCAGCCAGAGAATGCACTACCGAGGTCATTCACCACTTACAAACGGCCCCCTTGTACCCGGTCACCTGGGTCAAGCAATCGGTCCAGCTGTAGTAGACTCCCGGCTGATAGCCCGCTTTCACCGCATAGTATTTCCCTACAGCATTGCGCTTGCGTTTGGTTCCTGTGGTGGCTGCGGAAGGTTTTGTCTGGGAGGAGGCGGTTGTCGCAAGCACGGAGGTAGGAGAGGAGGTAGTATGGTTCATGGTGTCAAGGCCGGCGTTCGGCAGAGTGGAGTAGGGAAAGGTTGGTATGAGAAATAGCACAAATCTCGAGGCGGGTAGAAGGTCAAAATGTCGCTCGCTTTGTGGAGTGTGGTAGCGTGATAGATGGCGGAAATCAATGCGAGGAGCGGAAAATTGCAATCTGCAGCTCAAAAGGGCACCCCTAGGTCCCTGTTTCGGAGCTACAAAGCAGAGCCGACCGACAGACGTGGTGGAACAGTGTCTGCTGTAGACAGAGTACTTCAAAATTGGGCTCCCTTTTGAGTTTTAGGAATAGAGAATGATGTTGACAAAGAAATCCGGGTAGCATTGGGGGGGTAAAAGGGACGGGGGGAGGAGTTTCTGAACGAAGCGGGGAGGGAAAAATGGGGGAAGAGAGAAGGGAGGGAGGGGGGGGGGGGGG